TTAGCCTTTTCAATTTCAAATTAAGTTATCCAAGTTAAAATATGAACGTATACGATTGATAAAAACGTTGTAGTCCCGTAATATTATTGCGCAATATGCAAATTACAGCCGAAACAATTTACCGCTGTCGAAAAAGTAGGACAGCAAATTATACTATAATAAAGGTGTAAGCTCGAGTAGCTAGCTAAATATTTTACATTATACAAAACATTATTATAAACAAATCAAAAGTGTTTCGTTACTCTAGAATAAATCGCGCATTAATAAAAGATGAGCTATTTTCGTAACTCATACCGCGGGTTTAGCTGAATATTCAGCAGTTATTAATAAATTAGATACAGTATATACCATGGTTAGTATAAATATCTATTTTTGAAAATGCACGTAACAAGAGAGTTTTTGAACACTTTACCACCATGTAGTCTTTCATGGTAATCTTTATTGAAGGAAGTTATAATATCAGTTCTACTTCCGATTCTTGTGGTTTGTTTACATATTTTTCTAGGTCACGATATGAGTTAACCTTCGCTATTCTAAAAATAGATTCTGCTTCACCTGTGCTGATAGTGCTTAAACACTGTAGTGCTTAAGTGACATTTAAATTAAAATAAAAACGATGTGCTCTGGCCCTTGTAAATAAAAAAAATCTAAAAAATACAATATTAATTGCTGATTATTTTAACCAAAAATATTTTTAATGAGACAAATCCAAGTGAAATAGAAATACAAATGACTTATATTTTATTGTCTATATGCACACTATGATATAACACGAAGCAATTCTAAATAACATTCTCACATGTATAACGTATTATGCTTGAAGTTTATTTGCATGGTTTTATTTTAGAAATATTTCGTTGACAGTTTTTTTCTATTTACATATCATTTCTTGGAATAAATCGATAAGGACACTGATTTACAAGTTTGACCAGAGTTTTTAGGCATAAATTTCATTCTGTATTTAAATGCTTGAAAGTAGAAAATCTGAATTATATCAGATTGGGACACAAAATATATTGCTCTACAAATCTCGAACTTGTATGGAACAAATTTTCTCTGTTATATATTTTGTGTTTTGTTTTTTTTGTTTTGTTTTTTTTTTCTAAAAAAAAGCCTAAATGTCTCTCCGGTTGCATGTCCGTCGCATTCAGTGCTGCAGCACTTTGATATAGTTATATAGTCATTGAATTATTGCCAGCAGTTTTATTTCAGAGCTAACAACACGCCTGAGATCACAGATGTAGCATTAATGGTGATAAACATTTATGGTGATAAACATAAGCTAAAATCTTGATTAACGATAAGTAATTCATTTAAACAAAAGATAAAAATTAAACCAGTTAATTAGCATAACTTAATCCAATATATTTATTTCAGACAAGATTATTGAAATCATGCCTGATACTGTACATATGACAATGTTGAAAAATACATACACGTTTTTAAGAAAAAAAAATCTAATTACGGTATTTGTATATCATAAAGGGTTTATAAAGTTTTTTCTCGAAAAAAAAAGGTTTCACTTTTAAAGGGATAGGTAGGGTAAGCCCAAGACTGGACGAGCATTGGGCCCATTTGTTTGAGCACCAGTGGTTATGCGTAAATAGGGACCAGAAGTCCACTGTTTATAACTGAACGGGAACATGCTGACGATAACAGTTGCAACTCTTTTTGTAAAAATGAATATTTTTTTGTCAAAAACGATTTGAAATCTATTCTCTATTAAAATAATCAATCGTAAAAAATACTAACATTGGCTCTCACGTGGAGATCAATCTATCGTACTGAAGGACATTTCATTTCCACGTTTTTCGCAGAGAGAGTCATTCGTTTTGGCAGTTGCTAATTTCATTTCTATAGCATCTTTAGAGACAAGTGAATGCACTAAAAGACTTCGTTACGTGGTACAAATTAATAAGCATGTATCAACAATGTTACACCATGTATATATATATTAATATACGTACCTGGTTATTTTTATCATGAAAAATGGCTCAAATCTGACCAAGAATACCATAAAATACATTGCACTTTTTAGAATTCCATTTTAAGTATTTTATTTGTCTGTTTAGGTTCAAAAATTGATTTATTTAAGACATTCCGATTTTATGTATTCATAAGGAGTTCCTTTAAAACATGTGTGCGTGTGATCCACCGTTTTAGAAACTGAGAGTACAGATCCGGACATATCACCATTTACGAACAGCCGCGCGAACAATAACAAACTATCAAATTGTGTTTAATGGAAATACCATACTATAAGCTATAATAGTAAGAAATGTGAGGGTTTCGTAAGAAAAATGTGTATATACGGTGGTACAAAGGTGACACGCGTGTGTTTATATTTATCTCGTGCGCATGAGATACTATGTCGTGACCACGAGTTATTAAATCATGGCTAGATATAGCTAAGTCGTGGTCACGAGGTACTATGTCGTGGCCACGAGTTACTAAGTCGTGGCCACGAGATAGCTTAGTCGTGGCCATGAGATAGCTAACTCGTGGCCACGAGATACTATTTCGTGGCCACGAGTTACTAAGTAAATATTCTGTTTGTTGGATTTCGTACAAGTATGCTATACATAACAAATAAAATCTTCGATCTAACTGTAGAACTGGTTATCCTTGCACTATTAGCTATAAATTGTATGTGATTGATAAAGTGTGTTATGTTATGTTTTTATGTTATGAAAAACAACAGTTACATTGTATATCAATGTCTTTTGTAACTTCGATACGTCTTACTCAAAATTGTGCTTTAAAAGTTATATATGAACTGAAAAATAATTTCAGTTGACCCATTTGCTCAATGTGATGTTTCCCTCATCACTGAGGACACGTAGAATACATGTGTCATTTTGATACAGTTTTTCGTACAGTTTAACTAAGCCGGACGGCGGGATGAACCCATATGGGCACTTGCTGGTACGGTGCCTGTGCATTATTCTGAGGGCATCTTTTCATGTTTGAAATGACAGGAGATGACTGTCTGTTAAGTGATGTTCCATTGTATAAGACCCTTGTTAATATACCCTACCGACATGTCAACCAATCATCCCTGGTCTTTCAGATCATATGACTATGACCTGCCGAGCGCCTTTTCCACGTGCAGCATGCCTCGGGAGGGATTTGGAGAAGATCTTTTAATAAATCCATTTTCGCCGCTGGGGGTTCAAATCCCGACAGAAACTCCTTATTATTTCATGTAAGAAAGCTATCCACCTAGCTAAAGGTGCCTTCTCGTGCCAGAAATATTGCACGGAGAGCGGCAACTGTGGTCTTCCTCCACAACTTTTAGGTAGAAAGTCGCTATCTTACACGTAAAATTGCAATATCAGTTGCTAGATACAGCTATAAAGAAAGTACTATTGATGTGTTATACTGCATCTTTTCCTTTTTGAAACAGTACTTACAGCAGTACGCCTCCAGATTCATGATTTTTTTTTAAATCTATTAAAAAAACTACCAAAAATAGATCAGAATATGGAAAAATAGTTCTTCTTGAGTAAGTCACGCAATAAAAATAACGTGATAAACACTACATAATCAGTAATAAGTTGCATACAACATGGTATTATAAATACTTTTACTTTTCTTAAAATCTTCGTACATTTTTCTCAATGTTGATTTTCTTGAAATATTTGAGCTCATCTGGAGGCGTGCAGCTTTAACGCACTTTCTGAAGTTTAATGCTGTAATATTTATTATAGGGATCAGGTATGTTTTAGTGACCCCATGTTGGTGACGTTAAATGAAAACAAATTCTATAAATAAGATCAGAAGTGACTTAGACATTGTTTGTACATAATGTGTTTGTTTTATTAAAAGTTGGCCAACTACAATATCAATCATATCAGAATTTAAAGAAAAAAAAGTTAGGTCCACACCCTCTAAGAAACGTTGTCATGATAGTACCGGGGTACTTTTATCAAAATAATATATTAATTTTATTAATTTAATTATATAGCACGTGCCTAGGTATCATATATATTGTATACACGTGCGTTTATATTCATGGAGTTGTTAATAGAAACGTTTTCTTTATGTCATTAAACATTTGACCCGCGTCACGACAAAACCCACGTAATGCGTTTGCGACCAGCATGAATCCAGACCAGCCTGCGCATCCGCGCAGTCTGATCAAGATCCATGCTGTTCGCTTACAACCCCGATTACAAGTAGAGAAACTGATAGCGAACAGCATGGATCCTGATCAGACTGGGCGGATGCGCAGGCTGGTCTGGATCCATGATGGTCGCAAACGCACTTTGTTGGTTTTGTCATGACGCGGCTCATTTATTTTTATCTTTACAAGTTTGGTATTTTATATAACTACTTTATAGTTACGAAAGAGACAAAAATATGATTTGAGACTTTTTGCACTTTTGTTTAAAAGAATTGTTACCACAGTTTGTTACATTGGTGGCTTTTATTTATTATTGGCAGGTTATATAGCCCTATATAAACGGTTATATTGTGAAGTATCGTTTATGTAGATTCATATTACTTTTCAGGAATCGTTATAACAACTCGGGTTATATTCCCCATAAAAAACGTTTAAATATGGTTATATAATCTGTCAAAAACCTTAACTAATAATATAAACGTCACGATATCCAATGATAAACGACGTTACCAACGTGCAGTATTATAAAATTGATTTTAGTGTTTTAAACAAATTTATGAGATATACATGATGAGATCGATTATTTGTGAAACTATACAAAAACATCAACAACAAAAAACATGTCTGCCTTTTATCTTTTAACAAAAATCGGACTTTTTTTATCGAATTATTAATTAAAAGCTGTGTTTATTTGATCACTGCTATGTATGATATATAAATGTACAATAAAGTCTAATATAAAAGTCTGACGATTTATCAGTCAAATATTATAAAGCCTTTTTAAAAGCTTAAAGCGATTATTGTGTAAATATATTGACGCGCTATTAACTATTTACTATTTGTCCAAACACGTCCGTCCACGCGAATGAACGGTAGTGATTACATATATAAACAACCTGCTTACATTATACCTGACGATTAAAGTATTTTTAAAATCGTTACTCTATCGATTACATCGCGCATGCGTTGACGCACGTTGCTATCTGTAATTTTTTCATAATAGGAACTAAAATACAAGGTATGTAGTTGTTCGTGTTTTTTATATCATAATATCATATATTTATACATTGATTAGCCGACGTAATTTAGATCTTCCAAGATAAATTATCTAGCGTAAATTTTTTAGTTAGTCGTGACTTAGGGAAACATTAACATTTAACTGTCTTAAACTTATAGCTTAATTATGTCCTTAAACCCGGCTTAAAATCACTAAACAATTTTAACGATACCAATACTCTAACATTATAAATACGTATAACATGTGAGAGTAAATAAACAATAAGACACGGGTGATCCGTTTTGTTTTTGTTTTTGCAAAGGACTGTATTTTTTTCGTGTGCAAGGTTAAGTTGCAGTGTTACATGTATATTGAAATGATTGATTATGTAAAATGAGAGAACGACTAATTCCGGGTAGTCATTGTTTGTTTGTTTGTTTGTTGTTTTTCTTAATTTATTATTTTGTTGGGATATGCGATCGACTTATAGTGAATGTTTAACCAATAGATTAGCCTTTCTTTTTATGTTGACCTGTCCATTGATTTAATTTATTGTTGTCGAGAACTCCAATGAAGTATTTGCTGTAATATTGACTCTCCCGCGATAATTTAAGTTAATAATTTATATATCAATGTATATTGATTTATTCTGAAGCCTAATCTGTTATGTAATTGTATTATTACCTCATGTAGTTAAGTTTGCATGATCTAAAGGGAAAATTGAAATGAATAGTTTTAGTGTATGCAATATGTAAATGAAATGTCTGTCAATGGTCAACATTGTAAGGCCTGTAGACTAATTAACGCTAAGGCTGTTGGTTACAACTGATCCCACCCATGTGATCAGTGCAGACCAAGAACAGCTGGCATATGTGTCTGTTCATGGTCTGCACTGTTTGCTATTCTTTCATTAGTACATATTTTGCAATTATCCATTTCAAATGAATAGTTTTGTCCATATTTAACATATTTAGGGTGGTAAGGAATACGGATTAATTAAATGTATTTTGTAATCAATAAATTGATTTTAAACAAAAATAATGTGTTAGCACCAAAGATAAGTTCATGAGAGGTCGTTAATTTTATGACGGGTATTCGAAGATGTTTTGAAATTTATTTAAACTTATCTTAAAGCAGCATGCTCCAGATGAACCAAAATATTTCAATAAAACCAAACTTGAAAAAAATGTAGAAGATTTTAAGAAAAGTTTAAAGACTCAATATTCAAGAAACAACTTACATATAGTATGCAATAAATGTCAGATTTTGCAACATTTTTCACCATATTTCTATTGCGTGACTAACGCAGTAAAGGCTCTTTTTGCAGATTTTGTCCTCTTCTTGGTAATTTACGTTGATTGTTAGTGCCGTTTGTCATGTATTATTACTTTCTTTGTTCTCTTCACAATTTTTTACTTTTAACTGCATTTCAAATTTTTCATTAAAATTAGTATGCTGCTTTAATGAAATCGGGTTGTTAAACGTAAAACCTAAAGACGCGAGACTGTAAAAGGGTATCGATATAAAGCTAATGGAATTTCTATGTATGTTTATATTATATATTCAAGTCAAGATATTTAAATCTATTGATTGTATACACACGTTATCGCCCGATGATACGGATAAATTAACTACGTGCATTTCAATGAAATTTGCTTAATGAATGAGATTTCAAATCTTTTTTCAATATTGTAGTATTTTAAGTTAACAAAAATAGTTCCTATAAATTCTGCAATCTTTTAGTTTTCTGACCATATTTTTTCATGAAGAATTGGCAAATGTTGTATGCTTGACTCTTCACGATCGAGTTTATAATGAATTTTATACCTGAATGAGGACATTTCATACTTTCATGCACGTGTGTCTTTAGTTTATGTGCCATTCTTCATGTACATTTGCAATCATACATGTATGGTCGTATGTATACATGACGTCATGTACATTATGTAATCATGTACGCATGCCTCCGTGTACATTATGTTACCATGCACGAATATTATTTTATCATGTACACGTGTCTTCACATTATCATCTACACACAACTTGTGCATATGTTATCATGTACGCAAAGTTCCTTGTACATTACGTTATCATATACGATGACTTCATGTGCACCTTACAGTACGCATGCTTACATTTACATATGATATATAATGTACGCGTGTCTTCATGTAAATTATGTTATCATGTATGTATCCTAACATGTACATGCATTATCATGAACGCATACCTCCTTGTATCTGTGCATACCTGTTTATACATACATTATCATCTATGCATACCTGTTTATACATACATTATCATCTATGCATACCTGTTTATACATACATTATCATCTATGCATACCTGCTTTTACATACATTATCATCTATGCATACCTGCTTGTACATACATTATCATCTATGCATACCTGTTTATACATACATTATCATCTATGCATACCTGCTTGTACATATGTTATCATGAACGCATGCCTCCTTGTGTGTATGCTATCATGTGCATATGGCTTCATTTATGTATTTTTTTACCCCAATTTTACCTGATGAAATAGCCGTTCAATTTATTTCAACATTTGTTTATATTAAAACATAGTAAGAAAATTTCAGCGTTCGCCGATGTTGCGTTGCCATGGTTATTTAAGTGCACATAATTCGTAAAGGAAGTAAATGATTAAGATAAAAGTAAAACTTACTTTTAGAAATAAAGATACTCTTTCGATTCATATCAACTTTTTTATGAACAAAGTAAAAAATGACAGCAAAAGTCCACGAACTTTTTTGCCTTTATAATATACGAGTTTCTTCGTTTAATTGTAACGATTCTAAAATAAAGCAACTTTGTCTCATATCACCATACTTAAATTGCAGCTAAATCGTTGTTATTGTAGACGACATTTATGTGACAAAAAAAACCGTAAAAAGACTTTACCTACACACTATTAATTGTGTATAAATTAATTTTAAAACTGTAATCATTTAGATGTGCGCATGCATGTGGGAATTTGTTTTGCATAAAAAATCAGCTGTTAAGCATTATGCCGATCAAATGCTTTTGAAAGTAGCTTATACATACGCGTGATTTTGTTATTAAGTAAGATCAAAATGATAAAACACTAATTAGAAATTAGAGAGAAGTTATTAGAAATTGTAAATGTGCAGACATTTTTTCCTTAAGCTTACCCTTGATAAATTTGACGATAGGACTTAAATGCTATTCATGTCGTTGTTTACCGGAACAATCGCTATATTTGACAACCCGTACAAAACTTAAACCATGCATAATAATATAACAACGTAACGGTAGCTAAGTTGATAACGTTTGGACTGTAAATCGGGCCCGCCGATATAAATCTTCTATGGTATTCGCACTTCCTCTGCATGGTCAGAGTTCCGGATACTATTACGAAGACGATGTGAATATTTCATTCTTGAATTTTCGGGTTCATCTTTACGAATTCATAATTTCAAATTCATGCATTCACGATTTCAAAATACAGAATTCACGATTTCAACTTCATGAATTAAAGATTTCCAAAACATGATGATGAATTCAGCTTCACGAATGTTCTTATTTTCAAAACATGAATGAATGAAGTTGAATTCACGAACAGAAGTGTCACAACCGGTCTTTGGTAATTAGTTCTGGTAAACTGCTTAACATCCTGCGCAGGAACAATGACTGAACTGTGCTGTGGTAAATTCAAAGCAAACAAACAAATAAACAAACAAACAAAAAAAATCAGGGAAGGATTTAACAATGGAAATTGTAGTTACAGGTTCTGTAAACCTATTGATGTTATTAAATATTTTATGCAGAATTAATTTTATTCTAAATTAATGCTATCCTTCCCCATTTTTGGTATTCAAAGACGGTTTCGTTGTTGTTATTTTTGTTGTTGTTGTTGTTGTTGTGGTTGGTATGTTATGAAATTGATTTTCCTTATCATTTTTGTTTTGTCATTTTATATTTTTCGGTTGCATATGTCGGTTACCTTGGCCTATATTTTAGGTCAATCATTCATATTTTTATATTTTGATAAAGTTATGCACACGATCATTCATTTCTATCATAACAACCTGGGGATCTTCATACTTCACGATTCATATCTTTACTACACATCTACGACATTGTCTTTATATCCAACTTTTAGAGGTGTTTTAAGTTTGTTTTAAGTTTTTGGATAGAGTTAAAAAATTTAAGGATAAGTCATTTCTTGTTATGGAGCCGAAAATGCATTTTGATATGGTTGTGGAACAACTTCAAGAACAGTAGGATTATTTATTCTATTCTAGGATTATTTAAATAGTATTTTGTTATGTTAGCGTAGTGGTTACTGCAAAAGTACCTATCGTGGTCGAGGTCGACAATTTTGTGTGTTTTCAATTATTTTATTTTTTATTTTATTTTTTTTTTATCTTTTTGTGTGTTTTTATTTTTCGTGCTTAAAATAATGTTCTTCTACATTATGTATTTTTCCTTTTTTACCAAATACTTTTGATAATGGCTGCTGACACGTTTAAATGCATTTAAATTTTACTCTTTACTTTAACCATAGTTAACTTTTACTTTATTTTTGTAACGATGGTTTGAGGACGTTAAATAAGTTAAATAAGGGAACGTATATATTTCAAGTGTCCCTCGTACATAATGACATTATACAAGTGGTATTCTGTATATTCTTTTGAACAGCAATTGGCGCGTTTATGTTTATAGTTATTACCTTCGAAAATATATGCACGCTGTTACGTAAGCTGAAATAAATAATCGGACAATCAAAATACAAATACAAAGTTATGAATTTGTCTAAGTAATTAGTTAATAGAACTGGAATTTGCCAGTAATGCCGTTCTTGGTCTATTTAGTAATGCCTATCTCATCTATCTTGTTCCATTCAGTAATGCATATCTTGGTCCATTCCGTATTTGCCTACCTTTATCCATTCAGTAATGCCTACCGTGGACCATTCAGTGATGCCTTTCTTGTTCCATTTAGTAATGCATATATTGGTCCATTCAGTAATGATCCATTTAGTAATGCATACCTTGGTCCATTCAGTAATTTCTATCTTGGGTCATTCCGAAACGCCTATCTTGGATCATTCCGTAATGCCTACCTTGGTCCATTCAGTAATGCCTATTTTGGGTCATTCAATAATGCCTACAGTTTTATCTTAGCACATTCAGTAATAGTAACAACAATGACATAAAAATATTTATATTTAATGATATTTATAATATTTTTTTATCATTCAGATCCGATATGGTTAAAACAATCACTGTTTTTGGAGCGACGGGTCACCAGGGTGGCGCTGTAGCCCGGGCCCTAGCAGCCGACACTGCCAATTTCACAGTTCGCGGTATCACCCGTGACGTTCAACAGGAAGTTAAAGTTGACGAACTGAAAGCAGCTGGTGTAACTGTTATACAGTGTGATTTAGACGATGTAAACAGTATTCGCATGGCTTTAAACAATGCCGACGGATGTTTTATTGTGACATATACAGACTTTTCTGAAGATGACTGTATAAAGAAAGAAATACAAAGAGGAAAAAATATTGCAGACGCTTGCCGAATGGCGGGCGTTCCTCACGTGTTATATAGTACACAACCACATACGACGAGGGTTAAGGGCATTGAAGCAAGGCATTTAGTAGCCAAGGCAGAAATTGAGGAATTACTGGCTGGTTTGCCATTAACATGCTTCCTTGTTCCGTGTTATTATGAAAATTTGTTCGATCTTCTTAAACCCAGACAAATAGACGATTGTGGAAACTTTGTGTTGGGTAAGTTAAAATTGATATTTTACATTTTCGTTGAGGCACATTATGCCTCATAAAAAAATACATTTTTACTTTTTCAGAAAGGGCAAGCAGTTTAAATGATGATTTTAGAGAAATGTTAGATGCTTGGTACCTGAATAAAGTAGAGATAAAATGTGAAATCATCTATATTAAAAGTAGCAACATTTAAACAAAGAAGTATTTTGACTTCCATACAAAATACGTACTAGTTCACTGAAACTGTGCTTATTGCTAAAAAGAAACAGATGAAAAAGATGGTTCTCGAAATTAGCCAATAATTAACTTTTTGGATACTGTATAAGTACACCAAAATTACATTTTTTGAGAAATGAAAATAAAGCATCTCTGAGTCATAATGGGTCTTAAACAAAAGTTTTCTATTTTCAAGGCGGCTCAACTATAGAAAGTATGATGTCCGCCTTTATTGTAAACATAACGACAGGACTATTGCTTTTAACCTTAACAACCTTAATGTCTGTAAAATTATTTTTCTTCAAATTTTAGCCTACCGATGGCAACAGAGTCTACTTATATGCAACAAATGCAGACCAAGATCAGCCGGTACGTCCGTGCTGTCCAATTATCGTCTGCAACGTTGCTATTTAGTCAGTTCATAATAATGGTCTCGCCAAGTTTGAGAGATGGGTCTATTTAATATACTACCCGCTATGTGCGCGAATATTCCGGTGCGAACCGCGACATATGACACATGACCGCCGTCATTAGAAAAGGCACTGATGCTTTTTTTATCATTTTTTTTTAATTTATAGACATGTATTATATTATCATTATAACACAATATATATACACGGCATAAAAAAGAAATCTTGTATGATTTCAATTAACAAAATGACGTCGGAAAAATTACTTCTACGTTCGAAATAGTTTGACATATTTTTTTACCAATTCTCATATTATTTAAAGCATGTTAGAATGGAAATAGATATTAATTTTTCTTGCGTTGCAGTATAATAATGCACGGTTTATCGTTCAAATGCTTTGTAATTCATCACCTCGGCATATCGGCCTTGAAAGTCGTGATTATATTCCTGCGCATTTGATTTCGAACCGTTCATTATTCTTCAACACTGCAATAAAAATTGATATCTTTTTGCTAAATAAACATCAAAATGATAATATAGGTTTAAGAATAAAAAAAAAATTTCAATGTAGAAAAGTTGTTATAAACCCAATATTTACATTTAACGATAATTGGGAAATCGATCAGTCGTTGGTGATTGATCTATGAATCATCTACCTTGGTCTGAGTTATTCAGTTATTTGCTCATGTTTCAGAAATATGTCATCTTAGAGATTTTCATTCATTTGAAAAATTCGTTGATTATTGTTCCGGGTTTTTGTCATATCACTTTGTCTTTGCATTCTTTTATCCCATAAGAAAACTTTATTTCATTTCTTCAAAATTAATTATCATTAAATTTACATTTTAATTACAGAGATTCCAATGGGTGAAACTCCGCTTGATTTAGTGAGTGTCGAAGATGTTGGACAGGTTGCCAGGACAGTATTTCTAAACAAAAACCCTTTTCTTAACAAAACTTTGAGTTTGTGCGGCGAGAAGTTGACTATACGAGAGATTGCAGCTCAATTAACACATTATCTACGACCTTATGTGTTCAAAGACAAACCTGTACGTAAATATGCATATTATCAAATCTAAAGATCAAATAATTAGTGAGGGCCATACCATTCTATTTTAAAAGCCTTGGTTTTATTATATGTATACTAATACTATAGTTTGTTTTGCGCGTAAGGTTTGAGCGTATAAGTGCTAAGTCTGTGACTAATAATCATTAGAACCAAGGAAGACATATTCCTAACAACAACTTATTTAATGTAAGCAAATATCAATAACTGTCATTGCAGCAAGGCTCGAATCCGGCGCCACCCGTCGGTTATTCATCGGAAAATGTTTTACCACTATGTAGTCATGCCCCGCTGAATAAGTATGGTGCACGAATTCTCGTTAGTACATTTTCATAACAAGTAATAATAAGTACTGATGAGACAAAATACCTGAAAGTATTTCAGAAGCATTATTTGGTGTTGCTTAAACTGCAGAAAATTTGTTTTCACACATGGTCGCCGCAGAGATTCGATCCAAACTTTGGAAAGTTAAAACAAATATGTATAGAAATATGTTTATGTATTAATCGTAGAACTAAGTAATGAAATATAATCTATATAGTGACTGTACATTTTTCTTCAGATTACCGTGAATGACTACAAGAAGCAGGGTAAACCGTGGTCCGTGGACTTCGGTAACATGTTCGAGTATTTTGTCCGGAAGGACCAGAGGTACCAGCTACAGCATACCAAGGAACTTTACCCGTACGTGCAGAGTCTAGCACAGTGGATCGAGAAAAATAGGGACAAACTTTTCTCTACATATTCTGGAAATTCGCAACAGCAAATGTAACAACGGCCATGCTACGCATTATTTCATTTCAATTAGTCAATACAGTTTCAAATGTGTTGTCTCCCTTGTTCCACCATCTTTTTCCCCGCGTAATTAATTAAAGTGTGATTAGACCTGTGTTAAGAAACTTACTATGAATACAAAAGGGATGGTTTTTAAATCACGGAATAAATCGTTTAGATTGTTCTAGTCAAACTGACACCACCAGGACTTATTGAGGATATCCGAAATATTTAAATCTTTAAATTATTTACCGAACTTTATTCTTGTATTTCTTTTCTGACAGACCAGAATGCAGTGTCATTACCATATACTTTCATTTTGCATTATATATTTATACTTTCTTCTGTTGACTTTTTGCACGTCATGAATATGTTTTCGCACAAAAAAACTTGTTGTGTTTATCTTAGACTTTGTTGTTTTAAAGGACGTACCTTATGTATCTTGTCCATACAATTTCTCATAAGAAGTACTCTAGGTGCCTTACTCATAAGTACCCTATGCACCTTCTCATAGGAAGACAAAGCTGTTATATTAGTCTCTGATAGAAAGTACCGCATGTACTTTAATATTCATACATGACTCTCAAAGGACTATACCCTCTAGAAATATTAAGAAAATTTAGTGAGACTTAAATTTTTATTGTATGAAAACAAAATATTTTTTATAATATTACAACATGTAAAGATACTTTAACATAACTATCAATCAATAAAAAATAAGTGGTTCTAAAAGGTTTCAATAATAACAGACATAGAGAAACAAATATATGTAAATTTGAACTCAGTAAAATTAAAACTCCATCATGATATGATCAACTTTCAAATACAAAAGAAAATTGTGTTAACATCTGACTAATTACTAAAAATATCAAATGAGAATATTCAAATGATACATTGCCTATTGCAGACCAATCCACTTTAATTACTTTATACAAGGACGTTCATCATTTTCTAAATCAATTCCATTGTTTACAAAATGAACCACAGTAAAAAGTTCATCTACATAAGATAGTTACAGTTCATAAACAGCTCACGATTTATGCGATTAACAAAGTTCATAATTAAATTAATATCATAAGAAATGCCTGGCAGGCATTGGGCGACTTAAAAGCTTCATAAAAAATTATGGGATTTTACATGGGATTTTTTCCAAGAAAATACACAGTCACATGACCTTATATAAACCAGGCCAACATGAACATCTATATACTTTATTATAGTGGTCATCTCATACATTACATGATGATAACTTATTCTTATACACTCATCTTTAAAGGAACTCATCTTAGGTTATTTGGACATGACGGGACTGGAAATAATTTTGAGATTTATGTCCCATTAGATACATGTCACGATGTCTAGACTGATGAACTTGTATGCAAAATACCAGGTCATTCAGTTGCTCCATTTTTCTAGAATAATTATTCTAATTGTGAAAAATCACCAAACATTGAAAAGTGTTTCTTTCACTCAAATCAGGCTAATAGCAAAAGAATATGATATTTAATGTATTTCTGATTATATTTCATAATTATCATTTGCGTATCTTTCTGTTTTAAGTAACCCAGCTGATCATTGCAAGAATTATTTTTTTTTATGTTTCTTGGCTTTTGAACCTCATTGTCACTCATTAATTAAAGTGAATTGGTCTATAACTAAAGGTCTGTTACACCGTAAATAATCATGTTGATAGTATCTACATGATCTAGGACTTATGGCAATGCCTTTTAAGTCCCAGATAGTATTTAGTATCATATATGACATGAAATTTAATTGTGAAAGAATTATTTATGGATATTGTTGGCAAGTGTGAGATACATGATCCAATATTACATATTTATATATAGCCGAAATTGTTCTAGAACACACTATATTTTTTAATATATAAATGACTACTAACATTTTTTCTTGACGAAACATTTTATAAAAATATCTAAATGATACCTCTTGTAATCAATATTTAAAAAACTTATGGACAATGTGCAAACTATTGGAACACCATTAAATTGGCCAAAATATACACGGCAAATAAGCTCTCATCAAAAAATATATTATAAATGATACAGGTTTGCAAACATATTAAATTATGTAATTTATCCCTGATTAGGCTAAGGTAATTTAATTTTGACATCAGAATCTGTAACAAGTAGCTCCATGTAATCGTAACTGCTATTTTTAAAAGCCTCTGCAACGGTCTTAGCTGCGGTGATATGTTCAAGTCCTATTAAACTCTTGCCGTTCACTTCCAAGATCATGTGACCAACTTTCAGACCACCTGATTCATATGCTGAGCCACCAGGCTGAAAAATATATAACAACACAATGATGAAATGTGAAATTTGTGGTTAAAATGCTGAATGTGTGCAATGTTTTTTTTCCCAATTTTGAACTGGGAACAGTTTATTCAAAATGTAAGGAATTTCAATACCAAAATGCAAACACTGAGTTTGCAACAGTATAGGGCCTGGTCAGATGCATAGTTGTGCAGACTGGGCTGGCTCTATACTGTTATCATACATGTATGCTAATCACTTTCATTTCCAGCATGCTAAAGGTAACGTGTCTACACTAAAAGTGTTTAATTTCAAATTTGACAGATAATTACAATGAATTTCCCCAGATAAGCAATCTCATCAAAATCATATCCTAAATGAGGCTCCACTACCTTTTGCTAATTGTTACACGAAGAGCAACGGAGCTAAAACAATGTTCTGATTTTAATGAGACTGCCAGATAAATAAACAACCTTCTGAAAATCCAATTTATTTCCTAAAATTTCTACAACTTACCTTCATATCTAATGAAATTGTTATGATATTTTTAGAAAAAAATTAACACATACATGACTTACTAAGTAATAGCTATATAAGCAACTACTATACAAAAGTGCCATTAAAACATTATACAAGTACCTGTAAACTGATGACCCTGGGGACTGGCTGTCTGGTGTTTGCCCCACCCTCTATAGCCATACCTAATGTAGGTTTAGTTTTATACACAGGTATAATATACAATGGTACCTCACCATACTTTTTCTTAGCATCTTTTATTTGTCGAGATTCCTGAAATGTCAACAAAAGAAGATAAGTATAAATGATTTAGTCATGTGAGATAAAAGATAATAACCAGAACATTACAATTACATTTTGTATTGGCACATTATATTACCTGTTAAGGGATACGGACAAAAGCCCCCCAGATAGAAGTGCCCCCATCCAAAAATGACAAGGTGGACAAAAGCCCCCCCCCATGAAATTTGCACATAGGACAAAAAAAAAACATCAAAAAATACAGGTAGGACACCCCCCCCCCCACTGTCCATCAAACAAAAGTTCCCCCCCCCCCCTAAGGTTTTTATAGACCAGACTCAGAACCATTACTATCTTTTTTTACATGCCAAGTGTTCACCTTTTAATGTCCCAAACAACTACCACTGTCACTTTTATTTAATCTTTTACAGTGATTTTAATTAACTTTTACCCTGCATAACTTTGAGCTGGGCTCATTAGATTATAAAGAAAGTTTCTCAGCTTGAATTCAAACATAATCTTCATTGTCAGAAATTGATAAAAAGTGTTCAGTGACCAATGAAAATTCTATGATTTGAGACAGAAATACAACATTGAGACCAGATCATACAGTCATAATAGGTTTTTTTCTTCTCACATGTTATTTTATTTGAAATCACTTCAAAAACCTGTAATATATGAACATATGATTTGATATCGTTTTTTTTGACATAAAGAGAGAATGAATCAGGCATAAAACAGCAACACTTATGCAAAAAAGGAACTTTAATAAAATTATTGTACATGGTAAAAGTAAGAAATTAAGAATCCTTTACAACAGCAGATCAATACAAATTAAATATTAATGCAATGTTTTTATAATTATAAATACATGTTGTACCTGCTCTTGCCTATCAATAATTGCAAGCTCAACAAATGTATGAATCTGTGGTCGGGGTATTTTCATCGGCTCCAGAGTCAAACAGGAATCCATGTTAAATAACTTTTTTATGCGGATATCATCACTTTACTTCTTATTTTAAGCAACATTTATCAGTTTATATATATATCCAATATCTTACATTCATTCACTTAATATTTTTAGTTTAACTATTAAATAATTTTATCACAAACTTTCATCACATATTTATACCGTGTTTCTATGTAATATGAATAATAATAAATTGATACTATGTCAGAGAAAATGTTGTCAAGGTAACACTAGTGAAATATGATGTTATTGTTTTTGCCATAAACTTTCAGAGATCAATTTAAATGTCAAGTATTTCTTATAATATTGAATATTTCCATCCATGATTTTTAATCATATTAACATTGAATAACTGCGCATTCACAAATATTGAGATTTTCCAATATAAGGCAGAGTATTTCCATGGTAATACACAGCATTTCACCTAATACAGGTGAGTTCACAGTTATTGATCAATATGATGTATAGATAGGTGTAACTGTTATTGTATAGTCTCTAATAAATGCACCTCCCGGGGTTGTAAGATTGTCCAAAAGGGGGGCTTAAATTAATGTTATAGAAAAAACTTTAATATTGTCAAAATATTAATAAATGTCAGCTATTTTTTTGAGCTTTTTACACTGAATTTTATAAATTTGAAAGACTTTCTTTCTTTAAATTTGTGCTAATTTCAACTGTTATAAATGCTGAAATATTTGCCAAACATGTGTTGAAATTAAAAATTCATTTTTGGCTCATTTAATTTGTCACATGTATGTGTTTAGGTTACTCAGTTTCTTTTCCTGTCATAAAAATTGGGGCGGGCATTTATTAGAGGAAAGGCATTTATTAGAAAATATATGGTATATTAGTTTAACTATCAGATAGTGTAACTGGTGACAAATTGTGAATAAAAATGCCAATAATATGATGATAAAGGGGTTATCAAATTTATAATATGACTGATGAGAAAAACAGATGGACATTTTGCTATATAATATTAATTTGCTACTGGTGAAATAAAACAAGAGGGCCATGATGGCCCTGAAGTTGCTCACCTGTATATAGGCCCCCCAGAGTGGGGCCAGTTTAAACCCCAGGGCTTTTATTTGAACAAACTTGGTAGACACCCATTAGAAGGTGTTTCATGTTTCATCCATTTACGGACGACGGACGCCGGACGGACGCCGGACGAAAAGCGATCACAAAAGCTCACCCTGTCACAAAGTGACAGGTGAGCTAAAAACAATTAGTTTAGCTGAACATGATTCAGCAAAAACAACATTTTTATAAGCTATATAATTATAAAAACTGACAAAACCCATATGCTTTTTTTATTTACATAATTATAAAGCACTGCAGAATTATATGATTTATGTACTGATGTGAAAATACTAAGAAACTGTGTGAAATGATGAGATTATCTCCCTTTTAAAAAATCGCTTTGGATTCTTTTATGTATGTATGCTACCCAGCAAGCTTTCGGAACTTCGATGGTTCTACTCAAGTACCCCCTCATGTCTGAAATAATGCAAGGAAGGGCATCTGATGTCTTCCTCTATCAGTAAAGTTGGAAAGTCACCATTACAGTTTTGGTGTGACATTTAAACCCAAACAAAAAGAAATTTAAAAACTCACCGAATTACTATGTGAAGCCTCATAGTCCAAGACTTTGTCCAATGAACTCACATAGAAGTCTGTATGATCCCCAACATCGGAACTTATCTCTAGTGTGTCTTGGTCATCATCAACATCATCATCAACATCATCATCTTCATCATCATCTGACTCGATCATACTTCCTCTTAAAGATCTGCCACGTCTTTTTCGTAAAGCGTTCATAAACTGTGGCGAGGACTGGCTATCGAGACTCATGGTGTCTATGGAACCGTTTCCATCATTTATTCGGATTTCCACGGGCGGGTGCAAACTAATGTTTCTATGGGATGGAAAATTTTTTGGCGAGGATGTAGCACTTATGTTGTCATCATTTCTTTGTCTATGATTATTTAGTGTTGCGATGCTTTGATGTGAGCGTGTACTACGATTGGTTAATGTTGAATGATTGCTATGGTTACTGCTATCACGTGATGATGGTTTAACGAAGGAACGATTGTGCAGGACATCATTGATATTTACAGGGTTATCAGATGATATTGTGACCCTGAAAAGATAAATTATCATGATAATAAATCTAAATAATACTCTAACATAACAAGAGCACTGGATGTGGTGTGAACGCTTATCTGATAGTGGCGAATGACTATATATCTGTTACTGGCAAATGAGTATAAATTACCAATTTTAACAAAAACTAGAAATGTGTCATCATGCCACGGATGCCCCTGCATGCAGCCAAAATTTCAGATGGTGCATTAATTATTTTTTTCATTTTAAGTTCAAAGCCCTTAAAACTTTTCAATGTTAACACAAACCATTTTCATACAATGTTCAAGGCACTGATATTATTCAGTCTTAACCTTTTAAAAATAGCATATTGCATATTTGTAGCCAAAATAATGGCTAAAAGTATGAGTGCTGAAACTGAAATTTTTCCAACATTCAGGAAAGATTAGTTTGTCTAAAATCATTGAACCACGACCAAATTCAAACTTAAACTGCTTATTCCTAAGATGTATCTATATTATTTTCAAAGTGAAAGGGACATAACTCTGCCAAAAAATCATCAAACCATGACCAAATTCCAACTTGACCTGCCCATTCCTTTGACATATCCATATGTCAAATTTAAGTTGAATATGTAACACTGTTGGGTAGATAATGAACTTTCATATTATTTTCAAAGTGAAAGGGGCATTACTCTGCCAAAAATCATTTAACCATGACCAAATTCGAACTTGGCCTGGGCATTCCAAAAACATATCCATATGTCAAATTTGAGTTGAATGTGTTGTACCATTGGGGAGATAATAAACAGAAACTGAAAATTTCATATTACTTTCAAAGTGAAAGGGGCATAACTCTGCAAAAAAATCATTGAACCATGACCAAATTTGAACTTGACCTGCGCATTCCTTTGACACATCCATATGTCAAGTTTGAGTTGAATGTGTTGTACCTTTGGGGATATAATGAACGGAAACTGAAAATTTCATTTTGTTTTCAAAGTAAAAGGGGCATTACTCTGCCAAAAATTATCAAACCATGACCAAATTCAAACTTGACCTGTACTTTTTTCATGACATATCCATATGTCAAGTTTGAGTTGAATGTGTTTTACCTTTGGGGAGATAATGAATGGAAACTGAAAATTTCATATTATTTTCAAAGTAAAAGGGGCATAACTCTGCAAAAAAATCATTGAACCATGACCAAATTCGAACTTGACCTGTATTTTCTCATGACATATCCATATGTCAAGTTTGAGTTGAATGTGTTGTACCGTTGGGGAGATAATGAACAAAACTGAAATTTCATATTATTTTCAAAGTAAAAGAGGCATAACTCTGCCAAAAATCATTGAACCATGACCAAATTCGAACTTGACCTGTATTTTCTCATGACATATCCATATGTCAAATTTGAGTTGAATGTGTGCAACTGTTCTTAAGATAATGAACGGAAACTGATGATGACGGAATGACAGAATGACGGAAGGACAGAAGGACGGAACACTGGGTAACACTATATGCCCCGGCCATTACATGGAGGGGGCATAAAAATTAAAAAGTTAAAAAGGGGCATAACTCTAAAATATAACTTTGAGAATAATGCTCATTGTCTTACAACTGCACCTTATTATGATATGCCACATTTCATGATTATACCAGTATTTAAATGTTTGATTAACAATAAAGTTTCTGCACAACAACAACAAAGATGAAGTCACCGACAGCACTTATTACAGCTATATTATTTCTATGAAACAAGTAAACTCAAAATATGGTAGATATGATTATATTTTCAATGTACACATACTTTCATAAATAATTTCATCTTTATTTCTAATACCGGTAACTTATCTTTACTGGACTAAACAGCTATCTTTATATTAAATGAAAAGTTGTATTGTCAAAGTCAATCTAATATTATAACAATGTTTCATTTGTGCCATTCAAAAAATACTTTAACCTTTACCCTTCAGCTACAATAATTAATCCACCCATGTGATCAGTGCAGACCAAGATCAGTCAACACATCCATGCCATCTGATCATGGTCTACACTGTTTGCTATTTACATTTTGAAATTTTCCCTTAAAAAATAATACTAGGTTGTTTTGTCAAGATTGAAAGACAGACAAGTTCATTTAAGATATTTAGCATGGTAAAAATTAAGTAAAACTAAATTCAAACTATTTTAACTTGTTTTCACTTAATAAGAAAATAATGTCATTCAGTTTTATATTAACTTTAATAAAACATGACAAAATTAATATAACAAACATACATGCAAACTACAAAATGTTTATTCATGCAAAACAAAAAAGTTCTTTCTTTCAGAATAATAACATCTTAAAACTAGAACTGCCACTGTCATGTCGTGAATACCCCCGCATACCACTTTGTCAGAATCAACAGTGACCATTGAGAGCTCAAAGACAACCTCCCTGCAAAATCTGAGGTTACTAAGCCAGTGCATTGCTAAGTTATGTATTCTACATGCTTCAAATGTGAAAATGTCAAAATCAATACACTGCGGACAGGCATTCTTAAGCATTTGAGCAGACAAGCTTATTATAGTAAAATCCCTGTGACCTTGACCTTTGACAGTCACCTAAAAATCAAAAGGGGTCATCTACTAGTCATAAACAACCTCAATACCAAATATGAAGACTGTTGACCAAAGCCTTCTTAAGCAATTGAGCGGACAAGCTTTGTGACATTGACCTTTGACCTGGTGACTTCAAAATCAATGGGCTCATCTACTAGTCGTGACTAACTTCCATGCCAAATATGAAGACTGTGGGTCAAAGGATTCTTAAGTTATTGGGCGGACAAGCTTTTTGAAGTCAAGGCCCGTGACCTTGACCTTTAACCTGGTGACCTCAAAATCAATAGGCATCATCTACTTATCTAGACTAACTTCCATGCCAAATATAAAGACTGTGGGTCAAAGGATTCTTAAAGGCACATTATGCCTAGGAAATTCATATTTTTTCAGTTCTTTAAAAATGTCAAACATGTGTTTAGTAATGTTTTAATAATGATTGAAGAACATGTAAAATATTCAACAACTGAAGAAAGTAGCGCTGAACGTGCAGTAATGTGTCGTTAAGGTAGCAAAATGTAAACAAAGTAGTATTTTGACTTCCATACAAAATACTGATTCACTGTAATTACACCAGTTGCCAACAGAGCAAATGTAGTAGGACAAAATTTATGAATATGGCTAATATGTATTTTTTTTTTGAAACTGAAACAAGATATTTTTTGAGAAATAAAATTGATAGCATTTCTTAGGCATAAATGGCCTTTTGAGTTATTGGGCGGGCAATAAAAAAAACGACGGACGCCAGACGGCCGGACAGCCGGACAGACATGCTGATTCCAGTATACCCCCCTTACAACTTTGTTGTGCAGGGGTATATTAACTGATCTAGATCAATTAAAATTAACAGCTTTAAATATTCTAGAATTAAAAAAAAAAAGTCAAACATAAACTTAAGAATATGAAACAGAGTAATTACAATTATCTCTTACTTTGATTTCTAGAACATGAAAGTATACTAGTCATATGGCGACTTTTCAGCTTTATTGTTGGAGGAAGATCTCAGGTGCCCTTCCGAACATTATTTCAGGCACAAACAGCACCTGAGTAGAACCACCCACATTCCATTAGCTTGCTGGATAGCTTTCTCACATGAAAGAATTCAAAGTCCCTGTTGGGATTCGAACCCACAGCGGTGAGGGGCAAGTGGTTTGAAGTCAATGATCATGACTTGGCCATGAATTAATGCCCCTTAGATTTGCCTAAAGAGATCATTGATAGCATAACAATAAGTCTTAGAGAAATTTGATACAGAATTATTCCTCACTTTCAAATAAGTATAAATATAAATAATTATAGAATGATTCTAGAATTGAAAAAGTATATATTATTTCTAGACTCTGAAATAAACAGGATTTATATTCCATATTACTCTAGAATATGAATGGAGCAAATTTAGAATACTTCAACAATTTGTTAATGAAGAAATATGAATTTAGGATAATTTAAACAATTTGAAATACAAATGAATTATTCTAGGATTTAAAACATTTGAAACAATAATGTTTTTTTGTGGATCAAATTTATAAGATTTGGTAAAGTGACTGATACTGTATCTCATCTGTTAAAGGGTGAGGAAAATGTGCAGCCTGACCAAGACTTGAAACTGTGACCTTCGGAATACCGTTCTGCAGCTCTACCTACTGAGCTATCCGGTCGCTTACACATTCTCTACCCCAAATAGTGAACAGTTCTGCAAACTTAATTAAACTTGTAATCATGCACTACAAACTGCAGGTATGTAATAAGTGAGAAATCAATGTATTTACAATGTTTGATAAGGCATTAATAAGAGATACTCTGGAACTCAGTAAATGTCAGTATTTTCCTATATAATACCAGGGTACAAACTTTTACAGTTACAACTTGTTAAATTTATCTCTTATAAGAACAAGAACCGGGTGATGCTACCCGAGTAGGTTTTGGACACAGACTAGAACTCCGTGAGTCAGATGTGTTGCCTTGTGAACAGTCATAATAGCTGTCATTTTTATTTAAATATAGATAATTTATAAACACCGCTCTTACAATGTACATATACCTTGAATTTTAGTGGCATTTGAACTGATTGTAACAATGTAACATCAGGATTAACAATGTAATGCTGTGACCTTGACCTTCAAGGAAGTGACCCAAATGTTGTGAGTGACATGTCAACTCAATATGGTGATCATTTCTATGAAATAGTTGTAAAATCCGACTTCAAATAACGAAGTTATGGGCCGAACACGATTTTGCTGCAAGGTCATGCTGTGACCTTGACCTATGAGGTAGCGACCCAAATGTTGGGAGTGACACGTCGTCTCAATATGGTGATCATTTCTATGAAATAGTTGTAAAATCCGACTTCAAATAACAAAGTTATGGGCCGGACATGATTTTGCTGCAAGGCCATGCTGTGACGTTGACCTTCAAGGAAGCGATCCAAATAATGTGCGCAACAAGTCGTCTTAATATGGTGATCATTTCTATGAAATAGTTGTAAAATCCCACTTTAAATAACGAAGTTATGGGCCGGACACAATTTTGCTGCAAGGTCATGCTGTGACCTTGACCTTCAAGGAAGCGATCCAAATAATATGCGCAACAAGTTGTCTTAATATGGTGATCATTTCTATGAAATAGTTGTAAAATCCCACTTTAAATAACGAAGTTATGGGCCGGACACAATTTTGCTGCAAGGTCATGCTGTGACCTTGACCTTCAAGGTAGCGACCAAATGTTGTCGTCTCAATATGGTGATCATTTCTGTGAAATAGTTGTAAAATCACACAAGTCACACAAGGCTTAAATAAAGACACACAAGTAAAACAGAATGAATAGGATCAAAGAGAATTTACTGTTACCTATTGTTCTCCAAGTCACATAAGTAACTCTGGGTTTGTACGGACTGATGGACAACGGACAACCCGGCGACTATATGCTTCCCCAAATTTTTTCAGGGAGCATAATAACAATTTAATACCTCTATTGTGAATGGTAGCAGTCAAGCGTATATTAATTTGTACCCCATAATTAGACCTGAAAATCATTACCCACAATTACTGAGTTCTGGATAATATCTATTTGGAAAAATCAGAAATTATATGTAAATCACAGCAATTCATGCAAGATGCAGTGATGTTTGAAATATATATACATGTAGGTATATACATGTAGTTACATACAATGTACATGTATATATCATATACCAAACCTTTTTTGTCTCATTGAGAAATTACTGCTGTATATTCTTTTGAAGAAAGAATAAAAGAACACAGATAAAACAAATTCTCTTCAGAATTATCTTTAAATTAAATTTGTTCTCAAAACAGCTTTTTTTCAGCACATACATGTAGAACAATATTTATGTCAGGACAACAAATTATGAGTAAAAATTAGCAGAATACACCAACAGGTCCACACAACAGTAAATGTTAATGGATGGTTTTGTCAGAGAACAGTTTAAAGTTACAAACATTTAACAATGTTATTAACATCAATATTACCAGAAAGGGAAATATTATGCTTTGAACTACTAAGGTTAAAATCCTTGTATTAAAGGAGAGGACTACCATGAGCTATTGTAGCTCTCGGTCCAATTCCTTTATGCTTTAATTGTAAATTATTAACATGTATATATTACCTTGAATAAAAATATGTTTAAACCAAAATCCTTGTATTGATGATGAAATGTTTTATGTCAGATAGTTGCCAAGCTAAGCTAAAGGAAGATCAGTGATTCTAATATTTAGGTGGCCAGTATGTGACTGACATAAACCACCGTGAAGCTCGTTTATATACTAATTATTTTAGTTTGATTATGTTGGAAGCTATAAGCTTATTGAAACACACTCTAATCCTAGATGATTCATGGAACCAACCAGTATTTAGCAATGAGTGTAAAGTTTCTAGCTCACAGAAATCTGATGGGGTTTGAACCCACACAGTGAGCAATCCTTAGATTACTAGTCCGACATGTTAACCACTTGGCCAAACCACCACTCAATGCATTGATGACTGTCACGGGGAAGATGGGAGGTAGGGGAAATCTTAGTACAGTCTTTCTTTATCACTAAAACGTTAGGATCTTGGTTAACTACCTCAATATTGTTAATGAGACATAAAACCAAACAAAATATCTACCTGTTAGCGGGATCATTGACGTTCAGTCCACCACTATCAACACCACTGTCATCACTAGGTGACCCGTCTGCATGCTAGTAAAACAAATTATAAAAACCAAGTTGAAACATTAAAATGGCTTTAAATATCTATAAAAGTATGATTTATTTTAGTTTATTTATTTTTTATTCTGAGAGACGTTACAAGAAAACTGCTGGGAAGAGTTAGTGTAGGGGTAGAGTATCTCAGACTCCTACAACCTGAAGGTTGTGGGTTCAAATCCCAGTATGGCAACATTCTTTCTTTACTTCTACAATTCACACTGGTGCCAATTTACCAGTAAAGACACCAACAAAAATGTTAACTAGCGTGACTTATTTGTAATAAGTGAAATTCAGTCCTAATTGAATAATAAAACAGGTAGAAAATTGTCCAGTCATGTGTAGTTGATAAGCTTAATTTTTTTCTGTCAAAACTTTGATTTGAACCTCACATTACAGCTGTTACATATCTAATATACATCATTTGCATAACATGTTAAGACAAACACTTTGTACTTACATGTGAATGAAATGTGGGTGGGGTGTGAATGTCCGCCTCTATGGTATGTAAAGCATGTGACGAATTATAGCGGTTATCTGCCCTTGTCAAGTTGATATAAGACTGGCTCGACAAACTCGCACTGTCTGCTACAGAATGTTTACTTTTAGGTGACCTAAAAATATAAACAAAACTTCTTGAGTTTTACTAAGCACATAATATTATAGTTTTCATACAACTCAACTGTCATACATAAAAGTTTTACAGAAAATTTGTAACATGACTTTGACCTTTGAAAATCAAATGACCTTAAAACTTATTTATAATTGAATCATCATCCAAATATAACAAACCAATAAAGAAAATCATAACATGTAACAAAGATACTTAACTATCTTCAAAAAATTATAAATAAGTCTTTTGGGCATTTTCACCCTATCACCGATAGGGCCGATATATTACAGGCCCCATTTGCAATTCAAAATAACCTCTATTTTTTCCCCCAATTAAAAAAAAATATTCCCAATTGCTGCTAAATAAAACATTTTTTTAACTTTTGGGAAAGATTTAATTGTTTAGATATTTTGTTCAAAGTTGAGACAGGTTGTATGATCATACATACATGTATAAGATTGTTTTTCAATAGATTTTAATTTCTCCAATTTTCCAAAATGCTAAATAATTTTTCCCAATTTAAGAAAAAGGCCTTTTCCCAAAGAAGCTGGAAAAGTCCCTGTTAAAAGATATCAATTATGCTCATCTGTTATGCTGATTTTAACACATTTTCTTTGGTCATTTCATTGGTCAACCTAATTCCAACTAATTTTCCTGGATAACTAACCAGTAATTACATGTACCAATGACTCAGTAACTTGTTGCCATCCCAAAATTTATAGACATACCTTACATCTTCCACCGACCTATACCTCCTCCTTAATGAAGAGCTATTACTCCCAGACCTCTGACGATGTGAGTACGAATTGCCCGATTTACGTCTTTGTGAAGAGCTGTTTGACCTTGGTCGCGATGTCGTCTGGTTGTAAGGTCGGTGGACTGGTGAGGGTGAAGGTGACAGATCTGATGTTGTGTCTATATAGACAGGTATCAAAGTTTCTTGCGACATAGAGCGTCTTGATGACAGAGATGTTTTCAGAAGGTTTGGGGGTGGCGAATGTATGAACTCTGTAGATGTAGACCTTTGTAAAGCTGACTTCTTTCTAGATGGCTGTAAATATTATCACGACTATACACATTTTCAAATGTCTATGATATATTTTAAGAATTTAGAATTTATTTTATCATACTGCATAACATTGTGTGTAACATCAAATTCCATTGGATAATTCTAATGATTATATAAACTATATACTACTACTGTACACAACTGCTGTCAATTTATGAAGTAATTTCTTTTGTTAACTAGTAAAGGGCATTTACTGTATTACACAGTATTATACAGTTCTTTGCAATATAACCCTCCCATAGCAGCTCTGGTTATACAATGTATATCCAAACCTTTATACCTTTGCATATTGTTCTGTTTCCTTGACAAAATATATATCATGTTATTGCCTCACTTGACCATAATATTATATGTTTTATATAATATGTGTATGGGCTGGTGGCCTGATTATACAATAAACTTTTGAATTTGAATTTATATAGTGCCAAAGTACTAATATAATGTAATGTAATGTAATGTAATGTAATGTAATAATGTAATGTAATGTTATGCAATGCAATGCAATGCAATGTAATGTAATGTTATGTAATAAACATAACTGGGAGTACCTTGCGTGGGTTGTCAGATTGTATATGGTCATCTATTTGTTCAATAGCTTGACGTAATGGTTCAAGCTCCCACTCTGCCACTTGTTTATGTACACGACCGGATCTCTCCCGTAACGTAGATGCTCTCGATGCAGGGGCAGACATTGCCTGAAATTTTATCATACAATTTTTAAGTTCATGCATTATTATTTACAACAAAATTTAATGTTAACACAAATAAATTTTGTTAGATGATTTTAAGTTCACAAAAATAAATATGTAATAAGATTTTAAGTTCATGCAAATAATTTACTATAAGATTTTATATTTACACAAAAATTTTGTTATCAGATTTTTAGTTCACACAAATAATTTACAGTAAGATTTATGTTCACACAAATCATTTTTGTTATAAGATTTTATGTTCACACAAATGAATTTTGTTCTAAAATTTTAATTTGACACAAAAAATCCTTTCACACAATTTTTGTTATAAAATTTTTACTTTAAGATTTTAAGTTTAAGATTTTAAGTTCACACAAATAATTTTTGTTATCAGATTTTTAAGTTCACAAAAATAATTTACTACATGTATATGATTTAATATTCTCACAAATAAATTCCATTATAAGATGTTTATGTTCACAGAAATAATTTACTTTAAGATCTTGTGTTAAGTGTCACATAAGATTTTAAATTTACACAAATAATTCCATATAAGATTTTATGTTCATCAAAGTAACAAACAAATTTTGTTATATGATATTTAGTTCACACAAATAATTTACAGTAAAATTCTATGTTCACACAAATAATTTTTATTATTAGACTTAAAGTTCACACAAATAATTTACTAAGATTTTATATTCACACAAATAAATTTTGTTTTAAGATTTTAATATGTTCTGCCAGTGATGTAAATATAACCTCATGTCAAGTTTATTTGACCATATAAAGTTTCACAAACTCACACTGGGCAACTACATGAAGTGTATGTCAGGCTCACTGTAAGCAGGCCTGATCAAAAATCAAAAGTGCCAATATGTTTTTGTACCATTCAATTCCTTATGATTTTTCTTAATGTTATAAAATCTTATCACCTTAGTGCAGTAACATGCTAAATTCTTCTAAAATTTAATACAAGTTAACCTGTCATTGCACTATGGTATATAATATACCATGGAGAGTAATTATTTACCTTGTACGGATGGCGTAATCTATCAGATATCCCCTGGTCATGTCCGTCCAGTGAGTACGTGCTAAAACTGTGAGGACTAAACCCTTGTTTCTGGTGGACTTTAAATTCCTGCCTCTGCAGGGCCTATAAATTATATAAATAAATCTGTTAACATTATAAAATTATGAGATACAATAAAACCTGCGCAAAAGACTATCATGCATATTGTCCAATATACTGAGTCAAACATGTGCTATAAGTATGTGCTATTATGCCACCGATCATTAAAGATGATTCGCACATTTTATCATTTCCTTTTTGGACAGCGTACGGCATACAAAAATGCGTACAAAACCAAAAATCTCAGTCAAAAAAATGAATGGTTTTATCAAAATTCTTGACCGAGTTTTTTCCTTCTGTCTGGAAGTGGAGATGAGGTAACAAACAAGAATAAGTTTTAAAAGCAATACCACAAATGGAATAGGAATTCATCGGTAGTTGACTACTCTAAAGCATGACTCCAATGTCAGCTGAGGATAGCTCCTCCTATTATATAAAATTATTGTAATAGTTCAGCTTAAAATGAAAGTGACTTTTAAGTACCATAATACAATAGGTAATTCATGCTGTGTCAGTTTTAAATATGTATATGCAGTCTGGGGTTTTATGATGTCGGAGGATATTAACCATGTTGGAGGATACCTTGATTTTACAAATTGGGTAATAAAATTTACCTGTCTTCGTTTCAGCAACATATCAAATTTGTCAAGGTCACGACCTTGAACCCAGTTCCTTATCTCCTTCATCAAGGTCATCTGTAGAAAGTTAAAAATGTACCATAAAATTATTTGTTCAATAAAATTCACTCAGACTGCATCTCAAATTTTCCAAGAAAATCTAATTTACAGGTAAGAATATCAGAGGCGCATTTTTATTAGGAGAAACTGGTTGTCAATAATGTTATTAAATAACTTTTCGCTCAACACTTTTTTATGCTATGCATGATAATTTGTAATTACAAAATATAAATATTTATTCTTAAAAAAAATACACTTAACCTGCAAATACTTATACATGTAATACATCATTGAACATGTTGCTTCGAAATGAGCAAACAAATAGTCAAACTTGAGAAATATTGTATACTGATATATTAAAAGCAGTATCAAAATGAATTCACAATAAAAGTGACACTTTACTTCAAAATCATACAGAATTAACTTTTCATCATAATATTTTTACCTCCTTTACCAATCCACCAGTCAAATGTAACAACAACCCACAACACCCATGGAATAGCAGGCATTTTTCAAAACAATTGCTTGTCTGGATGGTTAGAAGTTAATTACAAATGCCACCTAAGTTCCTGCACAGTGCAAGTTGGACATATATCTGCGTATTCTTATTGGTGCCATAACAAAGACACCATATTGAATTGGCAGTACATGGACAGCTATAAGTTTATAATTCCACTCACTTTCCCAGCTACTCGCAGTGCCCCAGGTGTAGGTTGGTCAAGGTTAAAAATGACTAAGGCGCTAACAGTTTACCTGTCATATTTCAACATGTCGTAATTAATTTTTGAGCATATTCATACTGCCTATTGGTCACTTTATTCCATGTCTTTTAGAACCTTTAAGAAATGATTGGTTTAATTCTATCTCTATTATTCATTGAAGCAGATAATGTGGTGGTCTTGTTTTGAATTTTATTGTTATAGTTTCTTACCTTAGCTTTAGTATTGAGTAGTTCAAAGGAAGCCATGGCCAAACCATCTACTGTGATGAACCCTGCCTGATACTCACTGAGGTAATATCGTAACGTCCCTTGCTCCGTATCATTTAATAACTGTAATGCTTGTTTCTCTATTAAATCCCACTTTGTACTAATTGATGTATTATACATCAGTTGTGAACCAATACCTTTCCTAAACACAGAATTCTGTAAAAACATGTTACGAGAGGTCATCATTGCAATGTTTTCAATTTTAAATCTTTGAGTACATTAAGTTTTAATTCTTTAATGAGTTCATTCAGTTTCAATTTTTTGAGTTCAGTATAAGTTTCAATTCTTTGTGTTCATCAATTTTCAATTCTTTGAGTCCAATAAGTTTCAAATCTTCGAGTTCAATAAGATTCAATGCTTTGAGTTCATTAAGTTTCAATTCTTTGAGTCCAATATTAGATTCAATGCTTTGAGTTCATAAGTTTAAATGATTTGAGTCCATTCTTTGAGTTCAAAAAGTGTCATTGCTTTGAGTTTATTAAGTTTGATTCTTTGAGTTCATTAAGTAAATATAAGTCATCCAATTATGCAATGTAATGTTATAATATAAAATGCTACCTTTGAACTTGCCTCTGTCAACATACTATCTGTAGATCTACAAAAGAGTAAAACAAAATTAAGAATCAGATTAATGTATATACATACATGAATTTTTCATGCATTTGCTCAGTCACTTAACTACATCCCCTAAGCTTAATGTTAATGCAAAAACAAGGCAGACAACCAACTCCATTTTTCTTAGTGCTGGATAGTTAAATAAAAGCAACATGGATAAAAATTTGCAAAAAATAATTAGGATTACCTGCGCTTTTAAAATTGTATCCTTTTTATGATCACAATAAACATGTTTACCAAGTTTAAAGTGAATAGCTTAAATAGTTAATAGAATATTAATCTTTTACTGCTCAGAACAGTCAAGTGCTTTTGGCATTTAGTTACTGTCTACTGAACCAGAATGTCTGTGGACCAGCCTGACCTAGATATCACCAAAAAATGTGTTAAAGTCAGTATTTAAATATCCAAAATTCAAAATGTGCCCCATACCTTTAGCTGCTCTAAAATTTAACTTTTCAATATAGATACTGAAATCTCTCAGGCATAACAATGGACTGTTCTAAATTCAAAGCAGGATAAGTTCATTACACAATTTAGAGGGGTAAATAAGGGTTATTGTGTATACTTACTGGCTTTCTGTTCTTTGACGGCCTTTCCTTTGCTGATTTTTACTCATCCAACTTGTTTGATCAATTTTTGTCCTGTAAACACAGTTATGTATTATTATTATATGATAAACATGTATATTAGAGTGGCGGTATGGCTGAGTTGTTAAAGCATCAGACTAGTAATCTAGGGTTTTGTGATGGACAGGCAGAGGATGAAGAAGATATTTTTCAATACCAAATGGTTATAAAAAGGCAGATTCTTCTAAAGAAGAGAAAAAAAAATGCTTAGTTAACTCAATGGCAAATAAATGATGAGTTTAATAAATCATTAATGTAAGTGCATAAAAAGTCAACAAAAGTAAAATGAAACCTTGCAAATGGTAGCTTGCCAACATCTTTAGTAGTAAACATAAGGTATTTTGATGTCTTCAAAACACCCACAGCTTCTGCATGAGTTATGTCCAAAAAACTTCTCTCATTTACATCCAATATCTGGTCACCGATCTAATAAAATAGAATATAACAATACAATATTTTTCAATTTATTACCGATCTAATAAATCAAAAAATAACAATACAATATGTCACTTTTTCCACACTCCATCATAAGTTACATGTTTATTATGAATTCTGAGATGACCAATATTTCTGTCTAAAATTTTTTTCATATTTTTTTTATTATTTTCTCAGAATTTAAAAGTTTTGTGATTCAGAGTTATAGCCCCTGATCTTTCTTTCTTTTAAGTTTTAAATAGACGTAAAACATTTTACAATTGGTCGATCATAAAATTATAAAATATTGACATTTAACCTACCTTTTAGTGGACACACTCTTATCTCTAAAATAGTTGGGGTACAAAGATTCTATAATTGTTATTCCCCAGTTTAATGCTTGATCTCTTTGAACCAAAGATGTTAAGTCTTTGCCACAAGTAAAGAGCCAAGCCAGCCTGCACATTTATGCAGTCTAACCTGGCTCTATACTGTTGGAGGACCTTACAGCTTTAAATTTTTAACTTTATTTCCCTAAACTTGAAAATGGACAGTTCCAAAAATGGAATATCAGGACACGTCCATTTAAGAAATTCAACAGGTTACGGGTAAAGAAAATGTTTCATACATGCACTAAAACTGCATCATTCCTACTTCAGAACATATGTGATGAATACTTGATCTTAAAGTGAAATTATGCTCATTTTCAAGTTGAGCTAAATATCTAAAATCAGGTATGTATATTAACTATTGTTAATATACGTACCTGCTAAAATATAGATCTGTGTAAAATTGAACATAACACCGGTAAATTACAATGAATATTTACAGACATGAGTTATTATTTGTTTATGCAAAGTAAGTTATTAAATTGAAAGGAATTATGTCAAAATGAAAACTAATTCTGACTTTCACCTGCTCTTGACTATATACCCTTAGAGTGGCATAATGTCACTTATCAATAATAATAAAACACATACCTTCATTCCAGCTTCCTCTGCTAGTGAATGAGTATCTACACCAGATATATAAATACCCAGTCCAAACTCCCGACCCCCTCGTATCATGATTCCCAGGCTCTCACCATTCCCTACTGTTATATTGATCTGTGAAATATATGTGTAAGAGATTATAACTTATATGTTTAACTTAAAATGTTTCTTTTGTCATATTGTAACTGTTCTGGTCAAAGAGCAAACCTTTCATATTTAATATATTATAAATACCACATGAATTGTATTACAACAGTTACTCTGTCAGAAATAAATTCTTTTGGCTCAGTGTCTTGACCATTGTGTTTATATTTATTATCAGTTATTAAGGTTTGCCAATTTAACACTACTAAGCATTTTTGACATTAATTATCATTTCATACAAACAAACATTAACCTAATTACACAATAGTCACACCAAATAACATGCATATTTTCAAGATGATCTTGCTTCAGTTTTGTATGTAAGTTCATTGTTTAAGATGTCTTATAATTGAGTACTAACCTTTCTCTCATCAGGACCTCCTAGTAGAGAAAATCCTGACTTTCTACCAACAGAGTCAACTTTTCCAAGTTGTTCTAGTTCTGGTGGCGGGGAGACCGGACGTCCAGATCCATTGACCCATTTATACATCTGATGCACCGTGAATGACCCGGGAATACGACCAACGCGTGAAATCATCATTTCAAGTTTATCACATGATTGAATGTACTGTATTAAAAATATATATAACTTGTGTTTTAATAAAATGACACAATATGTCGCCTTGGTGCAGTAATGGAAAAAGTCCTTCTAAATTTAATAGGAGTTAATCAGTTATTGCACTAAAGGGTACTGTTACAGTACTAAAAATACATAAATCAATTAATAAATTGCATGAATATTCTTAGCATTAAGAGCTTTATTTAGAATTGTTTTTCCATAATATTCAATAATGATTTAATGTAATGTTAATTGTTAGTTTGTTTTATATGTAGCAATTCTACTGGTCATACAGTGACTTTCCAGTTTTATTGGTAGAGAAAGACATTATAGATGCTCTAATACTAGCTAAAAAAGAGAAATTCCAAATGGTCGGCTGAAATTTTGAAATAGATCCTACCACTTTGTGTGATCCTTGTTTAATTGGTTTGTTTAAAATTTCATGTCATAGATCACCAGAAAAGAATCTGGACACAAAAACTTTAAATGCTCTGTTTTCTTAAAAACAACTGATAAAATCCAGGTAAAAGATTGTTTATACTAATGTAATAATTGCAAGCACTAAGGTTTACTAAGAATCACTTGATATTTGACCTACCTCAAATAATAAATAAAAGAATAAAATTTGAAAATTACATGAACTGTTGTTAGAAACAGGCAAATGTCCCCGAAACAGGGACAAGTATAGGAACCCGACTTTGACTCACATCAAAGGCATGGTTATTGTAAAAAGTGTGTCAATAATATAGAAACTTTAACAAATATTTTCTCATATTCTCAATTAGCCCAATTATTTTTGTGCCAATTTATCTTAAAATCCTTCAAATGCATAACAAAGTTACAGTCCCGACATGAATGTGTACCTTAAAACTCTTCTTGTGAGAATGAGTAAAATATACCTTCAAACTATATGTGTGACTTTGACCTTGGAGGTAGGGACATGAGTCTTGGTCTGCATGTGGTAGACATATATACTAGATTTTGCATGGCAAAGTTACAGTCAGGACACAAATATGTGTACACTATTCTAATTGTGAGAAAGTGAACATTTAACTGTGAGACCTTTGAGGTAGGGACATGGGTCTATTAGACATCATCATGATTTGGTAGACATTTGTGCCAAGTTATTTAAAATCAAAGTTACAGTGCGAACACAAATGTTGTCTAAGTGGGGATGCATAGACAGATGGACAAACAGACGGACAGTGCTATTTAAATATGCCGAAATTCAGGGCATAAAAATGGGAAAGTAACTCTAAAAGAGCAAAGTGTCTTACAATTGAAGTCTGTTATAATAAATGTGTTATTATTATTCTAATCACAGTTACTAAAGGCCAATCTGAGGGAATCAAACATTTGATAGTGTGAAGAATTTATACAGAGCATTATTTTATTTTTTGTATGTTTCTGTGTTTTTTCCACCAATAACACATTATTAGTCATTTCTTGGTGGTTGATCTGCCTATAACTACTGTTCCTGGATAACAAACAAGCAGTAATCATGTGATAGTCTATTAACCCTTTCCCTCATGAGCATTTTATGAAAAATGGCTGTTTTCATTGAAAAGCCTCCTGTTTTAAGTACTGCTATGAAACTATAAAAAATGCTTCAATACTAATGAAACTTGGCATAAATGTTGACTGGACCATAGCCTCTGTAACAGCATGCTCAATCTTAAATTTTCTGATACCATGGCAACAGGGGGGGTCAAAAATCTTGCATTGTTTTTTTTGCAATCAAAACTGATTTCAAAGTGCTGCAACTTCTCAATGGATTGAAATGGAGTAAAATGCTTTTCAGCGTTGGTTACACGTTACCTTACAATCAACCTGAAGCCAATTTTAGTCTGTCACATGTCCAAAATTTTCTTAGCGGTGAGGGGGGCTGCCGCCCTTCTTCAAACCCCCCGAAACAAAAGGGGGAACATCCCCCTTCAGGCAAGCCCTGATGTACCTTTTTGATAGGGGGTGGCGCCAAAAAGTGATCACTTTTTTTAACAACATTTTCAAAAACAAAAACAGTGTTTGGGCCTAAATAGAGTATTTATCCACTGTTTGAGGCCTCAAAAAGGGGGGGTTGAAAATCCGTCAAAACACGTCTATATGAAGTAAAGGGTTAAATGCACATGATTTCTGAATCATCGGTAAAAGGAATGAGTATTAGATTTAATATCCAAGATCAAAATTAATGTCTTGAAAAAAATTTTCAGCATCTAGGGATCAAACCAGTGACCCCTGGATTACTAATTACATGCTCTCCTAAATAACGAACTGAGTGGAGCATTTACATTAATTTCACAGAACCCGAATGAATGATCACAAGAAAGAAATATTACAAAATTGCTAAACCTAAGTACCTTTGCTGCATCATCATGTGAAATGTTAACAAAGGAGATATTGTTAACTTCCATCAGCAAATCACCAGGCATTAACCCCTTTCTCTCTGCCATGCCACCTTTGTCTATCATTGAAACATAAATCCCAATGCCGAACTCAGATCCTCCACGGATACTGAAACCAAAACCCTCATTCCTGTCACCAGACAGTTCTATATGTATATGTTTTATATTATTCCCTTCACTTCTAACTGAACCTAACGAATATTTTGATTTTTCTCTCAATGTTCCGACACTGGTGTTTTTTGAACTACTGCTTTGATTTTCCTCTTTGCTTTTGATATTTTTCCGCTTTTTTTGTTTCTTGGACGACAGCAGAGTGTCTGTCTGCAGGTTTGTCCCTGCAGTTGATAGTGGCGGTCTCGACCTTTGATTTTTGGCTAGTTTAACAGGCATAGTGTCAAACTTTTTTGCTCTACCTTTAACACAATGTTCAAATTCTTCAACGTCTGTTTTAGGTATGACCTTTTTAATCAGTGCTAAAAGCTGGGTTTTTGCTGGAGTGTCAAGTAGGATCTTGAGACTGCGTACAAACTTTGCCATGTCTCTGTTTATCTGAAACTCATTGAGGATGTCAACAAAGTCTGCTTTTTGTGACACATCAAGATGCATATTGATTGCATCCTGGAGGCGTCGGACACTTGTTGACATGGTCAGATTCCTCCGATCACTTCTCTCACTGGACCTGTCCAGTGAGTTATTCATATTTGTAGAGTTAAGGCACAACTACACTCCTGTATTTCCTAAAAACAAGCATTACAAGATTTAAAATTTCAGTTATAAGTTATTTAGTTAAAAAAATAGAAAAAGGACTGTTTGAATTGTTATGGTAATATACAGTAACTATTATTCCATAAAATGTAGTTAAAATACATAATTACATGTATACTTATAAGTTTTGTTAACTTACATATTTTTCTCACATTATGGTTCTAGTCAGCTACATTAAACATATTGTGATTTCATTAATCAACATTTAGTCTGAGTAATATCCATAAAATTCTGGTGTATACCTTTATTAGCAAGATTCTGACTCAGAACAAAACTATCTCCACTAATAGGCTTAGTAAATGCAGCAAAACTATTAAAATCTATGTAAAGCCCACACCAAAACTGTCCAATGTTGGTCAACTTTCTAAAGATCATTAGTAACACATCAATGTAAAGCATCAATCTATCAATTTCACTTTGTCAATATATTTTGAAACAATATGCCTACCGTGAAGAGATTAGGTATACAAATGTATTTCCTAAGATGGTAAATAATTCCTCACATTTCTGCAAACACATAAAAGCACGGATCTGATGAATCTGTGATAAAAGTCAGATAAAAATATAAAAAAAAATCACTGTTGATGTTAAACAAGAATTTGAAAACAATATATCCAAATTATATTATAATATAAACTTTTCAGTGAAAAATATTGACACCGTTGTCTATAATTAACAAAAACAACATAATATACTGTCCTAGTTTATAATGTGAAGATGTTGATTCTTTCCTTTATAGAAAATCGAAAATCTGATAAATTATTCAAAGGTAAATGCCCACCTTGATTGCATCCCTCCTTTTGCCATACCGAGTGACTTCCCTTGATATTTGCATTATTAATAATTGATTCTATCGATTTTATTAAATCAATAATGCTTAGAGTAACAATCAAAGCCTAAAAGCGCTCCTTGCCGAGATTAATTTGTTTTACAGAATGTTCAGTAAGAATTGTTGAATATGACACGTTGGCGCTAAAAATATCGATATTCCGATATTTATAGTAAGTTTATTTAATTTTTGCACAGTTACTTCCCTTTAACTAATTACGCCATTTATACAGACAAGTCAAGTGATACGGTAAGGAAGTATTTGTTTTTCGATTACATTTAAATAAAAAAGATAGTATGTTTTAAAGGATAAATGTTAAATTTAATGATTGATTGAATGTTTGTTTTATTATCGTAACTGGCAAATGTATGAAATGTTGTTATATCTTGTTTTAAACGTAAATAAACAAGTAGGGTTTTTGACATTGATCTGTGTCTCTGCATTTTCTTTAGTGTGTTATTAAGGTATTAGGACCCTAATGGGCACTATCAGGAACTAAAAAATTGACATCATAAGTCAGATGTATACCTTAAAGTACACCTGTATGCAAAATTTAAACAAAGTTTACCGTACGGAAATCAAGTTATGGCCACTTTTCTGAACTCAAGCTATGATGTTATAAGGGCCCTTTATTAGAAAGTAGGAACCTTTAAATAATCTGCAATAACATTCTAATGAAAAATGTTTTCCCATTAATTTTTTGTAAGAAGCAAATAGTTCCACTCAGCTACCAATCCAAATAAGCAAAATTATGGTTTCTACTTAAAATTTATGAAATCTGTATAAAAATGTTACCCTAATTAACCCACCCGTTTTTACCGGAAAAGAGTCAACTTGGCCCTATACCAACTCGGCACGGGTCAACTTGGCACGGGTAAACTCGGCCCACTTTACAAAAATATATATAACGTATTAACTTTGCTTTGCATGTTGTTAAGGTAAATGAAAAATAAGAAATATCTTATTATTATATAGTTATACATTGTACTTCTGCCGAAATAAAGTATATTTAGAAAAAAAAGTTATTTATTTGTCTAATATTTATAAACTCTCTGTCGAACTACGTAAATAACAGAGGTATATTGAGTGAAAAAGCAAGACTTGTTTCCCTTAGTGTCCCTTCGCTTGCAAAAGAATGCAAATTTAGCCGTGTTTAAATCGCTAGTTTGGGGCGATTAAATGTCCGATTTTAAAATTGTTACACCAATTAATAGCTTGTGATCTTAGCTTCCTCTAATTATATATTTCAGCACATTGTTTGACACTGAAGGTATTTAAATTTACGGTTAAACCTACCACGAGTCAGAAATACAGTGAGATACGCAATCGGTTATCTTTACTCGCAATTCTACTGATAAGAAAAGCCTGTCTGCTGCTAGTTCTGAAGCTGTCAATCTGTGTTTTATAAATAATTACAATAATAACAATAAAAAGTGATAACACAAATCTAAATATCAATAATTAAAAAGTGGGCCGAGTTGACCCGTGCCGAGTTGGAATAGGGCCGAGCTGACTCGGGGGCCGAGTACATTTTAGGGCCGAGCTGACCCGGATTCGTTTTTACCACGTGTCTGACCATTTTTCTACTTAGGGAGCCTAATTTAAAAAATTCTTAAAATTTACCCAAATTAGTGCCTGTTTTCAAAGTTTCCCTAAATTTTTAAAAAAGTATATTGGTTGATCTTGTAAAATATGAAATACTTTTACCGTCTAGTTTTGATTATATTACACTTTGAAAATATCAGGTACCATATTTATTACTATATTTAGCATAATTTAGCCAATAAATACCTATATAAATTAAAAAATCAAAATTAAACACTTTTTTCTTTCCAAATGGGACATGAGAGATACATAAATAATGTTAAAAGAAAAAAAGAAAGAAAAAAAAAGTTGACACTTCTGGGGATTGAACCCATGGCCCTCATTTTCAATGTAGTTAATAGTAGTTCTAGCCTATTTGAATACTCTTCAAAGCGGAGGTAATGCATTAGGGTGCTAATACCTTAATTAATAATAAAGATTCAGACAAGGATCGAGGAGCTGAAAACCTTAAATGGGCACATGGATTTACCAATCAAAGGATTAGTTTCACCATTTACTGTATAGTATATTGCAATGCTGTATGCAGATAATCATTTGTTATTAACTTTCTATTATAGTTTATAATAACTAGAAATACGATTATATAAAAATGTGAAATTTCTTTCTGCAAAGTTTTTTATTTTTAACAGGACATAAATCACCGGGTCGTCCTGGACGTTATGGCATGTATGCAGTACAGCAAACTGCCCTTTTTAGAAAAAAATTAAATGTCATTTTTTCTGCATGCACTGCACACAGAACGTATATATTTTTTATTTTCATCTTTATTTATTTACAAGATCCACACTTAATTTTACATGAATTGGGACCCTGTGTACTGTGTGCTATTCAGTCAGTGCCCGTTTTTAAGTTAACCTATAAATATATGTTTATTTTGCCCAGATTGAATGAAGGACAAGTCCATTTCAGATAATTAGTGTGGTAGGGCTTAAAGAACACGGGAATTAGCTTGGAAAAACCTACATTTGCCTAAATTGAGACATCTATAGATCATAAGATGTTATCTTGAACTTGGCAAATTTGGGTTTTTCCCAGCTAAATCCATAGGTACAAACAGAATTTTTCAGTTACTGCTTCATGGTGCACTACCCGTCAAAATAGATTAGTCAACCTGTTGCACTTATTTTCAAAGCTATAACTGTAAAAATTTGTTTGTATTTATGGATTAGCTGGGAAAAGCCCAAATATTCTTTTTTCCGGAATTAGTCTAATGACTATAAGTTAGTGTGATAATTTTACAGTAAATGCACCCCATTTAAAATGGTTGATATATGTGATACTATTGTATGTGTTTATGTATAAACCGATACGATACGACTGGTGCATAACATGAAAAGAACTTTGAGAAGCTAAACTAATTTGGCTGACTGATATTTCATACATATACAAAAATTGGTTAAGACATTGTGTGTATAACAATCAGTGAATACTGAATAGTGTTCAAGTATGAGTCAAACTATACACACAATAGTAATGTAACTGGTAAACATACAAATAATTGAGACAAGGAAATTTTGTTATCATACTGTTCATGTTAAAAAAAAAAAATCATACACTGTAATGATTTTTTGAAACTTAAAGACCCATTATGAAATGCTTTTACTGTTATTCCTCAGATGCCTGTTTAAGTGACTTTTGGTATACATTGTAGTTCTATAGTTTGTAAAAAGTTACTCAGTGGCAAAATACCTGAGTCATCTTTCTCATCTGTTGCTTTTTTTGTAGTGATTTAGTATGGAAGTCAAAATACTGTTTTGTTTACATTTTGCTACTTTTATATCAAATTATTTTACATTAATCGCTACTATCTTCAGGTAATAAGCATCTAACATACTCTAAAACCATTATTTAAACATTATAGAATTCATGTTTGTGCTTTTTAACGAAGTAAAAAATTATTTATTTCTGAGACATAATGTGCCTTTAAGAATCTAACAGGTTTAGTGGTTTAACATAATAACATTTGACTTTTGTTTAGCTTTTAGTTTAAATTATTTTAATGATTTTGAAATAAGAAAAGAAGCACTGTAAAGGTAAATATACTATGGTATTATTACACTGAAGTGCTGGCACCTGACTTGAGCCCCATACTTTTGATAAGCTACATGTATGTTGTTAACTTTCAGTCTTCCTCACAAAACAGAATCTTAAGGTCCTGATGGAATTTTAACCAATAGTCTAATAGCCAATGAAATAAACTGGAGGATTATACCATCACAGTCTCACAGTTATGGGCACTGTGTTAAGGGTGACACACAATATGCTGTCTGATTGTGACTAAACCCAGGACCCTCAGAATGCAGCCACCAAATAAATTAAGCAGCAGCTTACACATTTTTCCCCAATTTAAGAACTATTTTATACTGTGACAAAGCTATAGATGAATTCAATTAACTAGTTGAAATAAACTAAAAGCCCTTAGGGAAGTTTTCACTTTTAGATTAAATATTAATTTTTATTTATTTTTCTCACAATAATTAACTTGTTTTTCTTATACAATCATTAAGTTCAATAACCATTAATTCTATCACATGAGCATCTTCTGGGATGACAGTTTTATGTCTCCTGTTGCCTTGTCTCCTTTTATATAATTGGTTATAAGTTGGTTTTTATATAGTTCTAGTTAATAGTTTTAGTTTAAACATATTTATATTAAGACCAAGATATTTCAGAATGTCTGTGCTGTTTGATCTTGCTCTGCACTGTTACAGATACCTGTGCGGTCATTGGTCAATACATATCTTGATATTCTCTCTAAAAATAGCAAATGGTTTTTGTTCAAATTATGGAAAAGTCCATTTTAAGTCATATTTAGTATTTACAACGTAGCCATGTAGGTGTTAATGATGTATTAGCCAAGTGATGACTAATGTCCACATGAATTCTATTTATAGATCATCATTATAAGTTAATACCATGTCATCATATTTCTGGTAGCATATGTTATTGGTGGACTCATTGAGCTTTGCATTCATTCTGGCTCAGTTATCATGTTATATATACATGTATATATTATAATATAGTACAGATGTACAGATCGTTTGCGATCAAGTGACTGTCGAGAATATTATGTTTGAAAATAATTTCTTATTGATTTTCAGTAATCGTCACCTAAGTGCAGTAACAAGCTAAGTCCTTCTAAATTTAATAGAAGTTAACCAGCTATTGCACTAAGGTTACATAATATTATATAACAGCATTTATGATACAAGTGTTATTAAAGGAAGATAAATTTATTGTGCAATTATATAGTTACGTATTTAGCAACAGAAATCTATTTGTAATTTAATAATGGAACCTACTGCCTGTGACAGTTGAGAATATATATGTAAGAAAATTATGTCTTATTGATATTTAACATAAAGCAAATATATGATATCAGAATTTATGTGAGAAGCATAAGGAAAATAAATTTATTGTGCAAATTTATGCTTAGCAACAGAAATCTATTTGTAAATGTTATAATGCAAACTTACTGATTAAGGGCGTGATTGTTCTTTGATTTATGGTGAGTTGTTATTGTTGATGTTATTCATGCATGTTCAGCTTTATCATAATCATTATGTTAAATATGTTATTAAATAGAATTGTCAATTTTTTCAATCTGGACATAGCCATTCATCATTTTGATAGAAAATTTTCAAATAATTGTAACAGTGCAGACAATGATCACACAGCATGGATGCAGACCTGACAGATGTGCCAACTGATCTTGGTGATACACTGGTTGTTTGGATAGATTCAAAGCCATGATTCAAATGGCCATGTTGTCACTCCAGTATATAATATGTGTTCCGATACTGGGAATTGGGTGGAAACAAGGAATCCTTACCTCTAGCGGGCTAGGGTTTAATGCATTTATTGTATCAAAATGTTATCTTATCAAATCTTGTAGAAATTTTGGGTTAGAGATTAGTACAAAAGAATCAAATGATACAACCACCTTATGCATGCAATTTGCCATAAAATATATAGAAAAACAACAACAACGTACATATAACAGATTTTGAGATATCATGACTCAAATAAATTAGAGAAGCTTAAATACTACTTCTGCCATATTGTCTATTTATATTTGTATATTGTATGACAATAAAGGTTTTGTTGTCGATTTTGTAGATCACTTTATATCACATGGTTTATATCAAGCAATTGACTCCTTCAATAACAAGGTTGTTTGATGTTGAACCAGTTATTCTAAGGACGTACTTGGATACAATCATCATATTAAAATACTCCATGCAGTAAGTACATAGTATTGTTTTTTTTTCTTCACATTATATTTTTATGGGTTAAATATAGATTTACATGTACTTGATAAATTAAAGGAGTATAGACAAATTAAATGTGAAATATGTATTTGATTGTGTGTTTGTTTGTTTGTTTGTTTGTTTGTTTAGATTATATGAATTGTTAATTAAAATCTGGTCTTACCAGTATAAATAGATTATCTATATGCATTGTATGTTTTATTTTTAGTGAAATATTTTTTGATACCACAGTGTGCTTTAGTTTTCAGTAAGCCTGTAGTATAAGAAGTTAATTGACCTTGTAAAAAAAATATAAAATGAATAAATTAAATAATTTTTCAAAAATGTTTAGCAAGGTTATATTTACTATGTACATGATAGTACAAGGTAATTGAGGTGACATTTACCATATGAAGTAGCAGATACAGAATTTTGTGTTAGATGAACATGGTCTCAGTGCAGATTCCAAGGGGTGGTTACTCCATGGTCCGAGAATCTGAGTAGTATGATGAAGTGACATTTTGTCAAATATCAAATTTAAAAAAAACTTTCTGATGTATAATTATAATAATAATGAAGGATGGGTTAAGTAATGCTATTTTATGATTTAGCACAATGATTGTTTTTCATGGGAGACTTATTTTTATGGTTCTCCTGGATAGGTCATTCCACGAATTTAAGATCCGATGAAATTTCTTTTTGTTTGCTGTAAATTATTTTGCATTGCATTATTTACATTTTACCTTTTGGAGAAACAGTCCACAAATTTAAGAACCCTAAGAAAATGCTCTTTGTGACAAAACTACAAAATTTCATGCCCACGAAATTATATGAATTCACAGTATGACATTATCATAGATCAAAATCCTATGACCATTGATATAAGACTTATTTGATTTCTTTTGGTAACCAATATTTTCAGAATTTGACATGATATGCTGTGTATTTGATTTTCAGGTGACAAGTGTGTAATTGATAGAAGAATATGCTCAAGTTTGGAATTGTGCTGGCAGCGTGTTTACACATATGCTTGTGTAAACAGCCAAATATTCTGTTAGTGGTCGCTGATGACTATGGCTTCCATGATATTGGTTACCATGGGTCTGAAATAAAAACACCAAATTTAGACAAATTGGCATTGTCTGGAGTCCGGCTTGAGAACTATTATGTACAGCCTATATGTACACCAACACGGAGCCAGCTGCTGTCTGGTAGATATCAAGTAAGTTACTTCCCCTTTTATATGGTTGTAAAGGTAGATATCAGGTAAGTTACTTCCCTTTTATATGGTTGTAAATGTAGATATCCATTAAGTTAGTTCCCCTTTATATAGTTGTAAAGTAAGGTATCAAGTAAGTTACTTCCCCTATATATGGTTGAAAAGGTAGATACCAAGTAACTTACTCCCCTTTAATATGGTTGTAAAGGTAGATATCAAGTAAGTTACCTCCCTTAATATGGTTGTAAAGGTAGATATTAAGTAAGTTACTTCCCCTTAATATGGCTGTAGAGGTAGATATCAAGTAAGTTACTTCCCCTTAATATGGTTGTAAAGGTAGATATCAAGTAAGTTACTTCCCCTTAATATGGTTGTAAAGGTAGATATCAAGTAAGTTACTTCCCTTTTATATGGTTGTAAAGGTAGATATCAAGTAAGTTACTTCCCTTTTATGTGGTTGTAAAGGTAGAGATCAAGTAAGTTACTTCCCTTTTATATGGTTGTAAAGGTAGATATCATGTAAGTTACTTCCCCTTTTTATGATTGTAAAGGTAGATATCATGTAAGTTACTTCCCTTAATATGGCTGTAAAGGTAGATATTAAGTAAGTTACTTCCCCTTATATGGTTGTATAGGTAGGTATCATATGAAATTCTTCCCAAAGGTTGTTATCAGGTTTAAGTAACTTCCCCTTTATATGGCTGTGAAGGTAGATATCAAGAAAATTAATTCCCCTTATATGGTTGTAAAGGTGGATATCAACTATCAAGTAAGTAACTTCCCCTTATATGGTTGTAAATGTTGGTATAGGGCTAGTTGCTTCCGTTTTTGTATGTTATTAAAGGCAGATGTTTTAGATGGTATTTAAAGTAGTTATCAAGGAAGTTTTTCCTCTTTAGATAGTAGTAAAGGGAGATACAATGGTCCTTACCATAGTGGTAAAGAAAGATATCAATTCATCTAATTTCAGCATAATATGGTTGTAAAGGTAGATATTACATGAGTCACTTCCCCTTTGTATGTTAGTAATATTAGATCATTATAGTTAACATTGTTCAATACAATACTGAATTTTAAATCTATATTGGAAGTGGGGTTAGCTGAGTCAAATACGTTGCCGGTTACCCATGGTATATATTCTGTACATACTACATAGATAATGGCCAGTGAAAATTAGTTTTGGCCAGTGTAAATTTTAAGAAAATTTAGTTAAATATGTAGTAGAATTAATTTAAAACTGGAATTCGGGCCAATAAATTCAAAATCTTAAATTCATTGACTGTATGAGACAGTATTGTATGAAACTTCCTCTGTCCTACTGAAAGAAGCTAAATATTTCTCTTTCTTTATTTATATCTTATTTACTATAGTTAAGCATTGCTGTTATATCGAAAATAATGGTAAAGAGTTCAGTGAAAGTTCAATACACTACAGTATGACAATGACCCTCGTATACATAAAATATTATTTAATAATGATATTATAAGGCTATTTTTAGAACAATGAAATGCTTCCTTTCTGGGTGCTTAAACTCATTGTCTTCATAAATGCACCCAGGGTAATATTTAATACATTTTTAACTCTTACCGTGCTAAATATTTTTCAAAGTCCATTTTTCAATCTGGAAAAAATCATTGATTATTTTTAAGTAAATTTCAAAATAAATACTGACCAAATAGCCAACAGTGCATACGATGATTAGGTGGCATGGATATGCTAGATGATCTTGGTCTGCACTGGTTTTTCAATTGTCTGATGTTTTTATGAATCGACAGCTGTGAGCCGTGTATATAAAACTATATAAACGTCACGATTATCCAATGAAAAGCGACGTTACAAACATGCAGTGTTATAAACATTCATTAAGATTTTAAAGTAGATCAAAAGTTTTCCAAATTTACTGGCTAGCGGGTCAAATGAAGAGTGCATGGTCAATATTGTTGGAAAAAAAACATACCCCTGTCTGTCTGTTAGTGAACAATTTGTTTATAAAAATAAACTGCTGAATGTCTGTAATGGATTTGCCCTGCTTTGTATTTGGAAAAGTCAATCAAATCAATCAATCAATATACAGGAACTAAAATTGAGCTGTCTACAGTACAGAACCTGAACTGAGTGCACAGGTGATCAGGCTGGCCTGGATCTATACTTGTGGCAAGAACTTATCATTTTCTGTTCCAACATGTCAAGGGTTACAGACTTCATAGATTGTCATAACAAACTAATTACGGAATTAAAACTGGATGTTTATAATATTTAAACATGGTCCTCTTCAAATTTGGTCTTACCCAGAATTTGTGATATAGAGTTTAATATGGACTTCTTTTAGGTAAATTCTACATTGTATGTGGATAGAAGCTTTTAAAAGACTTCATATTATAAACTCTTAAGCTATGTTTTTGCTATTTCCATGTTTCAAGGCAGTGTCATTCTATTGTTCCTTTTTAAGTATGTCATTTGCTTCAATGGTTTAACAATGGTCTTGGTTCCTGCCACTTTGTCCATTCCCTTCTCAGTTTTTCCTCATTGTATTTTAAAGTGTGTCTTTAGTCTGTATAGTTGGAGATTACACCCCCACCTCCCTCCCTTCAATTTGGTCCCATATCCCCTTCCGTTCTTTTATCTTTAAATTATACCTTTATGATATACTATAGTAGTTTTCTAAGCCATTCACAATAATAAATTAATAATATGGTTTTTGAGAATGTAAGATGCTTGTACAACAAGAAAATGGTGATCAATGTAATATAATTTGTCATAAAAGTAGCAAAATGTAATCAAAGCACTGGCAGTATTGACTTCCACAAAGAATACTAATTCACTGTAACTGTACTTCTTTCAAAATTGCAAAAGATGAAAAAGATTGTTCAGGTAATTTGCCATGAGTAACTTTCTTGATAAGAACACTAAAATTTAGAAGCTTTTGAGAAATAAAAATAAAAGCATTTCTGAAGCATTATGGGTCTGAGCTAGGTGGCCTTGACATACCTTCCATGAACAGACTTTGTGCCTGCAACAATTTAAGTTTTGCTACTATGAGCATAAACTGAAGATATTCTGAATTAAATCTACATGTACTTGCATTATTTTTCAAAATATGGAAACGTTTGTCTGCCCTGTAAAAATAAGTGTGGCGCTAATTTTCGACCCATAAGGGGCTAAATCTGTCCACCTTGTTATTTTATAAACTGTTTGTGTTTTTGAGGTAGGTGGGGGGGGGGGAAATATGGACATTTGTCCTTCAATATATATTTGAAAGTTATTTCATTTACTTAATATCAAACAATTGCTGATTGTGGCAGTGGATATTTTCATTTATTGGAATTAATTTATGAGATTAAACTATAGTGTAATATACATTTAAGAATTTCATGAAGATAATATAAAATCACAATTTAGTTGGATTTTTTACCAATATTTAAGGTTTATTTAGATATATTAAAACAAAAAATCTTTTCTACTGTCTTTAAATCCTCCTTTTCATGTGATGATTCAAATAAGACAAACAGAATGCTAATTTACTTCCATTGCACTATCAGAATTTTCAGCGCAAAAAGGTTGTAACTTGAGATACAACCCTTTTGCGCTGAAAATTAAGAGCAATTTGAGATACAACCTTTTGACAAATATTGATTTAACTTGTTAATTTTCAGAATCCATTTAAAATACTTACTGAGGATATGCATAACCACAAAACACATTGAAAATGTTAAAAATGTTATTTTGTGGAAAAAAGTGAGTTACAACCGTTTTGCGCTAAGCCCATTATAGTAGATACACATGCCGTAAGCAGGCTAAGGATTAAAGGACCTTTGACCCACTGTTACTTTTTTTAAAACATTCAGTTAAAATCAATTGTAAAACAATATTTTTTGTTGTATAATAGTACTTAACCAGATTTACAAGCAGTTTTTTCCCAAAATTCACAGTTTATATATTTTGCATGTTACCATTTATTGCTGTTATAATTTAGATACACACAGGACTCCAGCACGGGATAATCTGGCCGGCGTCTCCGAATGGTGTTCCTCTAGATAGCCCGTTAATCAGTGAGAAAATGAAGGAGGCAGGCTACTCTACACATGCTGTTGGCAAGTGGCATGTCGGCTTTTACAAGAAACCTTTTGTACCTACTAGCAGAGGATTTGATTCTTATTTTGGTAAAACCTTAAGTTAATTATCAACTTTAAGCATGTTACTTTTTTTTCAAAACTATAATGCAGATCTTTATTTAGCAACTTAATTATGCTTTTAATTGTTGTACTTGACATTTCATGTGGTAAAGCTTTCATAGGTATTTTGTTACTAGAGAATATTGACAATGTGTTATTTTGTTACTACAAGATTCTTACAATCTGTTATTTTGTTACTACAGGATATTTAACAGGCAGTGAGGACTATTACACACATTATAGATGTTATAACAAGATGTGTGGTAATGATTTACGTGACAACCTGGATCCTGCAGATATGCAAAAATATAATGGTTCATACTCTACCCACATGTTTGCTAACAGAGCCAAAGATATAATACAGAAACATGATGATAGCAAGGTAAATAAATAACATAAGGTTTTAGTCAATAGGCCAAGGTCGACTGATAAGAAATTCTACAGCAAATATGAATACCGGTAATATTTTACTAGTAAAATGACTGCATCTTAACAAAAGTGAAGTACATGTGCATAAATAATAGATTTGGGTAGCAGTGGAAATAAGGAAAATAATTTTAAGAGATTTTCCGTAATTGTAACAAGAAAGTACAAATAGAAAATATGCTATGCAGTAATTTCCCATATACAAAACAAAAGAAATAAGTTTAAAGTAACAAGGACATCATTCTATAATATGTCCAAAATTAGATATTGTGTCCATGTGTATTTCCTTTTTTTGCTCTTATCAATTATTCTTTTATGTCAGAATGTTTATTTCACCCAATGTTAATGTATTTTAGCCCAGTCTGTTAATGTTTTTCAGCCGATGTTCTTGTATTTAAGCCACTTTCTGTGTATTTATATATTTCAGCCATTGTTTATGTATTTCTGCCATTGTTAATGTATTTCAGCCACTGTTTATGTATTTCAGCCATTGTTTATGTATTTCTGCCATTGTTTATGTATTTCAGCCACAGTTGATGTATTTCAGCCAATGTTCATGTATTTCAGCCACTGGCTATATATTTCTGCCGTTGTTTATGTTTTTCAGCCACTGTTTATGTATCTACCATTTCAAGCAGTACACTCACCATTACAAGTTCCAGAGAAATATATAAAACCATATAAACATATCCATGACAGAAATAGAAGGGTTTATGCAGGTAAAGACAATTATTTATCCATTTATACTGCAGGGTATTCTTCAGTGAAACATATGATAGGATTTTTATGCTTCAGTTATTTCAGGGGGCATATAGATTTGCCCTTGTCTTTCCATCTGTCATTCTAAACTTCAGTGAATAAATGGAATTTTTTCAGGAGTGGTGCAACATTTGCAAATTAAGTCTGATACTAGAATGTAATTAAAAAGTAACCCAATCTGCAACAGGCACTTGGCTTGGGTTGCTCTTTATAGGCTCAGTTCCAGGGCTAGTGCGACTTTGTCTAGTGATGTTCCAGACAGTCAAATACTATGCCTTGATTAAGGTTTGCTTTAAAATGACCCCCTTTATTAAATACCTTGTCATATTACATGTATCTTCTGTTAAAGGTGGAGGGATATAGATTTGGCTTGTCTGTTTGAGCATTCTCCCGTTCTTCTTTCTGTCATTCCATCTGTCAGGCATCTGTCATGAAATTGTCCATTATGGAATTGAATAGAGCATAAATGCTGTGCCTAACAGTCATAACCCTCTTTTTCATTTTATTTTAGTTATTGCTGTTCGCAATTTTCATACTTAATTTTTAGTCCCCTACCGGTTTACCGGAGGTGACTTTAGGTTTACCCTCCATCCGTCAGTCCGTCCGTCCGTCCGTCAGTCCGGACGTCCACAAAACTGGATCCCGCGATAACGCAAAAAGTACTGAAGATATTTTAATGAAACTTGATAATGGATAGATGGCAGTATGGAGATTATGCACGTCTTTTTCTTTTCTTCCTATGTTGAAAATTCTGGTTGCTATGGCAACAAATAGACTGAAAATATGGCAAATTTTACACATAACCTAGATCCCGCGATAACGCAAAAAGTACTGAAAATATTTTTATGAAACTTGATATATGGATAGATGGCAGTATGGAGATTATGCACGTTTTTTTCTTTTCTTCCTATGTTGAAAATTCTGGTTGCTATGGCAACAAATAGACTGAAAATATGGCAAATTTTACACATAACCTGGATCCAGTGATAACACAAAAAGTACTGAAAATATGTTTATGAAACTTGACATATGGGTAGATGGCAGTATGGAAATTATGCACATCCTTTTTTATCTTCCTATGTTGAAAATTCTGGTTGCTATGGCAACAAATAGACTGAATTTCAAGATTTCTGATTCTAGTTTTTAAGTTTTTTCACTATTAAGTTCTTTATTTCTTAAGGTATTTTCTTCAAACTTTAAATATAAGTTGCTTGTCATCAACCACATCATATGTGACAAGGTTTACAACTCTAGCACAAAATTTATCAGAATTACCTCCCTTGAACTTAAAATTTTCATGAAAAAAACATTGTTTTTTTTAATAACTTCTTTTTCTGAATGTATCTACTTCAAACTTCATATAAATGTTTCTTATTGTCACTCAACATTTGTGAGTGTTCAATACTCTAGCAAGACTATTTCCAGAATTATGCCCCTTTTGAACTTAGACTTTTTTTTGAGAAATTGGTAATTTTTACTCCAACTACTTCAATCATGATAGGATTTTAAAAATGTTATATTTTGATAACAGGGATGTTTAAAAAATAACTTTAGAGTGTCCTTCAGTCCGTCTGTCTGTACATAAAAACTGTTTCCTGTGATCATTTTTAAAGAACTTTTTCAACAAATTTACTTAAAAAAGGAACCTAAGTGAATGGCCAATGGCTCTTCAGAATGTTGCTTGGGCTCTTACCGGTAGGGGACTTATGGATTGCTTGCAATACTATGATAATTGCTTGTTATATTGGGTATAACTAACAAAGTATAGCATGAATTTACTTGAACCTTTATATAATTTGATAGACCTCATATAGTTCTCATTTAGGCAAAGGGCAGTTTATTTGAAAAATAAGTCGATAACTCTCTCTTGCATAGTTATAGTTATTGCCCTTTCAGTATTTTATACTTAATTTTATTCCAGAGTTTTCATATAGTACTGGATATATCATTTTGAAATTTCACTGTGGTATAAAATTATGTACTGTCCAAAGGCTATATCCAAAAGAGAGACTGGACATGAACTTTATAGACAAGTGGTGTGTATTTGGAGGTTACTTTGTTTTTATTTAGTTAATCAGTAAAGGTTTGTCAAAGTGTGGTCTTTCTTTAAAGGATGATCTTTATTTTGGCAGTGTTCTTTTACACAGGCTTTACTGTATATACATGCACATTATTTTAATGTAAAGGAATGGTGTCATGCATGGACGAGGCTATTGGAACAATAACTGATGCGATGAAGAAGAAAGGATTATGGGATAACACTATACTGGTATTTACCACAGGTAGGTTTTTTATTTAAAGTCTGTATTAATTTTAAGAATTTTGGTATTTTATTTTGTTGAAATCTGTAATTAAATTGTTTAGCTTTTTTCAGAATTGTAGAACAAAATTTATGTTTTGGCAAGTCCATGCTTTTGTTTGTTTTTCTGTTTGTTTTTGGTCAATTTTAGCATATTTTGGGTCATATCTTTGTGGTTGATCCACATAACAGACTTTCTTGGATAACTAACTAGTCTAGTAATTACAAATTTCTTCCTCATATCTCTGAGTATAAGCAGTGACAGACAAATGACCATAAATCACTTGCACCGATTGTTTTCAGGAATTAATTAGAGTAAGTCTATAAGCTTAGAGCTTTCTACACAATCAAACTACAATAAATTCTGTATATAAGCTAGACCTAAAATACTTTTCTTTTTCTTACATTATAAACAGACAATGGTGGACAGATTCACGAAGGGGGCAATAACTGGCCCCTGCGGGGATGGAAAGCTTCCTTATGGGAAGGAGGGATGCATGGAGTGGGATTTGTTCACAGTCCGCTGCTTAATGAATCTAGGATTGGGGAAAGATCCACTGAGCTTATACATGTAACAGACTGGTACCCAACACTAGTTAACCTGGCAAGGGGAAGTCTTAATGGAACCAAACCTCTTGATGGTTTTGACCAATGGAATACAATCAAGTAAGTTAAAGGCATACTTTCCCTCAGAAACAAATAAATTTCTACTTCTTTAGAAAGGGCAAACAAGAGTTTTGTAATACTACATGTACTAAATAATGTTTTAACAAGCATGTTAGATGCTTATCACATGATGCAAGTCAATCGAAATATGAAATTTATTTGTCATAAAATAAGTAAAATGTAAACAAAGTGTATTAATTTTGACTTCCATACAAAATACTAAATCAGGATAATTATTCTTATTACTAAAAAGCAAGAAAAGCAAAATATGCTTCAAGTATTTGGCCAATGTTTACTAGTAACTGTTTAAACACCAAAAATAAAAAAGTTTTTGACAAATGGAAATAAAAGCATTTCTTAAGCATAATGGGCCTTTAAAGAAACCTTTAGCCTGCTGTTTATCTGTTGATAAAATCTGTAAAATATGTCGACTATGCCACATTGAAAGTAAAATCAATCTCATTACTTTATCATAAGCAGTTGTATTTCAAAATGAGTAATTAGAGATAATTGTGTTTACTTTGTAGTCAAGGGAAATCAAGCCCAAGAAAGGAAATTCTACACAACATAGATCCACTCTACAAACCCTCGGGACGCCCATTATCTAACACGACATTCGACACTACCAGGAGGGCGGCACTTAGGGTTGGCGATTGGAAAGTTATAACTGGATACCCAGGTTAGAGCTTTTGATTGAGACATGAATAATACTTAATATAATACCATTATTTTAAAATCACATATTTTCATATTGGCGTTGGTGGTGTTGGTAGTTTTCACTCCAGATCACGACAGTAAGCCACATTGAATTTACCAGAGCACAACTCAACCACTGAATCGTTCCTGAGCAGCTGTGAAGCAGTTTACCAGTGCTAGTTGCCTTCACTTTCACAAGGAACTGAAACTTCTGTAACTTCTCTGCCAGAGCAGAGGTACAGTGCGAATGACCGTAAAAAGGATTTCATGATCAATCACAATGAAAATGAACTGCGCCCTCCGGAATCGAACCTGGCTCGCCCGATTCACAGTCCAACGCTCTACCTATTGAGCTTATCGGACGGCTCCTACATATTTTCATATGAAATTGGACCTGCCTTTATGAGTCTTTTACATTGTATACCCATACATTTAATTAGTTATTATCAACTAAAACAAACATAGATTTAAATTGATTATTAATATATTTGATCTTTTATTAGTTGATTGGTTATGTCACAAATGTGTGTTATAACATTACATTTAAATATAGATCTAATCCGGAACTTGGCAAACATGAGTTTACCTATCTAATCATAGAGTACAAACTAACTTTTACCGTTTAAAGATATAGGGTACACTATTGATCACAGTAGAGTTATTAAGGCCTTTTATTTATTTATATCTCTATTCATGTGCCTTGATGAGAAATAATATATTTGGTTGTGATAAGATTTATTGATGCATGTTACAGAAAGTTTATAAAAAACAGAAAAATACACAAATGTGCTATTCTGGTGCATTGCATTGAGATAATATAATCCCTATGAATAGGAAATACAACCACACTTCTGAAAATTTTCTCTATGTATTTATTATTAGGGTTTAGTAAATATAAAATCCAAAGAAAAGAGAATGGTGCGAAGAAATATCTTTCATGTTTTTGAGATTTATCTTGGATACTGGTATTTTGTTTAACCCTTGATGATAGAAGTTGATTTAGTTATGTTAGCAAGAAATCATACAGTGAACAGGTGCTTGTGCTCCAACAAATTATATATATTGAATTTTATAGACTCGCAATAAATGATACAGTAATTTCTTTTACCCACTGTGGCCCTGTATACATATATAATATATATATGCTTTACTTTTTCAGGAAATGGTAGCTGGGTACCCCCACCTTATATGAATTGCCCAATATTCAGTGACCCGAGGGAAAGCAGTTTTAAACCTGACGATAAAAATGTATGGTTGTTCAACATTTTAAAAGATCCAAATGAGAGAGATGATTTGTCCGAGACAAATCCCGACAAATTAAAAGAAATGCTTGACAGACTGGCACAATACGAGAAAACTGCAGTGCCGTGTCGATACCCTGACAATGACAAGAGAGCTGATCCAAAATACCTTGGTGGCTTTTGGGGACCATGGGAGTAGGGATTAATTTCTAAATATAGCACAAGACTAAAAGATTTTTAGTGCTTAAATGTAACATGGAAGTTTAGATTAAATCTGGGACATGATATAATGGGACAAGCAACTACTGACTAGATATTGAGTGGTCTTACGTTGACGTCCGGTTGACAGCCATTGATCGATATGTGCTGTGTTAAATTAATATCTGAGTCCAATTATTATAAAAAATTTCAATGATTATTCTTCATAACATACATGACATAATTTCAAGATTTGACATTCAAAAGAAATGCTAAAATCTTATGCCAGCTGGCATATATTTTTTTTATTACGGACAAAAAAACAAAACCATTTCACAACTATCAATACGACCAGATCAAGGAGGGTGCGCCTAATTTACAAAAAGATAATGTTGCTACAGTTGTTTGTCCTGTTATATTATGTTCTAGATTAGATGCTTAATAAATAATGATGAATCATGTGATCAGAGATTTATCATAAAATATATCATGAAATTAGAGATTACCATAATTGCAATATATATCATGGTATTAAAGATTAATTGCTTAAAATATAATTATTTAAATGGTATTACAGATTACTGTAATTGCAAAATATATCTTGGGATGAGATTTATTGTAAAGAACATGCTTTCCATGGGATTAATCTAATAATTCACCATATATTTATACCCCCGCACAACAAAGTTGTAAGGGGGGTATACTGGAATCAGCTTGTCCGTCCGGCTGTCCGTCCGTCCGGCCGTCCGTCCGTCGGTTTTTTCTTGTCCGCCCAATAACTTAAGATTCCTTTGACCCTTAGTCTTCATATTTGGCATGGAGGTTAGTCATGATTAGTAGATGACCCCTATTGATTTTGAGGTCACTAGGTCAAAGGTCAAGGTCACAGGGGCCTTGACTTCAAAAAGCTTGTCCGCCCATTAACTTAAGATTCCTTTGACCTACAGTCGTCATATTTGGCATGGAGGTTAGTCATGATTAGTAGATGACCCCTATTGATTTTGAGGTCACTAGGTCAAAGGTCAAGGTCACAGGGGCCTTGACTTCAAAAAGCTTGTCCGCCCAATAACTTAAGATTCCTTTGACCTACAGTCGTCATATTTGGCATGGAGGTTAGTCATGATTAGTAGATGACCCCTATTGATTTTGAGGTCACTAGGTCAAAGGTCAAGGTCACAGGGGCCTTGACTTCAAAAAGCTTGTCCGCCCAATAACTTAAGATTCCTTTGACCTACAGTCGTCATATTTGGCATGGAGGTTAGTCATGATTAGTAGATGACCCCTATTGATTTTGAGGTCACTAGGTCAAAGGTCAAGGTCACAGGGGCCTTGACTTCAAAAAGCTTGTCCGCCCATTAACTTAAGATTCCTTTGACCTACAGTCGTCATATTTGGCATGGAGGTTAGTCATGATTAGTAGATGACCCCTATTGATTTTGAGGTCACTAGGTCAAAGGTCAAGGTCACAGGGGCCTTGACTTCAAAAAGCTTGTCCGCCCATTAACTTAAGATTCCTTTGACCTACAGTCGTCATATTTGGCATGGAGGTTAGTCATGATTAGTAGATGACCCCTATTGATTTTGAGGTCACCAGGTCAAAGGTCAAGGTCACAGGGGCCTTGACTTCAAAAAGCTTGTCCGCCCAATAACTTCAGATTCCTTTGACCTACAGTCGTCATATTTGGAATGGAGGTTAGTCATGATTAGTAGATGACTCCTATTGATTTTGAGGTCACTGGATCAAAGGTCAAGGTTACAGGGGCCTTGACTTCAAAAAGATTGTCCGCCAAATAACTTCAGATTCCTTTGACCCACAGTCTTCATATTTGGCATGGAGGTTAGTCATGATTAGTAGATGACCCCTATTGACTTTGAGGTCACCAGGTCAAAGGTCAAGGTCACAAGGGCCTTGACTTCAAAAAGCTTGTCCGCCCAATAACTTAAGATTCCTTTGACCCACAGTCTTCATATTTGGCATGGAGGCTAGTCATGATAAGTAGATGACCCCTATTGACTTTGAGGTCACCAGGTCAAAGGTCAAGGTCACAGGGGCCTTGACTTCAAAAAGCTTGTCCGCCCAATAACTTAAGATTCCTTTGACCCACAATATTCATATTTGGCATGGAGGTTAGTCATGATTAGTAGATGACCCCTATTGACTTTGAGGTCACCAGGTCAAAGGTCAAGGTCACAGGGACTTTGACTTCAAAAAGTTTGTCTGCCAAATAACTTTAGATTCCTTTGACCCACAGTCTTCATATTTGGCATGGATGTTGATCATGATTAGTAGATGACCCCTTTTGATTTTGAGGTCACTGGATCAAAGGTCAAGGTCATAGGGACTTTGACTTCAAAAAGTTTGTCCACCCATTAACTTAAGATTCCTTTGACCCACAGTCTTCATATTTGGCATGGATGTTGATCATGACTATAAGGTGACCCCTATTGATTTTGAGGTCACTGGGTCAAAGGTCAAGGTCACAGGGACCTTGACAAAAAAAAGCTTTTCTTCTCAATTGCTTAAGAATGTCCTGTCCGCAATGTATTGATTTTGACATTTTCACATTTGAAGCATGTAGAATACATTACTTAGCAATGCACTGGCTTAGTAACCTCAGATTTGGCAGGGAGGTTGTCCTTGAGCTCTCAATGGCCACTGTTGATTCTGACAAAGTGGTATGCGGGGGTATTCACGCCATGATAGTGGCAGTTCTAGTTAGAAATTGATCTTTAATTGCTAATTATAACTGTTTAGCTTGTCCGTTTCAAAGAAATAGTTATTATTACCCTTCCAGATTTTTTCCGCCTTTTTGATTGGATATTGATCACCCGAAAGAAATTGATATAACCGAGCCAGACGGGTAATATACACATTAAATTTCCCCCTTGGGTACCCAACGTTGTAAACGACATGCGCTGAGGTGATGCGCGTACGGTTCGATTTTACGCGGTGTAAATTCCGATTTACAAGCACTTTTTAACTGTCAAATGATAAATATTTACCAAAGTAGAGTAATGATACAAATTCCCATCAGTAATGAAAACAAATATGACCTTGTGAAAGCTTGATATTAATTACAAAAAAGTGCTTTCAATAGACTACTCCTTTTCTCTTGTTTACATTCGTTAGGTACGGGAAAAATACGTCATGTATTTATGTGACGTCATGTTGTGATGAAGAGGTACCCTAAAGGGAATCTTATTTCGACGTTTCATTTGAAACAGCAATGATTTTTTAAAAAAATCGTCTAAACTCGGCAGGTGAAGGGTAATAAAATTATTATTTTGGTTTTGGAGTGATATATGTGGATATATTACCTGCCAAGATAAAATATCACCCTCGCCTAACGGCTCGGGTGATATAAAATCTTAGCAGGTAATATATCCACATATATCACTCCAAAACCAAAATAACATATATTATGACTGCTCTGTTGTCGTTTTCGTTGTTGTGAAATTTAAACTGTAATGTAGCCTGTTATTCCAGCATGAAACTTGGAATACTTGCTTATCTGATTAAAAGGTGCAGTTGTTAGACAAGAAGCATAATAATTCTAAAAGCTATTTTTTGGAGTTATGCCCCTTTTTAACTTAATTAAATGTGTGTGTGTCAAGTATGGTTATTGGTAGTACTTGCCTTTAACAGAGAAGCATGTCCTTGTGGTGCTCTTGTTGGAAATATGGTACATTTATTAGAGATATCCTTAATTGTTAAAAAATATAATGACATTAGAGATTTATTTCTAAATATATCATGAAATTCGAGATTAATTGCTAAATAAATAATGACATATATAATGACATTAGAGATTAATTGCTAAATATATCATGAAATTCGAGATTAATTGCTAAATAAATAATGACATATATAATGACATTAGAGATTAATTGCTAAATATATCATAGAATTTCTCTTATTTAGCAATTAATGTCTAATATTTCTTGTTATTATATAATCTATAAATAGCTTTGAAACGCCTTTCCCTGATTGGCTAACAAGCAACTTTTTGTAAAAAATAACAGGCCAATATCGGAGTATATTCACTGTTTTTTTTCCTAAAAATAGATTTTCATTGTATATTCACCGGTTTTACTTCTAAAACTAGATTTTCTGGAAATCCCCGAAAGACGTGAGACTATGACCTACTTCATGTCAAGTTCGTTGTTATTCTTCTGAAAGAAAAAATGTAGGGTGACTTGTAAATAAGAGTCAAATCAGTCTATTTTAGTTACCGTCTTTAATTTTTTAAGAACATTGAGAATTAGCATGCCAACGCGCTCATTTAAAAGACAGGGCCAAATTATGGAAAAAGTAGACAATCTGAAATTAAAAATTTTCCTCGATTTCCGTCGTATGCAATGACAGATTTGATAAGCTATATAAAAGTTATTTATGAATTATATAATAAAACAGATATGGACTTTGAAGCTGGTGAATATGATGTGATATGTACTGAAAAAATTAATATTGACCTCGGCGATATGATGTGATATGTACTGAAAAAATTAATATTGACCTCAGCGATAGCCGAGGTCAATATTAATTTTTTTAGTACATATCACATCATATTCACCAGCTTCAAAGTCCATATTTGTATATTATTAGATAAATGCCAAAAATGACATTTAACATATTCTGTTACTTTGTGATATAAGGGTTTATTATGAATAGTTAGTTTATTTACTTATTAAGATTTTTATTTACTTGTCATATTTTGAAATGTGCAATTTTTACTTAAATTTAAATGCATTAAAATTTTGTATATTGTGGGTATGTTTTTATTTTTTGAGTTTGTTTGGATGTGTCAGAGTGAATAATTAAAATAAACTTACAAATGATTTCAGTTACCATGGTTACAATAATGTTATTTTAATTAAAAATGATGCCCCAGAATTGTATATTTACAGTCATAATTAAGCTCGATAGAAAATTGGGATAATGAGAGGATATTGAATCTGACATACATTATAGTTTTTACAAATTTATTAAGTTTGATTGTGTTGGAAGATATATGCCGATTGAAACACTTTTGAATTCATTCCTGGAAATTTTACCAGTACTAAGCAAAAAGTGTAAAGTTTATTGCTCAAGGAAACAATGGCTTGTCCGTGACAGAGAAAGAACCCCCACAGTCAGCATTATTAGTTTAAACCACTTGACCTTCATTATTAGTTTAAACCACTTGACCTTAAGTCAACATACTGATATACATTAATAGTGTGTAGAGATAGAAACATTAATTTTGTGTATTCAAGTTCTTTTTGTTTTTGTTACATTTCTTATACATGTACTTATTTTATGCCTGGGATAAAGATATTCTGAAATGTTTCAGGTTTTAAAAAAAAAATCTCAGTATTTCTATCTTTATTTTTGATAATGAATTTTATATTGGTAGTGTGTTGTATACTCATGAATATGCTTTATTTCTCCATCTTGTACAGTGTCAGAAAAGTGACTTTTTTTAAAATTTCGAAAATCTTACGTCATTTATTTGCAAATTTGACCAATGTTTTAAAGGGACTCCTGTGAGGTTTTTTGACATGATTGGGCTAAAAATATTATTTTCCGAGATTTAATGTTTTCTATTTAAAAGTGTATATCTTGACCAATAACTTGTGTGCAATTTTTCAACTCATTCTCTCAACCAGTTTTTCCAGAGTTATCATTTTTATTGTGAAAAATGATCCAAAAAATGAAGTGTTGCAATGCTTTTCACTGAAATAAAACTATAATTTAATACAGAAAATTGATTTAATTCTGGGTATATTTCTTTGTTATCCTTTATAGAGTTTTCTGTTTTAATTGCTTCACTGTCTTGATGTTTTGTAAGATTTTCAAATTTTACGTTTTTTAGGCATTTCGAACTCAGAAGAGTTCCTTTAACTGTAAATCAATGTTTGTTTTGATCAAGAGATTTTGCTCAAATCTTGTTAAACATCATATATATTCTGTTTAATATTTATCTACCATACATTCCATTATATTAGAAGATTTTTAATGTTATATATATATAGGATCCTACATGAGTTGCCAATATGATATAAAATTTTATTAAACAAATTCAAATAAATGTTATAAAGCAAGCCTCTGGCAATATGGAGATTCTTTTTATCACACAATTTCATTGCATTGAAATTACTAAAAATGCTTGTCTTTTTGATGCTTTGTGCACATTTTTGTATTACACAATTCGAGCATGTAATAATAATTATATAAACATTATAGTTGTCCAATGAAAATGGATGTTTCAAATATGCATTGTAAATGTACAGTATAGTTTAATGAGAGGATTATTTTGCTTTTACGAAAATCTTTCAAAGATGTACAATTTATTGCAATATTTAATTTAAAAATTGTATCTGCTTGTTAGTCTATTCTGATAAATTTATTTTTTTACTTAATATATTGTTTATATTTGATACAGCTGTTTACTTCATATAAACTATTCCTATAATTTAAATTCTTATTAACACACTTGTTAACTTGCTATAAACAATTCTTATAATTTAAATTTTTACTTTTTCTTCTTAGATTTCCATTTTGTATGCAGGTTCTTTCCGTATACATGAAATGTTACATTCTGTTATAATAATGAATAAAACTTTTCTGAAAGATACATTATTAAGTGTTGATAATCAACTATCACCCAACATTTTCATCCACATAAGATTGAAGATACTTTTGTCTCTTCATACTAATTTCTTGTTACAAATGAGCCGCGTCACGACAAAACCCAACATAGTGCATTTGCGACCAGCATGGATCCAGACCAGCCTGCGCATCCGCGCAGTCTGATAAGGATCCATGCTGTTCGCTTACCAACTCTTATAACAAGTAGAGAAACTGATAGTGAACAGCATGGATCCTGATCAGACTGTGCGGATGCGCAGGCTGGTCTGGATCCATGCTGGTCGCAAACCCATTATGTTGGTTTTGTCTTGATGTAGCTCAAATGTTTATCTGTTCTTGTTTAAATTGTTTATTATTAGCTAGTCTATTTCAAAGAAAAAGTTGAGCTATTATGGTTGTTGCGGTGGCGACATAGTCATCATGCAAAAATTTTAAATGTAGCACATGTAACATTACTCAAACACTTTTAAAGGTATCAATATGAAACTTTAAGTACTTGCTTACATGTCGACAAGAGGCAGAAACTGTTGTATGACAAAGGACATTATTCTGAACCTCTAGAATTATGCCCCTTTTTAACTTAAATTTTTTGTCAAAATTCCATATTAAGTATAATTATTTCAAAACTATAACAGATATCAATATGAAACATACATACTTGTTATTCATGACAAGATACAGTTTTTAGACTAGGGACATTTTTCTGAATGCTATATATTTGGAGTTATGCCCTTTTTTAGCTGAGACTTTTTGTCAAAATTGCATACTAAGTTGAATTAGTTAAGTTGAATTAGTTCAAAAAGATTTCAATGGAAACTTTGAACACTTGATGATCATGACTTGTTATGGTTGCATGGGTTAATTCAGTCCCTGCTAGTAGGCTAAGGTTTCCTAGCGAATTCTCCATAAAGCAATTAAACATATGACCCTAAAAAAAAAATCAACGAAAGCTTATGATACATAATGGAATCAAATTTTATTATGAAAATATATATCCAAACATTTAAACTTTAATTATAAATGTATATAAAGTAGGGTGTGTATTACAAATTAACTTAAATGCGTTATTTTACAAATGACAAGTTGAAATAATAAATTAATATATGATAATGTTAATTTTGTCACAAATGCAACCATCTTGATCCTGGTCAAATCAGCCTCTCTCCTGTGGTTGGATCAATTATTTTATCAAGGGGGATAACTGCTACAGAAGGCCGGTTTGCCGCCTCAATTTGTGACGGTTTATAACGCCCCTTCATGTGACGAGATCTGCGTATATACCAGGCGGCGTAGAGTAGTAATATGATGATTATAACGACAATGATGATGACAGACGCTGCGATGACACCCGTCGTGTCCGAACCTTTATCGCTGCTCTTCAACAATGAAACTTCACAGAACTGACCTATAACAATATAAATATATACATTTTCATAAAATCATATATATATATATATATATATAATTATATAATCATTAAAAATAGCATTTTTTAGGGATGGAATCAATATTTGTATCGACATATTGTATTCAGTTAGCTATAGTTATCATCTGAAATTTGATATTATAAAATCTGGTAATGTTTTATTCAGCGCAGTTACGTCAATTTCTCTTGAATCCATTCTTGGAACTAACCAGCACTAAGCAATGAGTTTAAAGTTTCTCCCTCACAGAAACAACGGCGTGGCCCTGACAGGGTTTGAACCCTCACAGCCAGCAATCCTTAGATTACTAGTCTGATGCGTTAACCACTCGGCTATGCAGCTACTCTTACAATTGTATTAATAATACATATTTGAAAAATTGGCTGATTTTCAAATATTAGATTGTTTGTTCCCATCCCTTATGAACAATTTAATTTTCTTTGCTTAAGTGCACATCAATGATGATTCTTTTTGTCTAAGAGTCTGTTTAACAAGATAAACTGTTTATTTAACTATTTTTGTACATGATTTGAAACAAATTCTGTATCATTGCAAAACTGTGTTTAACATATTTGCAAATAACACTGTACAGTACATGTAAGTTTATTTTATAGACAAATTTCTGCAAAGCAGTAAATAATAAAAGCTGTTGATATAAATCTGTAAAAATTCTAAATCTTACCAGTGAATGCATCAGAGCATAAACACGAGTAAGATCCCACGCTATTTTCACATGTCGAATCAGCGGTACAACGATGTTGGTCAGTTATACATTCATCGATGTCCTCTCTGCAGATAATACCAGTATATCCGGGCATACACTCACATTTATAACTCAAACCTAGGTCTGTACATGAACCATTGTTCTTGCATGGCATGTCTGCGCAGTCATCTGTTTCTATCTCACAGAGATTACCTTGGTAACCAGTTCCCTCACAATCACATGTAAATGAATTGATTTCATCAATACAGCGGCCATTGTTCATACAAGGGTTTCCTAGAAACACAAAATAATTATGGAGCTCTTTGGAAGAAAGTTTTGATTTATTTTCTAATCAAGTAAAATGCAATTTGTTTGGTTTATTTTGTGTATACAGCACATAATTTGGTTAACTTTTAAGACATAAACATTATAACTTAAGAATTATTATGTAGATTCCATAGGTTGTCTGATTACAATAAAATTATCCCTGAATTATGTATCTTCTCAACCAGCTTTTGTAAAATTTTTATGGAGTGACCAATGACAATAAGACTCAATGTCTGAAATCAACTGTCACGGAGAAACCTTCAGGGTGACAAAATTTCTCAGTGATAATTGATCTCAGATATTGTGTCCAAAGTCATATGGTAAACTCCCATCGCTGAATAAGAAATCATGTGGTCATTTGCATAGTCTGAGAAATTAGTAATTACTGGTTACGTCATCAAGAAAAGCCGACTTGGTGGAACAACAAAATACCATGATAACTTACCAACACAATCATTGACATTTATATCACAGTTATCTCCCTGGAATCCTGTACCAGCACAGTTACATATAAAGCCTGACCTTGTGTTGACACACAAACCATTGTTCTTACACGTGTTGCCTTGACAACTGTCAATCAACTCACCACACGTCTCGCCTGTCCAGCCAGCACCGCATAAACATTTGAACGAACCAAATAAATTCTTACACTCCCCTGAAACAGAGGAATTTTATTAGCATTTATATAAATTAATATAAATAAAATACAAATATTAATGTATTTACATCAATAAACAAACTTAACATTAAATTTAACTTTCAAATATAAACATAATGATAAGGGACTCCACGGGTTTTTTTTTAACATAATGTGCTTGAAAATATTTTTTGAGATTCATGTTCCATTTCAAACGGGTCTAGACCATTAACTTGTGTGCAAAATTTCACACCATTTGCTCACTCAGTTTCAATAATTATTCTAACAGTGAAATGCTTTTCACTTATGTTAGGCTAAGAACAGCACAAAGATACAATTTTCAATTGATTTCCGAGTTTCTTAATTGTCTTTCGCACACCTTGCTGTAAATCTTGAACAGTCCAATCTAAAACGTAATGTATGTATTGAACAATAAACCAAATGGCATCATGAAAATTTCTTCTCCACTCAATCCACTCAACACATGTTTCTTGATTCTTTCAGTAACTTATAATGCTATCATGTTATTGCATTATTGTGTTAGTTGCACACATCTTACATTTTCTTTCAATACATTGTACTATTAATTTATCACCTTCATAATTACTTTTATACAATTATTGTACAGTATACATTATTTTACTAGAACACATGTGAAATTATCATCTATTTTTCAAAGTGATATAGCACAGGCGGCCCACACAGTGTTTGGTCAAGCAGTGTATACCATCCAAACACTGTGTGGGCCGCCTGTGTGATATAGTATTGAATGTGATACTTACACAATTAAGTGTTTATACTAACCAGCATTATAGCAAGGATTTGGTCCACGGCACTCATTGATATCCTCCTCGCACCTGTGACCCACATATCCTGTCTGTTTACAGTCACATGTATAATTACCAACAGTGTTTGTACAGACACCACCATGCTCACATGCTCCCTCTAACAAACACTCGTCCACATCAGTATCACATGTTGCTCCCTGGTACCCGGTCCTGACACAGTCACAGATGTACGCTGTATTATAGGTAGAGCAACCTGAAGTGTCTGAACACAGGTTGATCTGACATGTCTCATTGTGCCAACCGCAGGACTCTATGACATCTGTGCAGTTGCACAAGCCCCGAAATATACACTTTCCGTTATTTTTACATGGTTGACTGAAACACGCATCATGTACCTGTTCACAATGTTCTCCCCCGTATCCAGGGAGACACTGACACGTGTATGAATCTATGCCATCAACACACATAGCACCATTTACACAGGCATTATTTACACAGTTATCTATATCAATGTTGCAATAAGTCCCTGTAAAGCCAGAAACACAGACGCATGTGTAACTATCGCCATTTTGCTCACATGTGCCACCATTGTTACAGGGAGCAGATGCACATCCTCTCTTATCTAGCTCGCATAAATTACCCATAAATCCTTCTACACAATTACATTCAAATTTATTTACAAGGTCTATACATGTTCCATTATTCCTACATGGCATACTTTCACAATCATTGATGTTGGTCTCGCAATATTCACCTTCGTAACCTTGGATACACTCACAATGGAATCCTGCGAAAAATTTCCACGGTTGTTGATTACTCTCAATACAGTCTGCTCCATTCTGACATGGATTAGACTGGCACTCATTAATATCTGTTTCACAATGTTCACCTGTGAACCCTTCTAAACATTCACATGTATAATTTAAATTGAGATCAGAGACATTAAAGAAACAGCTTCCACCATTTTTGCATATATTTTGATCACACCTGTTAATGGGAACATCACAAGTCTCGCCTGAATACAGTTTATTACAGGTGCACCGGAAAGTTGTGACATCATTATGACATATGGCATCATTCTGGCATGGAACACTGGCACAGTAGTCATTAAACTGGCAATATGCACCATAGTTCTCAGGTAAACAACTACACATATAACCACTTGAATTGCTGACACAAGACCCGTTGTTTTGACATAAATTCTGATGGCAAAAATCGTAAGTTTGACACTTTTTGCTGGTGTAACCCGTACGGCATTCACACATGTAGTCTGTGTTGTTTTCATAAGGCACACATGTACCGCCATTAAAACAAGGTGAAGAAGAGCAAATGTAAATATGTTCACATCTTTTTCCAAAGCTGTTAGTTGGACATGAGCATTCAAAATCATTCAATAAGTCCGTACAAATCCCATTATTCAAGCAGGGATAGCTCTCACATTCATTTATATTTTCCGCACACGTAACCCCAGACCATCCTGGTTCACAGAAACACTCAAACTTGCTTGGAAATTTCAAAGTACAGTTCACTGTTCCATTTTCAAAACACGGCATAGAGTCACAAGGGTTGTAGAAAACATCGCATAATTTACCGGTGTAACCATCGTTACACAAACACATGTAGTTTCTATGCATATCTACACATTCTCCGTAGTTACATAAATTGTCAACACAATCATCTACACTGACGTTACACATGTTACCATGCCAACCCTCGTGACATGTACATATTCTATCATTCCATATATCATCACAATCTGAATTCTGGGGACAAGCACCTTCTTTACATACATTATCACCCACACATCCGGTTAAAACATCCTTCTTAAAAACTGTGACACCAGGTTCTGTTTGAAATTCATTGTGAATATCTATGTTGTTATTATTGAAAGAGATATTTCTAAAACAACCTTTGGTTAGCCCAATCATGAACCCTGAATCATCTGAAACATGGATTAACAATCATCAAAATAAATTTTTAACAAAATTAATATATGTACATAAATACAGGTTATCAATTCAAAACATGTAATATTATGGATAATAATGAATTTAATCTATCGGCATAAATCTGCATTAAGATCAAGAAACACAGGGGGAAAAAATTTCAAACAACTATTAAAAAGTCCTTGTTCTGTAGTGTCTGTAAGAAGCCATAGTTAAATTTGCATCCAAATATTAAAAGAATACTGATTTTATATTTTTAGGAAATATTCATCAAAGAATTTTGCAGTAAATAATGGAAGTAACGCACCATGTGCAAATTGTTACATTTACATTTATGACATGCTCAAAAAATAGATAAAAACAGAATCCCTAAAGAAAGCCCAACACAGCAAAATTGAAATTGTTGCAGGCTCGGTTTGATGGACGGTACTGGAAAGTGCAAGTTACTGTCCATGCCCCCTAGCACTGGCTTAAGCTGAATTCATCATTTAAACATGAAAAATTGTGAAATTTTTAATTAAGAAACATCCGCAGATGTGTTCATACAGCTTATCATGGAACCTTCAATGTGGCACAGTGAGTGCCATTCCATGAAAAGCGAAATTGGTCCCAAAATAAAAGAATGTGTGTGCCCTAAATGAGAAAACAATGGGCGGAACAAAATAAAATCTAATTTTGAAAAGGGATAACCTTCTTATATCTTCTACAATGGCCATAGTAATGTTGCAATGAGATTTATGATAGGTTACAATATTTTAAAAGAAATAATGAAATTTACATGAATACAAAATACTTTATTATTTTAAATTATGAACAATTCTATATTTACAAATATCTTTGATCATATATTTAAAACAAGACTTCCACCATGAAGGAAGTGTAATTGTTTTAACTATTTAAATTTATCATGTATGATATAATAATATGGTAGGAACATGATTTTACATGTATGTCGAATATAAATATACACTAAAATGCCTCAGAAAACAAGCAGCTATTTTAACATCATGCCAGCATATTTTATGTTAAAGAATATTTAATATCATTAAGAAATGAAATATTTTCCATGCTCATTCCAAGAATGTGTTTTAACCTTACCATGATGAAAGGGCTTCCCTCCAATAAAAACTCTGACAACCGGATCAAATATAAAAGGGTCAAAGTTCACAGGCATGGACTGGGATACATTGTCTAAATACACTGTGATATGGTCTGTGTTTCTAACCCAAGTGACTGTATGCCAGTCCCCATCTGATACACTTGTGTTTAACCTCATTTGTGATACTGAAATAGAATAGTATAAGCAAATGAATAGATAATGTATTTTATTTCACCATAAATATGTAATCAATGATTACTTCCTGCAAAATTACGCCCTCATTTTTCATCTTTTCAATTTCTAAAGAAGATAAGACAGATTTTATTTCATTTCAGAAAGGTTAAGAACAAATGCTACATAAGTTTTTACGAGCATTTATAACTGACTGACTTTCTGTAGTTCTGAATATACCATCTTGCAAGTATAAACTTAACCAAAGTGTGATGCCGACACAGGGGAGAGTACGATAAATCTCATATTCTCCTAGCGGATGAGCTAAAAAGAAATTGACATAATGATAGTAAAATGACTTACTGTTAACTGATGTAAGAATCACATCGAGACTAGTTTCATACACACCAAACTCCAAACTGGCATTCATAAGTTCACTGTTATAGAACTGTATATACATCAACGTGGCAGTTTCATCTCTTGTCCGGAACTCAAAATATCCGGTGTCACTGAATGGGATTATACTTGTATTTAACTTCATGTCTATATAACTTGTCTTCCCATTTAGAGTAGTTGCCACGGCTGTATCATAGAAATAAAACAAAAAATATTTTTAGAAAAAATTATGATCAATTTGAGCATATTTATTTGCCTAGCAATAGATTATTTTCACACATTGTTTATCTTTCTATCATAAAATTTGTCTAACCTAAAAGTGGTCTAATTTAATTACTTAATTGATATATGACATGCTTTCTACATATGAAGTTTGTATTTCTTATTTTGTTTGGCTGCATCTCTTATGATATAAACAAAAAATACTTTCCTGCTTTTTTTGTAATTCATGCTATTTGAAATGACTAAGAAAGTAAGCTTTGATTAGTACAACTGTTTGTCATAAATGGTTGAGAACACAAACATTGATTAAAATAATTGTAAATAGTGTCATTATACTATTCTATCACCATCTAAAAACCCCAAAAAGAACTGATATGTCAAAATAATGAGAGTTTTTTTTTAAAAGCCTTTTCTATCAAATATACTCTCAATAGAATGATATTTCTTAAAATTCTACCAAAAAGATACAAAAATGTTTCTTCAATTACCTTCATCACAAACATCTCCGGTAAAGCTAGACGTACATTGACATGTTTGATTGGTCCAGGCAGGTATGCAGGTTCCCCCATGTTGGCATGACAACACAGTACATCCACTATCTCTGGAGCAACCAGGTTTTGCTGCTACTGGATCATTACCAAATACAGAGTGAGAAGCGGTCTGTAAATCTATCACTTTCTTGTTTATTGTAAGGTTCTTTATACATCCGACAAAACTGCCATAGAAAAAGGACATACACATTATACACTCACAAGCAAAATAAAGAACATATTCAGAAAATGGTTCAAATTATTTTTTCATTGTTTTGACATAGTTGTTAAATTTCATTATCTAAGTAACACACCTGAAAATTTTTACACAAATTGAACACCAAAATTGTTCTGTTTGTCTATTTCAACAAAAATACCCTTCATTCATGTCACACTGATATTGATTAGGTCATACAGTGACTTTTCAGCTTCAATGGTAGAAGAAAAAAGATAGAGGAATGCCCTGTCTTTGCAAATAGAGCCTGCACCTGAGTAAAACTATCTATCTTCCTGTAAGTTAGCTAGACAGCTTCCTCACTTGAAAAAATCCAAAGTTTCTGATAAGATTTAGAACCACAATGATGAAGCACAGGTGTTCATCACATTTGCCATGCCATTAATTGTCAAATATTATCACAAGTAAAATGGTTTCCTGGGGGAACATTTTTAATGACATAAAGATATTTCATTTAACTATTTTCAACATTGTTTGGGGGGGATAAATAAACGTTTGTATCAGGAATATAGTTGACAATAATCGATCAATATAGAAGATCTTTGGAAACTGGTGACAGTTGAAGACCTGAGACCGGAGAAGGTCGAACATAAAACAATTATTTCTTTTTAAGAAAACGATTAAATACCATTTTATGAATAATTCCGGGCAAAAAAATAAAGTAAACACACAAGTTTATGCAGAAAATATCTCTTTTTAGTATGGCAGATGCCACTAATATTTTAATTTTGTAGATTTTCAGTATAAACAATTTATTGTTTGTAAAATTTGAGATAGATATTAAAGAAACATTGATAATTTTCAAACACATCATTCAAGTTTTTCCACCTTAAAGGGTAAAATAATAATAGAAAATTAGAAATATCACATAATAGTTTTTTGTTGTTAATTAGGTGTAATTCGGACTAATTCCCTAGAGGTAAATCCGTAACATACCGGCAAACAGTATTTAGCTAGGTTTTCGAAAAGGTCAATTAACCAATCATGTACGGTTTACATATCACATGCTCCTCCATGTACCGAAAACAGGTCACGTGCTCCTCCATGCCTCAAAAGTTAAACGCGTACCAATACCCTGCGGTTTTCAGACCGCAGGGAATAAAATAATCACCCACTGATCATCGAGAACAAAATTACTATCCAGCACCCGTTTACTATATAAAATATATATATATAATAATTGGCATGGCAAATGTGCCAAACACCTGTGCGATGAAAGGCAAGTCATTGAAATAGGCAACCTTAACCACAGAGTTTAGAAAAGCTTAAAAAAAAAAAAAAAATAATCTAAAGGCTTAAGGTAAGAACCCTAGGTAAGAACACTTGTGTGACTGCAATATTTTGTGGCATTTTGCTGCAGTTCCTGAAGCTTATGTTTAATCAAATTTACAGGCAAAGAGAAAGCTGACTTACAATGACATGGAAGAGCCAAATGTCCCTAGTTAATATTCAAACCAACAACTGTAAAAAAAAAGTACTTTAAGGCATTTTTCTTTTTGTTAAAGTGTTATATAATAACAAAAAAATGACATTTTTTACCTAGTATACTGGTTCAAGCTGATTTTATTTCTCCACATGTCTAGTGTAGGATGTTTGTGAATTTGACCCATAAACAATGGTGCATGAACATTTATAGACTGACCAACTTGACCTGATTTACTCTCAATGACCTTGACCTCATCTGACACTGAAATATAAACATATTACATGAATAGAGGTTCTAAATATAAAATCTTCATTATTAAGGTAATAATTAGCATGGAGCAAGAAAATTATTATCTTTCACTGATTCTGAATGACAAAGATTTTACTAAACAGACTCAAGAATTAAAACACTTTTAGATTTTTTACTAGTTTATCATAATTAAAAATATAACACTAAGAACCCAAATCAAATCTTCACAATATTACATAGTACTGTTTTTTTGTATTTTATTTTTATTATTTTTTTTTTTGGTGTGGGAGATCCTTTTTTCTTGTATTTTGGTGGGTTGTTTTTTAAGGTATTAAAGTCATATAACATCTTTCCATCATTACTGGAGGAGAAAGGGCATAGGTGCCTGCCAGTGCTTTATTAGAGGCATAAGCTGACATCTACAATCTTCCATAAATAGGGAGAATATCTTCCTAGCAAGAAAGAATATGACAATCTCCTGGATAAGTCCCATATGTATTTTTCAGAAGTAAAACTTGTACATTGTATGTAATACACTAAAGAAAAACAGAAGAAACCTTATATAATAATAATACACCTGGTTTAGACCTCAGTTTCTTTTCCAGGATATTGCCAAGAAAACAAGTTAAAATCATACAAAGCTATTAAACTTTAATTGAGAAACCTTTTCTTTATAAGTACAATTATTAAATATTTACATGTAAGTTTGTAAATTCCACTGATAAACTGTATAGATATTTTAAACCAGTCGCCATTCTGCACATCACCAATGGTAGTTATAAAATCATCATCATTGCTCATCAAATGAAGAACAAGACTTCCTCTATCTATATACAGGCATAACATATCACTGTCAAGCTGAAATACATATATAATTATATAGGAAACAGAATTTGTAGTATACTTATGATATATGACTTCATTCCAATATTTTTGGTGGAAACATGATAAACTTATACAGTGAGCAAGGTGACTTACAGGCCCATAGGGCCGGGTGTTATTATCATTAATTATTTTAATTACGTATATAGTTTTGTAATTATTGTCAAATTACAAAGTGACTATTATAAATAAACGATTATCTTATCTTATATTATCTTAGACTTTGTGTATCTTATTATAATAATATCAGATATAAAAAGAGACCATTTAAAGCTGCATGTCTCTGAATGAGCCAATAATTATTTCAAGAAAATCAAATTTGAGGAAAAAGTATTAAGATTTTTAAGAAAGTAAAGGGATTCAAGATTCAAGAAATAATTTACAAGCTATATGTGATTAATGACTGATTTTGCACTATTTATTATTATCATTCTACTGAATAAGTAATACAGGAAGGGCTATTTTTGCATCTTTTGATCTCTTGTAGTGCCAATTTTGACCCCATGGCTATAATTTGTGACAAACTTGGTATAAACCTCAACCTAGACAATGTTACATGCAAAATACATGACTGTATCTAAGTTCTTCCTTGCCCTCTTGATTCTGAAGAAGATTTCGAAAGTTTATTTGTTCTGTTGCAATGGCAATCTGACTTCCACAAGAAATGGAATTTTTTAAACAATTTTGAAAAATCTTCAAGCTAGGAACAATCCTGCTTACTTTTAACACAATATGCCCAATGGTTTAAGAGGAGATGTTGTTTGAAACAATTTTGATGATGCAAGATACAGATGCCAGAGACCCCATCCCCCCTCATTCTAGTACAATATAAATACCATACAAATCTTTAATACTAGTTATCAAAAAAGAAAAGAAAAATAACAGTTTTGTGTAAATCAGTATTTTCAATGATGTAAAAAAATATAAATTATATAATATATTCTTTTAAACTTACAGTATATAATATCACTCCAGAGTCTGAGTTGCTTGTGAACAACAGTGATAAACTTGTTATTTTAGATAAACCTTTGGAGAAGTGTAGAAAAGATTCCATCTCAAACTGAGCTGCTTGTTGGAATTCGCACACAGACCCTACAAAACAGCAAGTATTATTTTATATGTTTAACGCTCAACCTGGTGAAACTAAAAGAGATTTAAGCCATTGCCACCAGTATAGAGCCAGACCGTACTACACATCCATGCAGTCTGACCAGGCTCTATACTGTTGGCTGACTTAATAAAATTGGAGTTTTCATTTTGACAAAAAATTGGTTATGAACAGTTTCAAATATGGAACCTGGGCAAACCCATTTAAAAGAATCAGGTTGAATGTTAAATTGATGGTTCTTTTAAAATCAAATTTTAATATATTTTTTTTCACATATAGCACTATTATGAAGAATATTAATCTTGTGTAATATACCAGTTAGATATATAAATGTGGAAATAATCATTAAAGATTCCTTAGTATTTTGAGTATAAGTGGGTACACAACTATAACTATGACTATGGAAGGAACCTGGATAATTTCTTCATATGAAGAGTGTAAAGCATGAAAAGATTCAATCACAAAGAGATGCACTGTTTTGAGGTTAACTCTTTCACTCATGGCCATGAGGGCCACATAATTGATAATTATAATTCAGTGAGACCACACTAGTAAAGAACTATAATACATGAACTTTTAATACACATCATCACCTATATATCCTGGAGTACATTCACAATAACTTGTAGTCCACATATCCTGACATGATCCTCCATTCTGACACCTGTTGTCATGGCACAGGTCATGTGACCTACATCCTGGTAACAAGGTAAACTGCCCGGTAACAGCCAGATTTAGTATCTCATCATTCACAGATACATTCTAAGGACAGAAAATAAATTAATATACCACAGTGTAATATTTAATCAAAGATGCAGTGCTCTCTAGAAATGACCATTTAATTAAAGTAAGCCTTTATAAATCACCCCTAACTGTTACTGATTTTAATGTTTATCATAGTTTGACAAAAGGAGCAAGTTTGACCAGTGATTTCACCAGATTTTGGTTTAAATGGAGAGCACTGTAGAAACATGTTGTTCTTTTCCATGTTCTATCCAAGAAACAAAAACAAAAATATCATATCTGTGTCACAGGTACATGTTGAGTAAAATGTACAAACTGGCAGGGACTTGAACCTTAGGACACTCAGAATACCTTTCCAGTGCTCTACCGAATGAGCTATTTGGCAACTTACATTATCTTGGCCCCTCATTAAAAGTGAACAGTTTGGGACCATGACATTTGTATAACTTATAAACTGATATCTTTGATTATTAATGATCTTTAAAATATTTAATGGTACAGAACGATTAACATGCAAATTTATGTTTGGCAATATATGAAAATTATCATGCAGGTATGAGTAAAATAAAAATTACCCCTATACATCCAGTAAACTTTGATAATGATCGCATTTTACTCCTCAAATATGGTGTCACAATATCCACTCCTCCAATCACAAGATGTCCTCTCAAATTTATTGCCTCACCCACTGTGGTATATTGAAGTATAAGATCACAGTTACCTCCCTCTGGACAGTTGTCAATGGTGATATTGGTATGAGATGTTGTGATAGTAAGGTGTACATTATGTGACATCACCGTTGCTTGCGACAGAGGCTCTATACTGCCAGACACTGTCTCACCATACATGCCAATGGACACCAGAACTTTCCTGTTGTCCAACTGCACAAGAAGATGAACATTTTCTGATACCTGCAGAGATAATACAATAAAAAGTCAAAGATTTTTAATATAAATCATAAATCATATTAACCTGTTACGTGCTGGAACCAAAAGTAAGTTTCTTTTGTCACTTAGTAGAGTGTCATGCCAATCTGCACTTCAATGCAGTCTGACCAGGTTCTTTCTGTTGTTAATGAAATCTCTTAAAATTGTAATGGACAGACCCAAATTCAAAACAGGGTAAACCCATTAAATATGTTAAGGGTAAATCTTAGTCTACCTTTATTGTTCAACTTAGGGGCAAATATCTGATAATAAAGTTTTAGATCAGAGGACAAATATCCCATATTTTATCATGGTCATATTTCCATATTCCTGCTTTACACTACATGTATGACAGAGATTGTTTTATAGAATACATGTACCATAAGGTATATTATTTCAAACACAGGAGTGCATAAAAATTTTGATTTGAAATGTTCTACAAGACAGAATAGAATTATAAATTTCAAACTAACTAAGATTTCAAGATAATACTTACATCTGCAATAGAGAGAATTGTGCCCTGGAATATGCTTGTAGAAAACCAGAATGATATAGTTGCCTTGGTTACGTTAAACTCTTCATTTTGTATATCACTTTCTGGCAAAACCTCTCGGTGGATTCTCTTGAAACCGGTCAGTGGCTCAAGCCTGATCAAAGTTGAACCATCAAATGTTGCTACTGTCACTATTTCACAATTGTTGCCATGGAGACCAGGCAGACAATCACAATGATACTGGTTGATAATTGGTTCTGTACAGACACCACCATGAAGACAGGGGGCGCTTTTACATTCCTCGACTTCCTCCCTGCAGTTCACACCTAAAATATAAACACCAGAGTAAATGTTGATATAATATATTCAAGTATTCCATGATTTGACACATCCAAACAGTGTCCATTTTAAAATATTTTTAAAAGAAATCTTTAATTAATTATTTAAAAGCTGAATGCTTCAGAAAATTAAATTTAGAAAGATATTAATACACAAAGCAGAAATTGAGGTCAATTCAAGTCTTTAATTCCTCTTGCACACAGTCGAAGGACTAACTGAAAGTTTGATGCAATTTCAAAGCATAGAAATGTGAGGTTCCTAAAGTTCTTAAATTTAGCCTTACCAACTTGAAATTCTGAAAATTCTGAAAAGGTTAATTAACTTAAATGTGAATAAAAAATTATTGTGATAAAAATTTATCGAAATATTTCTTTTTATTGTAAGTTCAGATCATATTGAAACATACACTTACAGAGAGCTACGAGTTTATCTGATTAAGTATTAACTGTAAAAGGTGACAAGAGAACAGTGAGTGCATGATTGTCTTTTAAAATAAATTATGATAAAAAGAGGCAAAAAAATTGCTTTCAGAATTATGCCCCTTGTCTAACAACTACACATTGTCATTGTTAGAAAGTTACCCAAGTTTAATAATTGTTCAGATAACTTTCAAAATTTTAATAATAGGCTACATTAGAGTCTTTGCTAAACAACTACAAAAATGATGACAACGACAAACAGACGGGCTAACTTAATGTGTCTATAAGACTTAAATGCCCCAAAATTCCAACTGTTTTGTCAGTCTATGGTGGACAATATATATGACAATGTGACACTGACAAACAAGGGCAAATCTATATGCTTTCCCCTTAGAGTAGCTGGGTCATAAAAGTCACCTCAATGTTTGTACTTACAAATCTGTCCAAGCTTTAAGCAGTTGACCTTTTAGTTGTAGTTGTCTTAAGAAGAAATTAGCATAAGTAATGGTTACATGCCTGCATGTACATGTATTGCTATCTTGAAAAGAGACTAAAAAATGTACTTGTTAATGTTAAAATGTACTTCATACAGTACCTTGATATCCTTGTATACATGTACAAACATAGTAATTATCACCATCTACACATGTACCATTGTTCATACATGGATCGGATTCACAATCATTTATATTCTCCTCACAAAACCTTCCTAAAATAAAGAACATTAATTTTTACACATTTTATGGATCAGTCAAGTAAGTTTTTGCAACTGAATAAAAATTTAGCACAATTGCTTAATGATCCTCAGTGAAAATATGAAACAGATGACCAAAAAAAAATCCAAAATGAAAATAATTATCAATACCTAGTGTGATTCTTAGCCCATTTTGAGTTCAAAATGTTTAAACCCTTTCCTTATTGGAAATTATTATTCTGAAAAATGGAGTGAGTTAAAGATCTGAAATTCTAAACACAAGTTAATTGTATACAGGTACAAAAAATGGTATAAAATCTTGAAAAAAATATATTCAGCTTCCTCACATCCAAATACATGTATTTCAATGGAGTCCCTTTAAAATATCACCTTCATTAAATTTTACATGTACATGATAAGAATATTACTGCGATGAGGGTAACAGTAAAATAAAGTTAAATAACAGGATGAATAAATGTTTTAATAACAATTAAATAAATGTCTGACCTTGAAATCCTGGTAGACACAGACATGTAAAGTTTCTGTTGCCACTAATACACTGAGCATCATTGGCACAAGGGTCCGAGTCACATCCATCCAGCACTGTCTCACAATATATACCAGTTGTTCCTAAATATATATTTATTATATATAATATATTTGAAATTCTGAATAAAGTAAAAAAAATAATATTTTTTAGGTTTTGAGTTTTATGTCACACCAACACAGTACAGGTCATATGACAACATTCCAGCTTTACTGGTGGAGGAAGACCTCGGGTGCCTTTCCATGCATTATTTCAGGCATGAATGGGCACCTGAGTAGAACCACCAACGTTCGGTTTGCTAGCTCATGAAAAAATCCAAAGTCCCTGTAAGGATTCAAACTCACAGCGGTTAGAGGCAAGTGGTTTGATGTCAATGACTTTAACCACTTGGCCATTAAAACCCCATTTAAAAGTAAAAAACAAATACGATTATTAAGCTGATCATATCACCAAGCTTATAGTTGAATGCTTATAGAATTAAAGATTTATTGTCAGTCTGAAAGGTTCATAACCAGAATTATAAAACCAGAAGGAAGTGTTAAATATACATTGCATTGTAGTTTAATTGAAAATCTACATAAAAGAATATTTTTGCAATTTACAGTAAACATATTCTCATATACGGAGGTACAAGTATAGCATTCCCTTTACTCTAAATAACATATTTATGTCCATCTTAACTTAGGTCAATGTGCATCAGATTTGTAATCCATGGGAATGGTAGTTCAAACCCTGGGCTAGACAGTATTGCTTGTGCCATGAAAGACCTCAGACTTTGAGTCTAATGGTCATATAAATGTCTCTCAACACTGATTCAGAAAGTATAAAGTCGGTCATTTGCCAATATTTTGGTAATTACTCAACTCAACTCAAATCATTTATTTGTAAATAAAGGCCTCCGGCCCAAAATACATCATAAGGTATAACATATAATAAAATGTCAAGTAGTTGTATATTGTGAAACTTAAGTATCATTAATTATATTCATAAGTTGATAGATGTAAATACTATTAGATATATTACTTATATTTAGTTATCCAGAAAAGCCAGTTAAAGGTAGAATGACTTTCAAGATATGACCCAATGTGTTAAAATTGGCATAACAATTAGATAAACAATTAAATAACATAACATGTACATAGTACCTTCTCTGCACTGACACTTGGACTGTTCACCTTTTTTCTCTATACATGTACCATTATTCTTACAAAAAGTTGTGTTACAGTCTGCTACATCTTGTTCACAGTGGTTCCCAGTCCAGTTGTCACCACACAAACAGATAAAGGAACCAGGTAAATTGATACAAGCAGCCCCATTGTAACAAGGTGATATGTTACACTCATCCTTATCAATGCTGCAATCTTCACCTGTCCACCCCGGTGTACACGTACAATTGTGTCCTGGCAACATAAAATACAAAAGTAATGAGATGATATGTTAAAAACTTAAAATCTGAAATTTAGAAGCTCAGGTACATTTGTAAATTTGTCTAAAATCACCAAGTATCTTAATTCTTTACACTTAACAAACTTCATCAAACTTCATCAAATATTGGTAAGTGTAGTAGTAGTTAATCAACAACTGAGTGTACAATTAAACCTGATGCTTTGTAAATACCATCAGCAGTAGAACTTTTGTCATTTGGAAACAAGAGCCGGTTGAACCGGGTGATGCTCCCCGAATAGGTTTTGGACACAGGAAGGTATACCTCTTGTTGTGTCAGAGTTATGTCACAGACAAAGTTCAAAGTGTAAAAACAACCCAAATATTGTGCACGACACATTGTCTCAATATGGTGATCATTTTTGTGAAATAGTTGTAAAATCCGATTTCAAATAACAAAGTTATGCGCCTGACATTATTTTGCTGCAAGGTCATGCTGTGACCTTGACCTTCAAGGTAGTGACCTAAATGTTGCATGCGACACGTCGATTCAATATGGTGATCATCTCTGTGAAATAGTTGTTAAATCCAACTTCCAGTAACAAAGTTATGGGCCGGACATGATTTTGCTGCAAGGTCATACCGTGACCTTGACCTTCAAGGTAGCGACCCAAATGTTGCGCGCGATACAATGTCTCATTGTGGTGATCATTTCTGTGAAATAGTTGTAAAATCCGACTTCAAATAATGAAGTTATGTGTCGGACACAATTTTGCTGCAAGGTCATGCTGTGACCTTGACCTTCAAGGTAGTGACCCAAATGTTGCGCATGACACGCCATTTTAATATGGTGATCATTTCTGTGAAATAGTTTAAAAATCTGACTTCAAATAAGGAAGTTATGGGCCGGACACAATTTTGCTGCAAGGTCATGCTGTGACCTTGACCTTCAAGGTAGCGACTTAAATGTTGTGCATGACACATCATCTTAATATGATGATCATTTCTGTGAAATACTTTTTAAATCTAACTTCAAATAGCAAAGTTATGGGCCAGACACGATTTTGCTGCAAGGTCATGCTGTGACCTTGACCTTCAAGGAAGCGACCCACATGTTGCGCGCGACACATCGTCTCAATATGGTGATCATTTCTGTGGAATATTTTTTAAATCCGACTTCAAATAACAAAGTTATGGACCGGACACGATTTTGCTGCAAGGTCATGCTGTGACCTTGACCTTCAAGGTAGCGACCCAAATGTTGCGCACGACACGTCGTCTCAATATGGTGATCATTTCTGTGAAATATTTTTAAAATCCAACTTCAAATAACAAAGTTATGGACCGGACACGATTTTGCTGCAAGGTCATGCTGTGACCTTGACCTTCAAGGTAGCGACCCAAATGTTGCGCGCGACACGTCGTCTCAATATGGTGATCATTTCTGTGAAATATTTTTAAAATCCGACTTCAAATAATGAAGTTATGGACCGGACACGATTTTGCTGCAAGGTCATGCTGTGACCTTGACCTTCAAGGTAGCGACCCAAATGTTGCGCGCGACACGTCGTCTCAATATGGTGATCATTTCTGTGAAATAGTTTTAAAATCTGACTTCAAATAACAAAGTTATGGGCCGGACACGAATTTGGGACGTACGTACGGACCCGATGACTATATGCTCCCCCGAAATTTTTCGGGGAGCATTTTTCGGGGAGCATAAAAATGCTGAATTAAAGATCCAAGGCTTGTGAGTTTCATACCTCCATACTCCAATGACAATATCTTACTTGTTTGGGCAAAACTTTGATGAAATGAGTTTTGGGGATTGCTATAGGCAAGTTACAGAACCTGCTAATAATGCTGTAAGAATTGCTCTCTTGTACTACTGGTTGTTAATATTAAATGACTAACACTCTCTCTGAAGGGACATGAGCAATATCTATTAAAAGAGAGGGCCATTACGGCCTCATATCGCTCACCCAATTATTATTATAATGAAAACTATTCAATTACATCAAATACAGTCATCAATTTTCCCTTACCTGTATTATAGTGTGTACATGTTCCACCATTGTTACATCCTGCAAGCAGACAACCATCCAGCCTTGTCTCACACTGGGTACCAGTGTATCTGCTGGCACACTTACAGGTATACCCTGGTGTATCAATGTTCTCTGTACATGTTCCACCAGAGTGACATGGTGATGATTGACAGCTTGTAATCTTACCCTCACACCTGTCACCCAGGAAATGTTCAGTACAGTTACACATGTATCCTGTGGACAGTGTGTGATTGGTAATACAGATAGCCTGGTGATGACAGGGGTTAGGGAAGCACGGGTCAATCTGCGTTTCACAGTGAATTCCAGCGTAACCCTGTAACAACATCACAAAATACATGTGTTAAATGTACAAAAATGCTGTAGCTGTGACTTAGTGTTTCTGTTCACGGTCTCCCTTAAAAACTAAATCATCATGATTTCAAGGCCAACTTTTCTTAACATACATGTTTGCTGACAAGTCATCAGGCCCTAATTCACTAAGATTTTAGAATCAGGATAGAGATAGGAATCAAAAATTCAAAATCAAAAACTCAAATATTCACCATTGTTTATCCTCATAGAATAAATATTCAGTATTTACTTGATAAAAGTGGACTGAAAATATCATGTTTATGATATAATTGTTTTTTGTTACTTTATATGATATGTGCATTTTACCATTGATCCAAAAGCTGATCATGATCTTAAAATTGTTTCTTATAAGTTATTCCGTCCAGATTAGCTTTGCATTTGTATTGTTATTTGTCCACTTTATTACTACAGATATTTAACATTTTGTTTATGTATTTTTTAACTTAAGCAAAATACTATCAATTTTAGTGTCATAAAGCAATGTATAAAAATCAGGATCATTAAATTTGATTCTAATCCAAACTTTTCCTAATTTGTGAACATGGGGCCAGTTCATCAAAGAAATAATGTTAGCTTTTCTTTTTTAGAGGGGTTTACACCACACCAGCACAGTACAGGTCATATGGCAAGTTGCTAGGAAAACCTAAGTTGTCCCTCCATGCATTATTTTAGGCACTAATTGGTACCTGAATAGCACCACAGACATTCTGTAAGCTAGCTGGATAGCTTCATCATATGAAAGAATCCATAGTCCCTGCCACAACAATGAGGGACAAGTAATTTGAAGTCAACAACTTTAACTACCCTTAATTGCAGACACCTGAATTTGAAATAATGTTAGTGTTTTGGTAATAATTGGGACCAATGTGATACAGATGGAATCTTCTTAAAGGATGATGCTTTTGAGTCAGTCAGGATTGAGTGAATGCATGTATTGTATCTAAAGTAGCTTGTTGACAATTGTTACTGAGATTATTATATTTGGTTGTACATGTACATTTCATTTCTTAATAATATACAAACCATAGTTACAAAAGACTTCTCAAACTGACCTTTGGGCAGTTACATATATATCTGTCTGTATCATGTACACAGGTCCCCATATTCTGACATGGTTGACTGACACAAGTGTCCACAACTTCCTCACATGTGTCTCCAGTTCTCCCCGCAATACAGTCACATCTAAAAAATATGTGAACAGAAAACAAGTCCAGGGTCTCATAATGATTCAGATGTCAAATCTATATAATGCATAGTAAGTAAAAGCTTTTTCTTTTTGTACTTTCAATTATTAAATGGAAATGCAAAGAAAAAGTAAGTACTGGTCTCTTGGTTATAAAACTTTTTTCTAAGCTCTGTCCCAAATCTAAGGATTTTCCTTGGTCAGTGAAAGTTCTGTGTAAACTTCTGACCAGTCAAATTCTTGAAATCTGAATTTGAGACTAAGAAATTTCTTTATGACCTTCAACTTTGGTTCGAATAATACATTGTAACTGTCAAGGAAGCCTAATTCCATCCAGTTTGTGAAAGTTTCAGTAATAAATGTCAAAGTTTATCAAAAGATGAAATACAAAATGGAACATATTAAGAAACTAACCTGTAACCATTGACCAGATCTGAACATATCTGATACTGACCACATTGTATTTGTAAACAATCATCAATGTTAGTTTGACAGTGGACACCTGTGTATCCTTCAACACAGGTACAACTGTACAGAGCATCAACTCCGGTGTTTGTACATGTACCAGCATTCATACAAGGCTGTGATGTACAACCAGAGGTGGCGACTGTCTCACAGTGTACCCCTGTTCTGCCTAAATAAATATTTTAATAAGAGGGTCATTGTATAGTCTTTGATAAATGAAATAAGCTTTTTCACATTTACAAAGATAGAGCACTTAATTTATTTCAGATTACCTTAATTCAATAAAGAGAGAGCACTTAAACTATTTAAGATTACATATTCAATGAAGATACAGCACTTATGCTATTTCAAATAACATAGCTTAATTCAATAAAGAGAGAGCATTAATATTTTAGGCCATTTCAGATAACCTATTCAATGATAAAGATACAGTACTTAAGTTATTTCAGATAACTTATTCAATGAAGATACAGTACTTAAGCTATTTCGAATTACCTATACACGAAGGTAGAGCACATAAACTATTTCAGTTTACCTATTCAATAAATGTGAAGCACTCCTATTCAATGAAGGTAGAGTACTTAAGCTATTTCAGTTACCTATTCAATGAAAATAAAGCACCTAAGCTATTTCAGATTACCTATTAAATAAAGCTTAGTCTAAAGCACCTAAGCTATTTCAGATTACCTATTAAATAAAGCTTAGTCTAAAGCACCTAAGCTATTTCAGATTACCTATTCAATGAAGGCTTCTACAGATTACCTATCCCTTGAAGATAGAGCACTTATACTATTTCAGATTACTTATTCAATGATGTACAGTAGTGATGGAAATCGGATAAAATTTGTCCCAATCGATCATCGGTTCAGACGGATGGGACATAATCGATAACTTTTCGAATAAAGTCGCGTTAAAAGGAAATAGGGAAGTAACATTTCTTACCATGGCACTTGATTATATTTAGTAACATGAACTTCATTTAGCACTTTTCAACACAGTTTTAACCTTATATAGTCATAATTTTAACGAATTAGATTTTATTTTTCAATGGATGTCAAATAATACCATTCACCGTCACACACGTCACATTATATTACTATTGTTTACATTACTTATTGATCCTGTTAAACCCTAAGTTGTCTCTGAGCGATTTTTTTGCGATCGGCGAGGTGTTCCTAAAAGAAAATTATCGTCAGAATTAATTCCCTTTGATACTTTAAACAATTTCCACAAATCGCGGAACAAATTTTTGAGAACCGATTATGTCGTTTTACATAACAGTAACTGATTATCGGCGACTTGCGACAATCGGAACATCACTAATGTACAGCAGGTACAGCACTTAAGCATTTTCAGTTTACCTTTTCATTGAAGGTTATTTCAGATAACATTTCAACGAAGATAGAGCACCTAAGCTTTTTTCAGATTACCTATTCAATGAAGATAGTGCACTTATACTATTTCAGATTACCTAGCTTAATTCAATAGAGGCTATTTCAGGTAACCTATTAAATGAAGGTACAGCACTTAAGTTATTTCAGATAATACATACCAGGTGGACAAAGACATGTGTATCCATTTACTTCATCCTGACAGGTTGCTGTCTCATCACATGGTGAGGGTCTGCATTCATCTATCTCTTTCTCACAATGGTTGCCATAGTAACCAGGGGTGCAATAACATGTATATCCTCCTGAAACATGTAGAACAAATGCATAATTATGCATAGATGATATAGAGGATATTTGTTTAGTTCAGTGTAAGATAGGAATATATTTCACCGAGTGAGCACCAAAAGGTATATTTCACGAGTGGCGCAGCCACGAGTGTAATATGAACTTTTGGTGTTCACAAGGTGTTCACATTAGGTTCAAAATTCAAGCACATCCATTAAACAAATTCACAAAGTTTAAGGTCACCTGAGACTATAATTAACATACCATTGTGTATATCTTCACAGACAGCGTTGTTGTCACATGGGTTGTCATAGAGACAATACCTTCTAACAGCCTCACACCTGTCACCTAGGAAATGCCGGGTACAGGCACAGTTAAATCCATCAGCCTCCACTGTACAGGTGCCACCATGGTAACATGGGTCAGGCTCACATGGAGTGTTTAATGTTTCACAGAATTCTCCAGTATATCTAAAACAAATATATAAACATAAAGTTTATAGAAAGGTAAAATATTTAAGGCTTTTTCCCCCTTCATTTGTGAAGGAGCTGATGTGCCTTTTTTATTTCTGTAAGATAAAACATTAATTTGCTTGGGATATTTCAACATGGAAAGTCTAACAGAAGCACCATTATACCCAACGCAAATTTTATACCATAATCAGGTATCACATACAAAAATATGCCTTAAAAGAAATAGCAAATATATAGTTATATTTAAAAGCACAAATGATGATTGTTCCATCAAATGTGAATGAAAATATATACAGTCTTATTTTTTGGGGCAATAGCATACATAAGCCTTTCAAAGATAATGGAAAATTACTTATTTGCATATAGATGGGCATTACTTTGTCAATGATGGATAGATTTTAGAGAAAATCAAAGCTGACTTGCGTTTTGACATAACCTACATGTACGACAGATGTAGAGAAAATTGCTTATGGCCATCGAGATTTTTCTAATGGAAAACTTCCTACTTTGAAAGAATGAATATAAAGTGGTAGTATTTGTTTTTTGTTGGTAAATGGTTTAAAAGTCAAACCAACACTTTAAGGGTAATATGGCGACTTTCCAGGTTTACTAGTGGGGAAAGACCTCCTTTGTGTAATATTTCATGCACATTAACTTAGCTTGCACCTGAGTAGAACCATCATTGTTTCATAAGCTAGCTGAATAGCTTCCTAAAATGAAAGAATCCTTAAAGTCCCTGACCGGACTCAAAACTTTGATGGTGAGAGGCAAGAGCTTTGAAGAAAATAACCTTAACCCATATGAAGCCAAAGTAATTATAATATACAGTGTAGTTCTATTACAAAATTCAAAGTTAAAGAAGACTACTGCTAATTATTTCACAGAGTAAAGAATGACTTACTGTGGTGGGCACTTGCATGTGGTTGTGTTGAAGGTGTTGTTATGAACACATGTGGCATTATTCTTACAGTAATCTACCTCACAACTTCCCTCCACAACATATATACAGGACAACCCTGAAACATGAAACACATGTAATTTATATAAAGCCAGCAATTTATTTCCTTCTTCATTTAGGTCTGGTAAAGGACCCTGCCCAATTAAAATATACATTCATAGTGGCTGACAGAAGACTGGACATGACTAATTGTGTTGCCTCTCTTTAAAGTCACATTATGCCCTACATGTATTTTTATTTCTCAAAAGTTTTTTTTATTTTTGGTATCATGTTAAGTTTCCAATTTAAGGTTTAACTCAATTTGGCCATTTAATATCTGAACACTGACTTTCTCTTCTGTTGCTTTTTTAGCAATTCATAAAGTAATAGTGATTAAGTATTTTGTATGGAAGTGAAAATATTACTTTGTTTACATTTTGCTACTTTAATAACAAATTATGTAGCATTTAGCAATTGACTTTCTTCAGAAAAAAGCATCTAATATACTCGAAATTCATTATTTAAATGTTATAGAATTCATGGTAGTACATTCTAAACAAGCAAAAATTTATTTGCTTCTGAAGCATAATGTGCCTTTAAATAAAGTCTTTATAATCACTACTATTTTTATTCATAGATATATTTTTTTCCAATTCCAAACCCAAAAAAAATCTGAAATGTAATTGAGATATTATACCCATATTCACAGAGTAATGAATCCCCAAAAAGTAGATACATGTATTATAATTTAGAATGCAAAATGTTTACAAGCATTGAAATTGAAATATTCAAAATATGATATGATGTTAACTTTTCATAAAAGATCCCAATTTGGCAAAACACTGTGCATTTTTTCCAAATTAGACCGGACCCCGTCCAAAATTTTTTCATATTAAAATGACTAAATTTTTCATACATTAGTGTGTTTTTATACTAAATGATGTTGACAAAACAGCCTAAAAAACAACAAAAATGTTCAATGACTGTAAAGAAACACAAAACAATATTCTACAAATTATAACTTGTCATCATTGTTATTTGGCTTAAGAAATTCTCTTTAGATGATCCAGACCAGTTATTTTTATTATGATATTAATGATTTTAATCTGTTTAGATCTCAAACAATTCCTTTACAACCATTGATGCCTGTAATAAAATTGACATAAAATTGATGTAGCTTCCTGTAAAGAAAGGAAAATCAAACATGTTTCAAATGTAAAGTTGGGTATCCATGTTAAAAAATGCAGAAAATCAGTGGTTAATTGTCACCTGCTGAATTTGTTTAATGGAATTGCCCAGCCAGCAAATAATTTGAAACTGTCTATTCAATATGTAAGAGATTTCAGTATTAAAATACAACAAGAGCAATGCTTGTTTGTTTAAATAACAACTTTTGACAAAAATTTAAGTTAAGAAGTGGTATATTGACAAAACAAAATATAGCTAACAGAACAATGTCCCGTGTCTATCATCTTAAGACTAGTATTCTAAATTTTCATGTTGATAACTTTATAAATGTTTGAAATAATGGGCGACATTAAAGTTTTTGCATGACAACAACTAACACGACGGCACTGCATTCATTATACCTTAACTTTTTCTTCTATAAACAGACAAGCTAAAAATTGAGCTACCAACAGTATAGAGCCTGGTCTGACTGCAAGGATGTGCAGGCTGGTCTGGCTTTATACTAGTGGCAATAACTAGTTATTTTGTGGTTAGAGGAAGAACCTCAGGAGCCATTCAATGCAATATTTCAGACATGAGTACCAAAGTAAAACCACATTCCTACTAAAAGCCAGCTGGTTAGCTTCCTCAAATTAATAAATCCAAAGTCCCTGGCTGGATTTGAACATTCAATAGTGAGGGAACAAAATGCTCAGTGATCTTAACCAATATTGCCCATTGATTTTAACACAATGTTGAGGGTGCAAAAGGCTGAGCCAGTGACCTGAACCAATTGGCCACTGGAACAACCCCCAGGAGTCCCCCTGTAAATCTATATGTATGTATGTATACAGTTTAAACCTGTGTAAAGCAACACCTTGGAGAGGCAAACATTTCCCTTACTGCTGGAAGGTACCAATCTTGAAAGGTTATAGTCATAAATTCATATTGTAAAGTCATACATCTGGAAGAACTGAAAGACTCTGGTGGCAATTTACTCTACAGACAGATGTACTGTGAAGGTTACACTGTATTCAGATAGGCATGCATGAATGTTGAGAATTCCAACTTTATCTATTAGAAATTGATCTTAAATTGATAGTCACTTACACTAATACAACAACAACAAAAAAACTTTAAAATACTACATAAATGTCTGAAACAATACACCAATGTTAGAGTGGTATACAATTACATACAAGTAAAGTGCAATACCAAACATATGTTCTAACATTTTCTGACAACTTCAGACAATGTGATAGCACTTTGATATAATACAGGGCAGACTGGCAACATTTTAAGTATGAGAATATCATTACATTATTGTTTACCTATATAGTCTAAAACAAAAGAAAATCATGTCATGAAATAGGCTAGTGTTTTAATTTTGACTTTTTTAAATTAGGTGATATGGTATTTTTGTTTTGAAGCTAAATCAATTTGGCTTTCCATAAATTATTCATGGTGATGTGGACACTTTCTTTAAGAGGGATACGCCAGAAGGCTTTTAATAAATTATTGTAGGTGATGTTCTGACCATTTTTTAGAAGGGAGTACCAGTAGAAGGCCTTTGCAACATTATTGTAGGTAAAATTGTTACATTATTATGTATTTTGTTGTGGTGCAAAACCCTTGAGTAAATATAAGGGCATCTGTTGCTGAGATTATTAAGATCCTCAACTTTAAATGACTTGCACCTTACTGCTGTGGGTTCATTTAATCCCACCAGTAGTTTTGGATTCTTCTTGTGAGGAAGTTATCTAGTAAAATTGACAAGACATAGACGGTTCTACAGTGCTTTATTGTGCCTGATATTATTCACCTGAAGGACACCTGAAGTCTTCATATAATCTTTACAGTGTGCTGCTACTAAAACTCAACCAAACAAACCATTTACATGTACATGTACATCTACAAGTAAATTTAATAGTGAAGCAAATATTTAATCATTGAAGAAGGCTCATCCAGTGGTCCATTCAGTGAAGTTGCCATATAAAGGAGGAAGATAGTTGTGACTTAAAGAGGGTTCAAACTTAATAGATCTCTGATCTGAGAGGCAAACATCTTAACTATATCACCATTACATACACAAATGTACATGTACATGTATATACAGTCAATCCTGTGTTAAAGATCACCTCTAAATAAAGATCACCCTGTAAATAAAGGCCCCGCTTGGTCAACCATTCATTGATTAAATAGATTAGAGTAACTCTTCAAATACTGACCACTTGTCTATAAAGGCCATGTTTAGTCTCTCCCTTGGTTGACCTTTGTTCACACGTTTGACTGACACTACATTGAAATATTATTGTACTCACCTATTAATGTAACAGCCAAATACAGAAGCCAACATATCCTACCAGAATACATCATGAATTACCATCATCTTCATTATCATTAATCACCAGCAAACCTGTAACATGTCAAATATGTAACCATTGTAACATAAGAACATAAATATTATCTTAAAAATTCCTTAAAGGCCCAATATGTCTAAAAAAGCAAATATTTTCCTATAGAAACACTTTGTATTTACAAAAGCCTTAGTACTAATTTTTTTACCTTCCCCTTTTGTTTTTTTTGGTTTTACGGCGCTAAATTTAGGTCTATGCCCCCAAAATTTAAAAGCAACACCAAGGGGAAAAAAACCACTTCAGCTCTCCCCTCTTACCATCACGCGGGGATAAAGGGGCCGCAATTCGATGCCTAAAACCCTTAAAGGGCAACCCCTGAAAAAAAATTTCTGGAAAATAAGGGGCCCTTTTAAATTTTAAAAAAAAATTTAAATTTTCCCAAAATTTTAAAATAGTAAACCAATACCTTCCACTTACATTATCTAACCTTACAACACTAAATATCTTAAAAGCACTTGTCCATCTTTCAATCTGGGCAAAACCAGTCATCATTTTAAGAGAAAATTTAAACCGGCCCGCAAGGTATTGGTACGCGTTTAATTTTTCAGGCATGGAGGAGCACGTGACCTGTTTTCGGTACATGGAGGAGCATGTGATCTGTAAACCGTACATGATTGGTTAATTGACCTATTCGAAAACATAGCTAAATACCGTTTCCCGGTACGTTACGGATTTACCTCTAGGGAATCATACACACCGGTCTCTCAAATGACCGGTGTACACAATGCTAGGTAATTAGTCCGAATTACACCTAATTAAGAACATAATACTATTACGTGATATTTCTAATTTTCTATTATTATTTTACCGTTTAAGATGGAAAAACTTGAATGATGTGTTTGAAAATTATCAATGTTTCTTTAATATCTATCTGAAATTTTACAAACAATAAATTGTTTACAGTGAAAATCCACAGAATTAAAACATTCGTTTGTGGCATCTGCCATAATAGATAGAGATATTTTCTGCGTAAACTTGTGTGTTTACTTTATTTTATTTTATTTAATCTTTTGCACGGAATTATTCATACAATGGTATTTAATCATTTTCTTAAACATAAATATTGTTTTTTTTTTCGACCAAGACCAAAGACCTTCTATTGATCAATTATTGTCAACTATATTCCTGATACAAACGTTATTTTTTTTTCATTTTTTCCCCCAAACAATGTTGAAAATAGCTAAATGAAATATCTTTAAATCATTATAAATGTTCCCCCGCAGGAAACCATTTTACTTGTTCTTATACTGAATAGCAAACAGTACAGAACATGAACAGACATCAAGGATGTGACGGCTGGTCTGTTCTGCAATGGTTGCATGGGTACATTTTTGCAGGCTTAGGGTTCTAAGTTATGTCAATGAGCAGATTAAAAAGCAACAATTAATGTTAAAGAAAAGTTACAACAGTTACTAAGCCTTGTAACTGTAAATGTACAAAAAAAGACATGACCCATGTTATAGACAATGTTGACACTTGTCTTTCTTGTATGTTAACACATACTGTTACAAAGGTAAAATTACAATAAAACACCATACATGTACATAGTACATGTACACCAAAATACCAAACATCACAATAAGAAAAACTAATACATGTGCTTCTGACTGATTTATCACAGATGAAGAAAAAAATGTTCAGCTTATTTATACTGAACTCATATTTTCAAAGTTGATATTGTTGAGTGCATGTCAAAATATCATTTACATCAATTTTGTTTTTTATAAATAAATTTCACTTAAGAACAGCTGTATTTAAACAATAAGAATCCAAATATGTAAATTATGGTAACAATTTAATTTTTTTTAATCACTTTAACCCTCAAATTTTATGACATAAAAGTAATTTGTAGGTAGGTTCATTAACTTCAAACCTATTGAGTATAAAACATATATTACAAATTCACTGTAACATTTAGAATACACTCACCAAAACTTGGCAATTACCAGTTAATTCTCACAGAAAGCTTGGTTCTTAAGAAAGTCCACAATCCAAAAATCTCACTGATTAATTTATAATCAAAAAGAAATATATTAAAAGGAACTCCACTGAGATTCAAAGGCATAAAAACCTAAAATTGGATTTGTATATTATGGATTAGCTGGAGCAATTAAAACTGAAAGATATGCAAAAAATAATTTAAAAAAAAAAATTGAAAATCTTTTTTTTTGTGCTATTCTCAGTCCGTTTTGAATGAAAAGCCTTGCTTTTCAATTTTTGGTCATTTTTCACTATATGAATAGTTATTCTGGAAAAAAACGGAGTGTGCCAATGATCTGAAATTTTGCACAAAAGTTATTGGTTTAGACCTACATCAAATGGAACATTAATCTCAAAAAATTAATTCCAGTCCTGTTGTGTCAAAAAACCTCAGTGGAGTCCCTTTAAAACCTTAGGGGGCCGCTTTGTCAGCTTACTTAGTCTGTCACTATATCAACATCACTGTAGAGACAGCCTGGATGTCCTACCCTAAATCCTGTTATCTTAGTTTTAAAATATCTCTTTACTCTTAAACAAAACCATTCATCATTTTAATGGAAAGTTTCAAAATGTGGACAGTACCTACAGAATACTGAGAGACTACTATGTTGTAAAATATTAAACATCATTATATGTCATGTTGTTGTACAATTATATAACCTGATAAAAGATGATAAAGATCTATCTATCTAGTAATCAGTGCAGACCATGATCAGATAGATTTAGGTATGCCACCCACCGTCTGCACTGTTTACATGGGTATATTCAGCAGGTGTATTTGAACAGACATAAGAACAGTGAAAAGTATACACTTTGAAAAAAAGAAACTTACTGTAGTGAAAAAAAAACACTTACATTATAAGTCTTTCAATTAATCTTCACCATTCGCATCAATTATAACATTACATCAATTTACAAATATTTAATTCCATTTTATCCCATTGTCATTGAGCACATTTTCCCCAAAATTCATTAAACCTATATATATCTATATACACATGTATAATTTATATCCAGTGAACATTTTACATCATGAAATCCTCCTAGATAATAAACATATGCTACCTCAATGACAACAGTTAAAGTGAATCAATAGATCAATACCAACACCAGGTGTTGGGACGGTCCCACTGTAAGATATACACTAATCAATTACTAACTGAACTCCCCTCTATCTTCATAGTGTCTTCATACAGAAATAATCCCCTCTTTACAGATTGATTTATTGTCATCTTTTATTGATTTGAGTCAGGATCAATGCATCCCTGTATTTTCAAGAAAATTGCTTTTTTATGCTACACTGAATTTTCTTTAATCAAGTAAATTTGATTACTGTATATATTGTGATCATGCACTGTAAAAGAAGGACTCAACCAAATTAAATAAATATTGAACCAATATTAGATTAAAGCTGCATACCTCAAGATGAGCCAAAAATATTTCAAGGAAATTAAACCTGAGAAAATTGTTCTAAGATTTTAAGGAAAGTAAAAAGTTTCAAATTCACTGAGTAATAATTTACATGATATTGTCATGTTCGATTAAATAACTGATTTTAACACAGTAGGGGCTATTTTTCCTCTATTTGGTAATTAACATGGATTTTAAGTGCCCAGTTTACAATGTGCAAAATAATGTCTTTGTTCACATCACAAAATTTTAATTTTTTTAAATACATTTTCTAAATTTTCATGAACATTAGCATGGTGTTTTACACTAATAACTAAGAAATATTTCATCAAAAATTCTGAATAAAAAAGATGTTGTACATAGATTTTTGCATTTTATAAAGGTTGATGGCTTAAAATTTAGTACAGATGTTTTCAAACTATGACAATGCTTAAAGGGACTCCACTGAGGGTTTTTGACATGATGGGACTGAAAATATTTTTTTCCAGGTAAATGTACCATTCGATGTAGGTTTAGACCACTAATCTTTGTGCAAAATTTCAGATCATTCATGCACTTCTTTTCTCCAGAATAACTATTCAAATTGTAAAAAAATGACCCAAAATGAAAAGCGTTTCAACACTTTTTACTCAAAGCAGGCTAGGAAAAGCATAAAAATACAATTTTCAATTTATTTCAAAGTATATTTCTTAACCATCTTTGCATACATTTCTGTTTAAAGTGCCCCAGCTCATTTATTTAAGAAATTAAAATGTTATGTTTTAGGCTTTTAAACCTCAGTGGAGTCCCTTTAACAATTGCTTGTGATTGACACATCACTGCCTGTTATTAAGTGTTAAGTCTGGTCAACCTTTTAAACCTGGTAACTGTTAAAGATACTGTTATTTTTACAACCAATTAAAAAAGATCTACCCATTGTGTATATTACCACAGGCAGATATGAATACCGGTAATCTGAATAAAGGTCAAACAACATGGTACAAGAGGCTTTGATTTTAAAGCTGCATGCCTCCATGTTAGCCTAAAAACAATTAAAGAAAATTAACCTTAAGAAAGAATGTACAGGTTAGCCTAAAAACAATTAAAGAAAATTAACCTTAAGAGAGAATGTAACAAGATTTTAAGAAAAGTATTCAATTTATGAATTACATGTTACACAAGCAGACTGCCCCAGTTGAAAAAGTAGAATCTTGGACAAAAATAAGGTTTTTTCTTTTGTTGTTTTTTCAAGGTAAGGCGAAAGTAAAGATTTTACAATAAAAAAGTAGATAGAAGTGGCTTTGGTAGTCACAATGGTAAAATTCGCCTTTTTGTGAGAATAGTACTCCCCTACTTAGCCTATGAATTCTTTGTTAACAGGAAAGTTTGTTAACAGGAACGATGTAGCACCTCAGGGTGGTCTGGCATATCTACTGGAGGCTCACAATCTGGTAGTTTTTATTTCACTTATAATAAATTTATATAAAATATTTTAAAATTTAAATTTTGGTCAACTTACCTTAAACTGACAGGCAGGATGAGTTACACTTTATTGCATAGCATGAAATTTACATGCAACGACTTTTATTACATGTACATGTAGTGATGAAAATACATATACTAAAGTAATATATAGAGGATATTGAAGTTTTTTCTATAAATACATGATTTATTTTCATCGAGTGGTATGAAAATAAATATTTCATGAGTGGCGGTAGCCACAAGTGAAATATGGTAATTTTCATGCCACAAGATGAAAATACATCATGTATTTATGGAAAAAACTTGAATTTTCTGTTTATTTTATACATTTTACTCATTTTTGACATTAAAATTTGAAAGACTTTCCCTTAAATTTTGGGTACTGGCAGAATTTAAAAGAAAGTAGTCCGGCAAGACACCAGTGAAAATACGGAAAATATGTTTCACTGCAGTGAAAAATAAATTTTTTCAGTGAAAATACAGAAACTGAAAATACACATTTTATTTCATTAATATTTCTCAATATTTCATTTATAAGTATATAATAAATTAAAATCTCATCATGTAAAACAGTTCAATTATTGTGAAAAATAACATAGAAGATGGGAGGCAACTCCCAACTCCATACTGCACAAACTTCTCACGTGATTACCTCCCTTGGTAGATTCACGTTAGCGTTACTAACATATAGTAGTACTAGGGGCATTTCTTCTTTTTCATCATTTTATTTATTTCTTATTTATTTTTTTATTAATTTTGCATTTATTTGGTAATACACCTAAGGGCTCTCATTACACTTTGAATCCAGGGTCCATACTTGTAATTTAAATATGTTTCATTAAAACTTCAAAAACAAGTTTTATCTAAATTATAGATATAGATATTCATGATTGATTTATAACTTATGTAATTTTGAAGGTTTTTTTCCTGATATACTTAAATGCAATCGGAAACGACGACACGAGCATCTTAAGATTCAGTCAATATGTAGCGTGTACTGAGCGAATGATTATTATTCTAGTGTACTACAAAATAATATTTTGATATTCTTAAATGTAAATAAATAATTTTTCTTGGGATGCTTAGCCGTACCTATTTGAAATATTCAAATATAAATTGTTCTTGTGGTTTCTTAACCTTTTGATTAGATCTCAACTTAAAAAAAGAAATCCAGAAATAATAAAATGCAAAATACAATCTCAAGCAGGTACGTATATTAACGTAATATACGTACCTGTCTCAAGCTAATTCTTAAATTATCCAAAATATACATTTAAAAAATTAAATTTATTTTCTCAAAAATAATTCTCAACCAAATATCAATGTAAGCTAAACATATCCTTCATTCCACTACTTTTACATCTCTAAACCCATATTTTTTTCCAAAAATACAATACTTCAAAGATTTATAAAAACAGATAGTTCCTCATTAATCATTTGCCTTATTGTAAAAATATAGCATTCTTAGTACCAGATATCAAAGATTCTACTAACTATAAGCTTTAACTGCAATCAAAATGTTTCTAAACGAGAGGTCTTATTGAAACCTGTACCAGATATCTGAGATTTTGTTTGGCAAGAAAAGGTTACTATCATTACGATGGACATAACCAAACAAACTTAAAATACATATTTCCCCAAACAACTTCAACCGAAACAGCTGAGGTTTTACAGAAATAGTTAAAACGTTTATTTACATGAATTTCCGCTTTGCAGTACATTGTATTATTAAAATATGACCATGATGACGTCAAAGCTATGTGGTTTCGTTGTTGGTCAGACTTCCTCTTATGACACCAGTACTAGCTGGAAGAAGTTCAAACAAAGACATCTGAATAATTGGCTTTTGCAATTTATAGGTTCAAATAAGCTTTAACCATGGCAATGCCCCAAAACTCTCCAGAAAGACGTTTTAAATATCCAAATATAGCTGCTGTTCACTTGTTCAGGATTGTAATATGGCTGTTTTACGCCATGTCGTATTTTCGATTCTTTGTAAAAATACAAAAATACACAAATTAAGTTGAACTTTGTCGTATGGAAAATGTCAAAGCAATTTAATGTCGAAATTATGTTGTTTGCAATTTTTTTTTCGCTTTTTGTATTGTCACTTTCTGCATCTTCGCGGTACAAATATAATTATCATATTACACATATTAATATTATATTCCATCAAGTCTGTGGCCGAGTGGTTAAGGTTGTTGACTTCGAGCAACTGGTGATTTTCCGCTAATTAAAGTCCGTGGTTAAACTTTGTCGTAATTTTGTGGCAAAATCAGCTACCGTAGGAATTTCAATAGCAACCTTGGACCTTGTCAGAAGAAAGACTCCTTGGTTATGAATGCGACATTAAGACTAGAAACTATAATGGACAGCAACCAAGGAGTTTGGTGCTGGGTAATTTAAATTTGGTTCTGCATGTGTTTCTGTCCAAGGTCCATTTTGCGATATGGATCTAAAACTAAAAAAAAGACACCTTCAAATCTGTGTTTTCATAAAACAAATTTTATTTTTTATGCAAATTACATATAAATTTTCAGATTTGTATAAATGTTTGATTGTTCTCAGTTTTAGTGTTTGTTGGAAGGTCTATGCGTGGCACTACGCTGGTGTGCACGAAGTCCGGCGAGCTGAGAATAGCAACTGTTACACTTGATACATCTGTATGGTTTTTCACCTGTTAAAAATATATATACATACATAAAATAAAATACTGTAAACAATCAATTCATCTCGCTGACTTAGCTTAGAGGGACAAAAAGTTTTATTTGACATCACGGGACTGGAAATAATTTTCGAGATAAATGTACTATTTGGTGTAGGTCTAGACAAATAGTATGTGTGCAAAGTTTCAGTCATTCGCTCACTCTGTTTTTTTTCCAGAATAAGTATTGTAATAGTGAAAAATGACCCAACATTGAAAAGCGTTGCAACGGTTTTCACTTTTTCACTCAAATCGTGTTAACAATAGCACAGAAATACGATTTTCAATTTATATATGAGTTTATCTTTATCATTTTTTTCCATATCTTTCTGGTTAAAGTGCCCAGTCGATCTATGTAAGAAATTCAAATTTTATTTCTTTTGGACCTCAGTGGAGTTCCTTTAGCGAAGAAAAGGCAGAAACTTGAAAAATCGAATATAATAATTATAATGATAATGTGTGATGACACTGTTTATTACATCCTGTAAGATTTGCAGTACAAAAGGAACTACAATGTAATTAAAGGAACTTCACTGAGTTATTTTGACATGGCGGGACTGAAAACAATGTTTGGAGATTAATGTTCCATTTGATGTCGATCAAGACCAATAAATTGTGTGCCAAATTTCAGATCATTTACGCGAGACGTTTTTTCCAGAATATTTATTCTAATTGTGGATAATGACCTATAATTGAAAAGCGTTGCAAAGCTTTCACTTAAGTTGTCTTCGAAAAAGCACAAAAATACGATTTTAAATTTATTTCCGAGTATATTTCTTAATTTGTTTCTGTCTAAATATCCCAGTTGATCTAAGTAAAAAAGTCTTTTTTGGGGCCTTTGGACGTCAGTAGAGTTCCTTGAAAGTATATTTTAGGGCTGTACGCAGCCGTTAGGTGAAGGTTATAATTCATGCAACCGTTGATAAATGACCATATCACATGTCAAATGTCTTTAAAAATAAATTTATACAACATTTATCCTATTTGAGGCCAAATGCATATAACTAGCGGACAGTACAGACCATGACCTGGTCTGTACTACTTGCATGGGTAGATTATGCTGCCGCCAGCAGGCTATTCATACATATAACAGAAAAAGATGGGCATGTATTCTATCACAGCCTTACGTACGAAAGACCGGTGGGGACATTTCATCTACGTGAATGCCCGATTTCATCTACGGGAATTTACAGCTTCGTCTTAGTGTATTCACAATTTAAGCTTCACGAATTAATGCTTTCTACTTTACGAATTGACGATTTTAACTTCGTAAATTCACGAAGTTTAATTCGTGAAGTTTAAATCGTGAATTCGTGAGGTTGAAATGCTGAAATCGTGAATTCTGTAGATTAAAAACATTAATTCACGAAGTTAAAATCTAGAACTCACGAAGATGAAATCGGGAATTTATGAACTTTAAATGTCCCCATTGGTCTTTAGTACTTACGATATATGATTAAAAAAATGATATTTATTTCACAAGATTGTACCTGTATGTAACCGGATATGATTTCGTAATGTTGATGACTGACTAAACTTCCTGGAACAATACTTGCACGAGAATGGTTTCTCTAGAGTATGAATGCGCATGTGCGAACGTAAGTTACTTCTTGAGTTAAAACCACGTTGACATAGAACACAGTGCCATTTTCCAGGAAGTAAGAAATTAATAGATTTGGGCACTTCATTTTGTAAATGTTCTTGCTTTTTGCTGGCTTTTTTCTTCGTTGTAAGGCTTAATTTCTCTGATGAAAAAAAAAGAGAAAAACAAACGAGATTTAAATATAAAGTTTGCTCGCTTGCTTAAGAAAGGACAAGATGAGTTTTATAACGTTTGAATAATTGTTTTAGCACATTTAAGATGCTTATCACTTGCAGAATGTTTTGCTGAATATACAACATGCATTTGAAAAAAAATAAAGTAAAAAATTATTAAAATATAAAAAAACAACGAAAGTAATGTGAGAAACATTGCGGATTACCTTTTGTATGGGATTCTTTTTTATACGAGGATGGTATACCCATATAAAGAGTGTAAGTTCCACCATACCATACCAGAAGTTCTTGACCCCGCTCGATCTCCTGTTGACCAATAATGGAAAGACTTTTTGTAACAATGGTGCAACGATTTGGAATAGAATATCATTTAATATCCGTTCTTTTTATTCTCTAACATTTTTTAAAAATAAATATAAAAACATATCTTGCCGCAGCTAAAAGAAATATATATTTGCTATTAAGTTCATATTTTCCGACGAATGCTGTACCTGTACTGCTCTGTAAAATATTTTTGTTCCAATCTGCACCACTTCAAGGTTCTGCTCACGTTCCGTGCGCGCGCATTGCACGTGCGAAAGCCAGTTTCCGGGACTCTGGCCGCCATCCATATAGCCAATCAAACATCCGCTATGACTGTAAATCTGAAATGTACGCACATGAGAAACTACATGTAGCTTATTAACGTGACGAGCTCAAGTAACGTGGAAAAAATAATATAAAAAGGTGTTATGACATCGGCTCATTTGTCCTCCAATATACATAATTATGCTAATAAGAACAATATCTTATTAGCTACAAGGTATGGTGGCTGATTTGTGCAGTGTCGTATTTTTTTGCTTAGCGTTGCGCCAGGCAAAATACCACAAAATGACCACTTCGCTCAACGGGGCGCCAGAGGAAACCACTTTGTCGTACTTTCGCTCCGCGGGGCGCCAGAGGAAACCACTTTGTCGTACTTTCACTCTGCGGTAGTTTGCTGTGCGCTCCGCGAAGCAAAAATGCGACATTACATAATCAGCCACGATAACTGACATATAAATTGATAATAGCATTTACAACTTTAATTTTTTTTATATTTAAAGTGACATAGCGCAAGTGAAGATCATTATATGAGTGTTATATATCATCTTACTTCCCAGGCATGCACCGACTTCATCTCATCGAGTTTCGATACCACGTGACCAGGGTAAGGTCCCATTTCTGCGCCCTTCTTTATGACGGTGGTACAAAACACCCCTAGGCCCGAGCCTGGCACGGTGCTAGGTAGTACACACACTTCCTTTGGGAGGAACGATTGTTGCCCTAAAATAATATATTACATGCATGTATGTTAAGGCCATAGTACATATAATAAAAAGAAATAATTTATATACATCACAAATATAAGTTATTGCAAATGATTTTAGCTGTGAAAATTTCACAGAATATAAAGTCCGTTTTACGACATTTTTTAAGTCTTCGACTTTCAGACTTTTTACTAAATGTTTTTCCCATCTTAAAGGCCAATCATACCTTAGAAATAAATTTTTAGAAGGAACATGCATGTGTTAAATAATAACTTATAAATGCATTTAAAGCAAATTAGATGCATATCTCCAGAATTTCGTAGGGATTAATGTGAAGTAATCTGTCATAAAAAGAAAAAGAATGGTACAGCTATGTGGCTAGTGCGTCTTTTTTCGTAAATTCGGTCATCAAAAATATAAAAGAAAAATGAAAACCGAAAATAATAACATTTTCAGAGCTTACAAGCCACGTAAATTAACAATAAAAAGTCAAAATATGCAAAAATAGCCTTTACTGCGTAAGTCACGCAATAGAAATATGGTGATGAATACTGCAAAATCAGTCATTCGTTGAATATTAGATGTAAATCATTTCTTGAAGTGTGAATATTTTTTAACCTTTCTAAGTTCTTTTTTTTCTCTAAAGTGTTTTGGCTCACCGGAGGCATGCAGCTTCAAGTCCCAACAAATCACAAAATAGTAAAATGTGTCAGTTTTTATTTATTTATTTATTTATTTAACAAAATACATGTGTATTAGGCTTTGTCTGGCTTTATTTTGTTAATTCTATTGAAACGAAGATAAATGATGTGAATTGGAAAATAGGATTGAAGTATTTCCGTTAAATTTACTAACACATTTACTTTATTTAATTGGTAAATCTGCAAACTATTAATCTATCTAGTAAATCGACTGATTATAAAAAGTAATTTCAAACACTAAAATTGGTTGCTGTTCATAAAAGCTTTTACCAAATTATATCGGTCGAACGGTCGTGTCATTCTTGACCAATTTAATTTTGTAAATGCTTAAACTAACTAACTTATACTTAAACTTATACTCATAATCTTAGAATACAGACAGGTAGATATTCACGTGAAAGAGTAGAGCGTAATTTAAGATATTGTTTAATTTGCAATACAAATGAAATTGAGGACGAGTTCCATTTTGTGTTTAAGTGTCCTGCATATGAAAGTTTAAGAAATATATATATTAAGAATTATTATAGAAATAGACCAAGTATGTTTAAGTTTACTCAATTATTAAAAAGTGATAAAAATAAAGAAACACTTATGCTTTGTAAATATATTAATGAAGCTTTCAAATTAAGATATCAGATTATTAATGCTTAGATATGTATTTCAACCTACTTTTATGTATACCTAACAGATCCAACTAATGAAAAGTTTTATTGTGTATACTATTGTGTATGTAATATCCATTATGCTTTAATATTTGTGTCATCTCTATTTTGTTTTGTCCATCCAATATAATTATTATGTTTACTTTCATGTCATTGTATTTTTCATGTCATTATATATGTATGCTTGTATATATGTTAATCACGAGAAACTTGTAGTTTAAGTGAAATAAACGTTCTTCTTCTTCTTCTTCTTCTTCTTAAATTATCTGTTCAAATTTACTCCTATAAAAATGATATAAAATGAAACACCCCGGTACATCCTCGGGAAAAGCAGTGTAGATAAAAAGGAGCGTAATTGTTCTTCCACTTTTATGTTCATACAAAAAGTAAGCAACATACCTTCCCAAAGGAAATATTTCTCAATCATTTTTCTTTCTCGTCTACCATATAATACTAAATCCAACAGTTCGCCGCTTATTTCCATATTAAAAACATGCAGTTAAGTTTATTTTATTATACATGAATATGTGCAACACTTCTTACATATAGATTACTATGGAAAAAAATCGTAATAGCAAAACAAAGTCAACTAAATAAATGCTCGGATCATCTGAATACCAAGTCCTCGTTTGCGAGTAAAAGATCCAAGCCTTATGCTTATAAATGGGCATTGTGAAAATCATTGTCAAATATCTGTCCCGAGAAATGAAGTGCCCGCAGTTTTGACTATGATAAAACGGTTGATAATTGTCAAATAAAAACGCGTAATTGAATATCTTAACAGACCCACATCTCTTGTAAAACACTTTCCGGGCGCTGCCAGAAGCTTCTCGCCTTGATCTCGCGTTATCTCGTGTTCTTCGGTTGAGATCTTGGCATTTTAATTCTATGGTGTTAATGGGGAATAAATATAAATATAATTTTAGCTGCGGTGATATTTGAGTTGCAAGACAAATATGGACAAAATGAATGTGAGGCATCTGCACAGGTCTTTGTCATAATTTTGTTTTTCATTCTTTTTTTTTTTCTTAAGATAAAACAAACACAAAACAACCACATGAACAACAAAAACATAATATTTCATTAATAAAAACTGCATTTCACCCATTGACAAATTTTTCCAATCTTCTACCGTAATTAAATGATAATTAAATATGCAATTTATCATACTGTACTTGCAATATATTAATATATCTATAACAATGATTTCACCTTATTAAAGGTCCATCATGCCTCAGGTATGCTATCATAATGATTATTTTTTCTCAAAAATATTTAATTTTTGGTATCTTGTTACAGTTTCCAAAAATTACCATTTGCCATATAGATGAACTATCTTTTGCTTCTTTTGGCAATTGGTATAATTATAGTGAATTAGTATTTTGTATGGAGGTCAAAATACTATTTTGTTTACATTTTGCTACCTTTATGACACATCACTGCAATTCCGGTGCTATTTTATTCAGTTGTTAAACATCTAACATGCTCTAAATCCATTATTTAAACATTTTAATACATTTTTGACATTTCTATAGAAGTAAAAACATGTGGATTTCTGAGGCATAATGTGCCTTTAATGAATCTCAGGGAACAACATGTAATGTTTATATAAAATGATACTATACATATATATGTAAGTTAAACACAGCATTAATGTATTTATACTTGAAGAGTTTGTCGTTATGATCTTCTCCGATATTATCATCATGCTAAGTTATGTATTTCATATGTATATGCACTGTTCGTTGTCTAGTATTGTGCTGTTATCATGTCATCGTGGGCTTTTAAGCCTAATATGATTGAAATAAAACTATATATAACGTCAAAGGTGCGTGTTAGTGTATGCGTGTTAGTGTGTGCGTTTTTGTGTGTGCGCTTTTGTGTGTGTGTTGGGGATCAGCGTGGGGGAAGACTGGGGCGGGGGAATCAGACTTAGTGACTTAATATAACAATATCGAACATAATTTTCATTCTAATTGAAGTCCCTATATTTTTTGCCTATATTCACGCTAAGAATATCCTCGACAAAATAAATAAGCATTTGTTTTACATTAGCTGGACTAAAGAAAACGAGACGAACGTTTTGAATAACACAATACACTAAAAATTAAAGTTAAAGTTTATTGGGAGCTGGTATTTCCTATTTTGTTTTGTTTATGGGAACAAACATAAACAATGCTATACATATGCAAAAATAGAGACAAACAAAATGTCACATAGAGAACTTGATATTATTTAAGTGACTAATGGGTCTATAAAAGTCATAAACTTTAGACGTGGTGAATTCCGCTCGTGAATTCCTCTCCGTAAGAAGACAAAGAATAAAGAATTTTTTTTTTCCACAAATTGTTAAAAGCATCACTTAAGGTAGTACACCCCTAATGCACTTCCTCCACTTTGAAGAGTATTCAAATAGGCTAGAATGACTGTAAAGTGTATTGAAACTGAGGGGCGTGGGTTCAAACCCCAGAAGGGGCAACTTTTTTTTTTTCTTTCTTTTTTTTTCTTTTTAACATTTTTTATTAGTCTCTCAGATCCCTAATGGAAGAAAAAAGTGTTTCATTTTAATTATATAATTTTTGTAGGTATTTATTTACTAAATAATGCCAAATTTAATAGCAAATATGATACCAGATCCAACATTGTGATTAAACAATGGCGTTAACACTACCCCGGAGAAGTCTTAGAAGAAAGTATACGGGCGCGTCGAGTTTCCACCGCAACTAAAATACCCGCATCTTTTTTTATCTTTTAAGAGCCCAACGCAGCGTAATGCATCAAAAGTTATGAATAAATTTGCGGAAAGAGGGTGAGACATTAGGAGAACCAAACAAGGGTTATATTTACGAAAAGATTCCCAGGACGATCCTTTTCAGATATGATAAATTGAGAAGTTGTGTGCGTCTGGATCTCTGCAAACGCTGTATGTGAAGCACATAAAATGAGGGCTATAACTTATTTCATAGTTCTCGATTCCTGGATTGTTTCAGTTGCTATAGCTTTGAAGCAAATGCAAATTTGAAATCGATGGTCATAAACAAATATTAATAGTCGGACCAGTGTCCTACTCCGGGTAGAATTTTGTTTTCGCGGAGGCACCTTTTGCTATTTTTTTCCTTTACTAAATATGACCAATAAGAATTGTGACTGTACAGGTTTTTAGCCGACTTTTGAAAATTAAAGTATTTAGAAAAAACATTATGCATACAACATACGTCTTATGATCAGTGTGTAATAAGTTAGCGAATTCTACATACGGAATCTTCAAATAAAGAAAAGAAAGAAGAAGAAAACCCTGAATTGCAAAGACAAGAAGCTAAGACGTCATATTGATATCGCTTACCATGTTAATCATCAGACGACACTTTTTAACAACTTCCTGTAATGATTCGCAGTTTGTTAATATATTTTCTGCTTCAGATATTTCACCATATGTTGTCTTTTATGCAAGTGGAATGCGGGCTTTTAGTTACTAATGGATTCAATGTGAAATTTTCTCTCTTTTTTTTACGTGCGCAGTGAGTCCATTGTAACCCCTTGAAGTTTTGTAGAACTTTGTCTCTTTGACATTTATGGAGTGAACAAACAACGAGTCTTCAAACTTTTCACCAACTCGATCTAAAATATTTTAGCCCTGAATTAAAAATTCGAGCACAAGAATTTCGAAGTTCGAATTCCGATCAATTTAATAGCGAACTATACCATATATTTGTTGCTAACATGTTATAATTTATGCGTGTATGCGAGTATAAAATATGAAGAAAAAAAGTATGAAACATGGGAAGAATTATATTATGACTTATTCTAATTTTGTTTGATTGATGCTTTCGAGAGATCACCCTTTATTTCCAGATTTTTTTTTTCAAAGTCTTCCCAGATAATCAAATTTTGCTACAATGCCAAAATGAATAAGATATACTAAAAAAATTAAAAAGAAGCGACACCAAAAAACAAAATATTACTTTTAGTTTTACACTGTATACTAGTCGTACTTGATTGCTTGGTAATTAATAATGTAAACTTACATTAACTGAAAGCTAAATATATGTCTTCATTTATTTTATTTATAAAAAGAAAAGTTTTATATAAAAATACATAATATCCGGATAGTGTTGAAAATAAAAAATACTGGGCTCGTCCGGGATTTGAACCCGGGACCTCTCGCACCCAAAGCGAGAATCATACCCCTAGACCAACGAGCCACACATACCAAAACGTATTAAAAGTAAATATATAAAGGCAATATAAATTGTTTCATGATAAATAAATCACAAATTTGTTAACTGAAACGTAGAAATTCATTTGTTTAACAAAATTATCTATTTCGTACGTTCGTTTGTTCAGTTCATTCATTATTTTTTTAATAAACCGATTAACATGAACTTGAACTACTTCCGATATACGGTCTTTACGGAATTATTTTATTCCGCCGTTTGAAACCGTTCCATTCCGGATCCAAATATTTCCTTTTCTAATTCGCACAGCGGACGTGGAAAAGAAAAGAAAAACTTTAAACCAGCATTTTTTTATATTTACTTAAAAAACGCTTGTAAATGTCAATATTAGATTAATAACCCTATAAAACATATATTTATGACATTTTTTATTTATATAGTTTACATTTCTTAAAGGTATTTAAAGTATAAAAATTGGAGCGTAGTATTGACAAGTGAGTAAGCCTATATAACCAGTTACGCATTATACAATAGTGACATGTATTATATTTACTCTGCATCAGTCAGTTACTGTATATGCTTTCATATGGTTCATATATTATATGTCAACTATGCATGGCATGCTGTAGAGTTACTCTAAATACAGAATTATATTTTACATGAATACAAGCCTCTGCTCTAAATAAAACTGGGAGGACGAGTTCCAGATTAAAACTACCAAATATAATTACTTTCAAATTCAGTGGAGTTTTATCTGGTCCCAGATCTACTGATTCCTAAAACGCATCACGTTACTCGGACACAAGAATTATTAATTAATCAAATAAAGTAACAAATTATACAGAAAGTTTAATAAAAAGTCAGTTTCGTATATTTCTTTGGGCACAGTGCCGCCCGGTTAGCTCAAAAGATAGAACGTTGGACTGTGAATGGGGAGACTATGCAGGGTTCGATCCCCGGACGGTGCAGGTCACTTCCGTCGGAATTGATCAGGAAATCCTTTCTTCGGTCATTCGCATATATTCTGTCAGAAGTTTAATATCAGTTCTTTGCGAAAGTGAAGGTAACTAGTACTGGTAAAATGCTTAAATAAATAATTTACAGTTTGTCCTGGCAGGAACAATGCGGCGGCTTAACTAAACTGTGGTAAATTCCATGTGGCTTACTGCCGTGATCCGGAGTGAAAACTACCAACATCACCATCTCTATAGAAAGCATTTGTTTTTAAAGAGGGCGGGGATTTTGTCAGCGCTATTGAGAAATAAATAGGTCAAAATAGAATGAAAATATTGCTTCACCCATAACTAGGGTACACAAAAAGAGAAACGAACACAAGCATTATATGAATATATATTGCTTTATCTGATTATAACAACTACATTTATAATAATTCTAAAAAGTAACAAATAATATATACATGAACATGTTTGATGTCATGAGTGAATAAAAATTGGAAAGCTACTTCCAGATAAATGTCATTGCACAAATAATTACCCAACTTTGATGTAACGTGAATGAAACACGTTTTATAATACATGTATAGCAAATGACCATTTATCTCAGACACTGAAAAAAGATATCAATTTCTATTCTATCAATTAATATACTATATTATAGTTATCTTCGATAGATTTTCAGTAAGTGTGATAGATGTACGCAGTTAGATGTGATTTAATTTGATTTCTGGATGTGACGAATACATTAAATTAAACTGGTGTGACTTTGTAAAACATTAATTCTCGTAAACTGCACAGACAAAACCAAAGTAGGGTCGAAATATTTAAATGAATGCTATAATACAGGTCAATAAAATCAGACTATAAAAGCCACATATGTATTTTATAACTTTGTTTTTTGGTTGTAAGTGTTTTGACAGCGAGATCTTTTAATAAAATATTCCAATAAAATACGTGAACGCTTGTTAAACGTCAAGGTTGTAAAACTTTATTGCATTTTCCCGGAATACTTTAAGTTGGTCCGCATCATTTAACTTGGACAGAAGACTGCGTATAAGTGTGAAGTTTTCATTATAAGTTGCGCCAGCCATCTCAAATACCGGCCAGTCGGAACCAAATATACATCGATCTGCTCCAAATATCTTCACAACGTGCTGAAATGAAAAAATAACGAAATGCTTGACAGTTGATTTTGACAAAAAAAAGATAAAAGAAAAGACGCGGCAAACATTAAACTAAGCCTTGTTAAAATGAAATTATAATGGTACTTTGTTTCTCCGGAAATTAGATCATCAAACAATAACCGCTCTATAGCTTATTAAAATCATAGGAAAATGTTCTAGTAAAATTATTTAAATATTGAATATTTTAAGTCAGCGTTCAAATTCTATATTTTTTATTATATTTTTATAGATTTTGAAAATGTATTTAAAAGTAAAATAAAAGTAAAAAAGTAAATGAACGAGAAAGTAATATTCAAATTGACAACGGCGTTTTCAAACTACGTAAATTACAAAAAATGGGCCAAAATAGGCAAAAATTTGCCTTACTTCGTTAGTCATACAGTATAAAAATGGTGATAAATACTGCAAAATCAGTCATAAATCGAACATAACATGTTAGTTATTACTAAAATCTTGAATAAATTCTATTTTTTTTCAATAAAATCTTTTTTTTTCAATTTTAATACTTTAACTCATCTGGAAGCATGGCCCTTACAGTGCATTTAATCAAGGAAGCGTTTAACCAAATGGCATCAAAAGATGAGATGCAGTGAATTAATATTACAGAGAAAGGTACCACAGTTAAATCATGATAATTTGACATTACTGTCAACAATAAAAATACATGTATAGCATCTGGGACTAAAAATGATGTTATCGTATGCCCCAGAGAGCATACATTTACCCAGAGAGCATACATGTATATATATACTTACGTCTATATAAGGCTGAAAATTTATCTGCTTCCATGTTTCTGGTTGCTGTTCAGAAATTAGACCAGATCTGTAAAACAACAACAGCATTAAAATAACTGAGCAAAGTGAAAAAGGAATAGAAAAAGTGCCTATGACAGCACGTATTCTGCTTGAAAATCTTCTGTTGTACAAATATTTCAAATTGTCTCATTAAATACATATAAAATAGTTGAACAACTGCTGAAAAGGTTCATATTTTGTCATCTTTGCATGACAGACATGCCGTTTTTCGACATCGTGATATACGTTCTTTTATTATACTACGGAATTCTTTCATCCGTGTTATTTCTTGGGTAGGACCTTATCAGGGCCCGTGATCCGGGATGCACAAGATCCGGGATCGTATCAAACATATATGGAAAACGAATAAACTGGTGTGATAACAACCTCAAAGGCGACAGTTATATGTGAACATTTGTAATCCTATATTTTGCCTGTTTTTTTTTTCACATTTCAAGAACACTATATACAGCTGTATTTTGTTTATTTTTTTTTTTAGATTTTAGTACTCATTGCATATAAGTGTATTGATCTAACACACATGCATGATTGCCTAGGTAAGAAAGAAACATTCCATGCACGATTCTTTCTTAATCTGACCTGCTTTCTTCATAGGAAGTCGGTTTTTATGCGCATGCGTGCTCGCATATGTCATGGTACTTGCGAAACTCGTTCGACACCGACGGTAATTGGGACACACTGGCATAGCCATGTACGACGAATGCATACATGTATATGACTTCACTGGTAGACATCTCAAAAATCAGGATTCATCTATCACATCTCATGTATTTTGTTACTGTTTAAAGTTTAACAAATTTACAATATCTTTTATATGTATTATATCTTAAATAAACGCTGTTAAAGAACAGTTATAATTTGAAATAAACATTGTTATGAAACAAAAGTGACAGATATACAAGTAAAACAGTGAGGGACAATGGTAAGATACACTTGCATTTTACAATAAACATTCGGGAACTTTGCAATTGCCGCCATGTCATCGTCCCAGCCTTCCAACTTTCCAGACATCACGGGGGGTTTTGCTATATGATTAATTATGAATCTAGTACTGCAATAATAATAATGAAAATACAAGTTAAACAGGGCATAGAGTACTGCTATTGAAATGAAATCATAATTCAATGTAAATATGGAGATTTTATTTCCCTTTTTTTCTTATTCTAATATTTTGATTAAAATAGTATGCTGCAAAGATCACTCTATTACCGACTATATATTTTAAAACATCTTAGAAACGGTGCATTGCCATCTAATTAATTAAATCTAATTAATTATAGTCAAAAACAATATTTTTTTTCTAAAACGTAAAATAAATGTTTTGGGTCACGTTTACATACGTTAGTACTAAGTAATGATTAAAATAGAAATTGGACAACTAACTTGCTGTGTTTAGCGACGACGTCAGGGATGTACTTCAAATGATGTGGTCTGTGAAACAACAAAAGTTTTTATTATAACAAAAGTTAGCATCGACATTATATCTTACACAGGAATACCTCATCAGACTTATTTGTTCTATACATACACTTCAATTCGGACCATGTAAGTTTTCATACCGACATATTAAAATTTACACTTCTAATAGTTGTTATTTCCATAATGATACTTCGCGGCTGCAGAATTCTCATCAACTGATAGAAGAATAAAGGGATCCAATTTAAAGGCCCATTCTGTGTCTGAAATGCTACCATATTTATTTCTCGAACATTTTACTTTGGTATTTTATTTACAGTTTCCAAAAATAACTCATTTGCCACATAGATTCACTTTTTGTTTCTTTTGCTCTGTTGGTAATTGGTTTAATTATAATGAATAAGTTTTTTGTATGGATGCCAAAATACTAGTAATACTTTGACAAAATGTATTTTGATACCTTTATGACACATTACTGCATGTTCAGCGCTACTTTTTTCAGTTGTTAAACATGTTTGTTTGTTTGTTTGATTTTACGCCTTTTCCCTACAGTTTTTCAGTCATATAGGTGGGTAATTTCTGGAGAGTTACAACAGTACTAGACTACCTTCCTCCGTGCTAAACTACCAAAACATCTCCCGGGGATCGAACCCACGCCAGAGAGGTAACTGGATTAGAAGTCATCGACTCTAACCCCTCGACCACGGGGGCGGTACTAGAATGCTCCATTATATGATACTACAAAAATCCATTATTAAAACATTATTAAAGACATCTTTGACATTTCTTAAGAACTAAAAATGAATTCCTGGGGCATAATGTGCCTTTAAGACTTAACACTCATACATTTACATTACCTGACAAGAAGATCATATGAAATGTCATGTTTGCCGAGTGTGTCTAGCCCTTTGCTGACGTCATCGCGCGTTATCCAGTCTTCCTTTTCCATATCTAAAATATGTCGGACGCCCTTCAACAGTCCCTTTGGTTTTAACATCTGTATCACCTCTTCTAACTAACATTAAAAAAAATTGAAAAGGAATAGTATATTTAAGAAGGCACAGGGCATCGGAAGAATTGTGCATGTTATCTACAGCTTGGGCGCTTTGTCGTGCTCTCTCTAGCTACAACACGACGCACAAAGTGTTCAAAATCAGCCACCATACTTACAATTCAGAAAACATTCAAATTATGCAAAATTAGCCCGTACGGCGTTAGTCAAGAAGCAATATGGTGATGAATACTGCAAAATCAGTCATCAAAATTTCATCGCACATAACACTTGAATCTTGAATATATTGTATGTTTATTTTTTTCTCAAGTTTAATTTTCTTGAAATATTTTGGCTCTTCTGGAGGCAAACAGCTATAAAAAAAAGTCTGTATTGCTATTATCATCATAAATAAGTTATGAAATTATATAGAAATATTATGTATAGGTATAAAATACCTTGTTTTTTTTTAAAAATAAAATCATCACTTTTTTTAATGTTGACATGTCAATATTTTAAACATGTTTATACATTAAAAAAACATGTACATTATACATTGTGTTTTTAATTTTCTTTTGCGTACCGTGGCATCAAATCAATTTGGAAACACATACATATTAATGTTGTATGCTAGATATGTAAATTTTTACCTTCGGACTCGTTATGTCAAGACCAGCAACGACTCCTTTGATAATGCTGTGACGTGTTGCCATGTCCATTACCCATTCTGAAATAACATTCATATCATATTATGTATGGAACGCCACTAACATCGTATTGTCATAGTCAAATTTACCCGAATAACTTAAAATTAAAAATGTTTGTAAAGGCTAAAAAAGTTGGTCTCCATGGCAATCATAGTGATGAAGAACGCTGACTTCGAATCATCTGCCCCTCACTGCTGTGGGATTGAGTCCACCAGGTACTATGGATTATTTTAAGTGAGAAAGCTATCCAGCTTGCTTTCGAAATGTACGGGGTTCTACTCACTCCTGAAGACGCCAGATTGGAACTGAAATAATGCTTAAAAGAGGACCTAATGTCTTTCCCCAACAAAAAAAAAAGCGATTTGACATTTACAATGAGGGTGTGTCAACAACCATTTATAGCAACTGTTTTGTAAAAAAAGACCTCTTATGAGTACAAAAAAAACTACAAATGTATTAACTAGTTCACCATATCTTCTTTTTTAAAAAAAAAGCCTTATAACAATCAACATACCAGCCTCCTCGACACTGCCATTTAGACATTGCACGAAAATCGCGTGTTTGACTGATGTACCTTCTATGCCGCTCTCTATCCCGCAAGGGTAATAGTCCTTGTATATCCTCATGTCTGGAGTAGGCCATGGATACGAGAACTTCTCCAGAGCCCAAACGTCTGTATGATAATTGAAAAACAAACAAATTGATCAGATAGAATTTATGTTATATTAGTCTGGTCATTTAATGTACATGTATATTCTGAAACAAACTGGGCACGTGCAAGGTGCCAACATGACGTTCCTCAACTAGTACCGGTGTGTATGTCACTACAAGAAGAGAGACTTTCTATGCAGTTTCCAAAGAACGTAACATGGTACGTCACGTGAAAAACGAAAGAATGAGGTTTACCATGACTTCAATCTAAAAAAGTGATGTTGTGATCGGTTTTTAGAATAAATTATTTAAGAGTTTTCCCTAAAAGTCAGACAATTGATTTTTGTGTGTGTTTTTTTTTTCATAAATATTATCTTATTATTTCTTGCAAATGTGTTGCCTCATGGACAGTCTGGTTTACTGTTGTTTTGAAATAAAGAAGTTGGGTCGACCTAACTACACCGTTCATCAGTGAAGAACGACTGGTGAAGGATGCACCTAGTCTGCTTCACTGCCTACAACTCTTCTCTTACCTAGTAACAGGGGAACTTAACGGAACAAGCATGGGGTTGACAGAAAGCGAACTACAGACAGTTCAAACCGAAATAACTTCAGATCTAGTTATTTATGAATGCATTTTACAACTGGCTTTACCTGAAAAACTGTACGTCCGTGTGACTTAATTGTTAAAGCAATTGTGTATTATAGATTACATGCCCGATAAAAAAAATACAAAAACCAACTTTGCAAGTACGTACGTTGTACATTTCTCTCAAGGTTGGGTTTCTTAAAATATTTTGGCTCATATAGAGGCATGTAGGTGTGGTATCATTTATATACATAGTAAACTTACTGTATTACTTTAGGGTTAAACTGTGTGATTTAGAATAGTATTGTACAAATTTACATAATATGGTGGCTGATTTGTGCCATGTCGTATTTTCGTTCCGCGAGACAAAATGATGACTTTGTCGTTCTTTTGCTCCGCGGGGTGCAAGGCTAAAACACGAAACTACGACAAAGTGGTGACTGACGTATTATCGTGTTTTCGCCTTGAGTCCTGATGAGCGAAAGTACGATAAACCCGACACTGCGAGGCGAGAAAATACAACATGGCACAGATCAGCCACCATACCGTAACAATACTTACAACAGACAGAAAAGCGAGCGCTGACTATATAAATAAACAACTGTAGATAAGTGCTACAGTGCGAGTGGAAATTTATGTAATACTGTAGATATTTCATGTTTGGTTTCAAAACAAACCAAAACAAATATACATGTATATTCTTCAAGTTTAAAAGAAAATCAGCATTTTTAAAAGTTTAGTATTATTGACATGTGTGCACACGAGATAAAGCAATATTTTGGATAAATTGGGACAAACTGTTCGTATTTAATCTAAATTTCTTATCTAGAAATAGTCAAGTATCTAACTACATCAATATGACTATTAGGTGAGGTCAATTCATCCCTTAGTCGGGACGAGTTGACTCCAAATCCGACGTATAAAACAATTAATACAAGCAACTGACTATACCCTTGAATACACTTAAATAATTAAGATAATGTGTTTTTTTTTAATGTTTTGACATTGACCTAAAATTAAGTCGAAATGAATACAATGTAATAAATCTAAAAAAATGTATGCATCACAGATTGAATGAATGGGGAACATGTCATACTGTGGCTCAAATAAATAGTAAAAATTCTCTTGTATATAGATGGTGTGGAAACCATATTTGCATCTTTACCAGGCTGATTCTAAAATAATCTTGTCGGTGAAACATCAGGTGATTTATGCATGGCTATATTTTTGCAAAGGTTGACAGTAGGGAAAAAACAGCCTGTAATATGTGTTAAAATGTTCACGCTTAATCAAGTTTAGAAGTAATATTTAACACATAAAAATACCTGACAAATATGATATAATTATGTCAAGTGTGACCATCTATTTTTTTGCATCAATATAACATATTTCATTTCATTTATTGCAGTAGCTTATAGGCATTTCAAATGCATTTGAACAACTGTTTTTTTTCATCATTATCATTCATCATCATCATCATCATCATCATCATCATCATCATCATCATCAGTATTATTATTATCTTCTACTCTTTTTTTTTTATTTAAAATGCAAAAAATCAAGTCAAAACCAAATCATACTTTTCGAAATTTTGTTTATTTAATGATCAATATTGAAATATAAAACATTCACTGATAATATTAAGTGAAATAATAACGACGAAACTCAATTATGGTTCCAAAGAAATTAGCTTAATAATGAATTGTTTTTCAATGCATATATAATTTGATGTAAAATGATACATTCTTGTACATTTGCTATGTAGGCCTAAAATATGTAGCTAAGTGTATTTGACCATTTACACACACTAAATATGGTCAAGACATGTATACAGTTTACACAAACAGATAAATAAATCTACACATTTAGTCTTTGTCACAAAATATTAAAAATTTAAGCTCACAAGGAAAATAAAATCTAAAAAGTAGAATTTACATTATAATGCAAATGTGTCCTGATCAAATATTATTAATAAAAATAAACTTACGAAAATGTGTGTCAACGAATTCCATACTTGTAAACGCGACAAAATTACCGATATGACTTAATACCGGATATGACCCATTTTCATAGGGTACAAAGTACCATAATCTATTTGTTTTGAATTCAGGTATGTCTTAACACTTAACTGATTAACAGACACTCAATTTACTCGTTTATTAGACCATGCGGTTTTACGTAAAGTACAATTTATAAACACAGGATGTTACCTCAAATTACGGTGGCACAGAGGTGAGCACGAGATAGTTAATTCGTGCGCAAGAGATACTATGCCGTTAGCACGAGTTATAATGTACTATGTCGTGAGCACGAGTTGCTAAGTCATGCACACTGTATAATTAAGTCGTGCACACGAGATAATTAAGTTTAAGATAAAATCGTCCCAGCCTTCAGACATTTTTTTACTTATAACATTCATATATGTGAAGTGTATTCTGATTGGCATATTATTCCGTGCGCCCGACCTAGTAACTCGTGCTAACGACAAAATAACTCGTGCTCACGACAAAGTAACTCGTGTACACTATTTATTATCTCGTGCGCACTGAGCACGACATAGTAACTCGTGCGATCGACACATTATCTCGTGCGAACGACAAAATTGTCTTGTGCGCACCACTAAGTGACTTGTGCGTACGACATAGTATATCGTCTAAATTCAGCCAACACAAAGTGCAATTTAATTAATGGGAAGACTTTCAAATGTAGGCCTAATGTCAAAATAGAGAAAAATGTAGGCCCATAATTTATAATAAAAAATCAAGTTCTTTCTTGAACTACAGGATTATTTTCTGTTAAGATTATTTTTTGTTAATAATGGTATGAAAATTATCATATTTCCATGGAGTGATATGAAAATAAATCCTGTAATAGATCTTATAGAAAACTAAAAAATATCCTAGATCTAGGCCTATATTTTTTATAATTGATAGAACTGTCAGATTTTTTGTATATTCAATTATTTTTGTGCAAGCTCAAAGCGTTTAGTAAGAGAGAGAGAGAAAAAAAGAAGAAAAAATATACATAATATATGCATGCAGTTGAGTCTCATCCAGTGTCCCCTGTCCGCCACGGATGCGTAAAAAAATAGTGTATAAAATAACGTATCACATGACTATCACGTGACTTTTAGCGGGAGACAACATTATTATTGACACGCAAATAAAAATCTAAAAATAGAAAAACTATACATAGTGAAAGTAATTTATTACATACAATATTAAGAAATACTATCATGTTTTTATACAGAAATTATTTTGATTTACAATCCTAAATATTTACCACATTGGGGACCATTTCTTATTCAATCGGAAATGGAAACAAAATGGCGATCACTTGACAGAAACAACACTGGGTCAGAAACTTAGCCAAAAGAACTCTTAAAGATGAGTTCAGTGGCCCAGATGTTAAGGTATTTCGAATGCAGAAATATTGATCTTTATCATAAGCCCATAAGTTTACTATTACATCATAAAGATTACAGGAATCGGCTTTCTTTCTAAAGCAAACAACAGACCTGGAAACTCTATGACAACTCAGAGTAACATACTGTGATTTCGGTCAGAAAATTATTCGGACAAATGTTGAATTTCTGGTCGTTTGTGGCGTAATAGAAATAATTTCAGTTGAATTTTTGGTGCTTTAGAGAATAGCAAGGTTCATTTGGGTTTCAATTTGAAAAAGAAATTAGAATGGTCTGTTGAAGAAATTAAGAAAGTGTAAGATTAGGCACACCCTTCAGTTGCTGACTCAACAAGGATGTTAAGGGGATAATCAGAGAGATAAAGTTTTCACGTTTCACAAAGTCCTGTCTATTATAATTGCTTGAGAAATGATATACTCCCATTATTTAATGTGTGTTACACTGATTATGAATGGGATGTCGGACTGTCACAAAATTTTGAATAATTTGATAGTCTAATGTAAAAACAGTAATGGAGTGAAGGGCACTAATTTTACTTTCATATATGGACATTTTCCTCTTCTAACATTTTCTTGTTCTTTTTTTTTTTTAATTGTCCTTAAAAACTTGTAAAATAAAGAAAAAGTTTATTTGTTTAACTATCTAGAGCGATATGGACATACCACAAATTTATTGATAAAGTCTGACATTGTTGGAACAATTCAGACATTAATTTCTAAAAAAGCAAATCTGCTTTGTAGGGGCAAATCATATGTGGTTAAATTAACCCCTGTTTTCCCCACAATGCACTTTACGCTATATCCCAGGTTATTTTTGGTGCAAAAAATAAAATCAATATATTCACAGTATAGATTGTAAACAACAGGAAGGGTTCAAACGTCTCACTTTCCTTCTATCTCATCCTGTCTGAAGTCCTTGGAGGAATTAGTGTTGCATGGACAAGGGACTGATGCAGTACTGTTATGTTTTCATTTTTGGCTCGGATTAAGAGAATGGGGCCGTTTCAACTGACTAGCAACCCCCAAAATTTTTTCAAGCAAACTGTCAATAATTGAATTTGAAAGTTTAATTGTTATTTTAAACATTTAAACATTTTTAATATAAAACATATTTGTTAGTCAAATTGTTCTATTTCCTGCAAGACTGAAAGAACCTATTGCTTTATTAGCCTTCTATAGATAGATTCTTGCATATACCATAGGCCAACTGTTGATATTTAAAAATCGTAACTTGTTTTTTTTTCTCCAGCTCACCGTTTTACTTATTCATTTTTAGTGAGTGTCATCATAGCCAGGCCAATAGGAATGGAGACCCTTCTCTTGTACCTACCCCATACTCTCAGTTCACTGCTCCCAGCACTCAGTTGGCTATGTGCATCATCATTCCCCCGACCACCCCTTCCACCAGAAATCCTGGATCCGCCCCACTGGATTCTCTTTTCAATTTTTTTTTGGCTTGAATTGGGAAAATTACACAGCATCTTTAGAGATTTGAGAAATTGTTACTAGGAATCTTAGTCCAAATATAATTACTGACTACTGGGTTTAAACTGGGTTAAAAGATGGTACTGAAAAAATGTAAAAAGAACAAATATGTATAGGTCATTATGTTTATAGATTGATTGAATTCTTCTTATTGTCAATTTACATCTTTTTATGGAATTTATGAATGGCTGTTTTAAGTTCTCTGACAACCTTTTTTATGCTAACCTCAAGATAACTCTTTTTATTTTAGACAAGCGGAGGCCCTGAAGGCAAGTGTATCTGGTAAGTACCCATTCCATTCAGCAACCACCTGTCTTAATCAGCCAAAATGACTGCATCCCTTGGCTGGCTGCTTAAGACAGTTTTGACTGCAGATTTATATTGAATATGTTTATATATAAACAGGACAACAATTCACTGTAATAAGATATTTATTCATTACATTGAGCGTTGCAGAGAAATCTTGATTTAATTTTTTTGGTCTTCTCTTGGCAGATTTTCTCATTTGTGATCTCTTGGTAAAATATGGTGAATCTATTAAAAGATTTTATTTTAATTATCTTAAAACATATGTTGACAGTGCTAAAATTAGATTTGAATAGGGTTATACTTTTTGTACTTATCTCTTTTACTGTAAGAATTAAGAACGTTTTATACAATCATGTTTATAAAAGCTATAACATGTCTTTAACATGAATTATTAATAATTATATTTTAATTGTTATTATTTTCATTACACTGTTTGTCTACATACATATGTATATTATAAAAAATACCTGTAAAACATTCATAACTGTATTTGTTTCTATAGATACCAGTAAAACCATATCCGAGACTTGGGTAATGAGACAGAAACTTGAAGATGTTTACAAAAAAATTCTCCTCACTGACCTTGAGTATGCTCTGGACAAGAAAGTGGAGCAAGAACTGTAAGTTCATCAACTTTTAAATGAGGGCCACTCAGGTCCAAAAAACATAAAAAACATAAAATTTGAAAATCTTACATAGATCCAGTGAAGCACCCCTTAAAATGGAAGGGTTATAAAAGAGGTAATAGAGAAATTTACTGAGAATTAAATAGAAAACCCATAACAAGTGCAATTTATAGTCTTACTTGATTTCAAAGCGTTACAATGCTTTTCATTGTGGGGTTTTTTTTACATTGAAAATTTATTTTTTAAAAACAAAGGGGAAATGGGAAAGATCTTAAATTAAAAATTAGACTATAGTAAAAATTTCATGTTTTTTTAGAGTCAAAAAGATTTATTTTAATTTGTAGAAAAAGGAAGCCAATGTCAGTAAATGTAATGATACTATTTTTGCAAAGTACTATGTAAGTACTACAGTTATCTATGATGGTACATGTATATTGAAAAATAATAGGTACATGTACTTGAAAAAACAAACAGGTTCCATAAATGATTTTACTTTGATGATTTTCAGATGGAACCATGCATTCAAAAATCAAATAAACAATTTACAGTCACAAGCAAAAGACAAACAGGTAATGAGTAATACGTATGATAATACTGACCTGTTCTTTCCTTAAATTTGCATAATGAACATGTCCTTCTCTGTTCATAAAGCTGTTCATTATTACATTAAAGAAGCATGCCTCCAGGTCCATGTTAATTTTCATGAACATTTTGAAAATGTATTTAAAAGCATGATATTGTGAAAGTAAATTTCATAATTGCAAAATGCACTTACAGTCCATGTAAATCATCATAGGTCAAAATATGCACACAAAAAAGCCCTTACTGCATTAGTCAGGCAGTAGAAACAATGCAAAATCAGTCATTAATTGCACACAACATTTAAGTTCTTACATGGCTTACTTTTCTTAATAAAATCTTAGTATATTTTTCTCAAGTTTGATTTTCTTGAAATATTTGGCATATTTGGAGGCGTGCAGCTTTAAGGCTGGGACACAGTATAAAGGGACTGGCAGCTACTGATCAAATAATTGTTTTTATAAATATCAAATTCAAGTTTACATCTACAATAGTCACTTTTATTTCATTTGCTTACTAAATATATTGTAACATTCAGTTTGATGTAGTGAACTCATATAATAATCTCACATGTTAAATAACTGAGACATTTTTTTTTTGTTAAATCTCTTAAGAAATGACCATTGTAAATAGTAATAGAAAAGCAATGTGTTTATCTGTTTAGAAATTACTATTTTCCACAAAAATATGGAAACAATGTGTTTATTACAGTTTTAAAATTTATGTTTTGCTGGTTATAACAAAACATTCAATAAAATAGATTGTATAATATATTTTTACTCTCCAGAATGTTAAAAGAGCAGAGATTCAGGCCACACTTAATTTATTCCTGGAAACAGCAAGTGGTTTCTATCTACAGGTAAAGCACCTTTTTGATAGATTATATATTTAAAAAATGATATCAGTCTCAGCAGTGTTATCAGCTAATAGCCTATTATCACCTGTTTGGAGTTTTCATGCATAGGAATTGGCCACAAAGGCCATATGGATCAAACCTGTGGCTTAGTGTATGTGAGATGTTATTTAAGCATCATATGAAAAGAAAACATAAAAATAATGAAAAATATCAATAGTAATGTGTTATTATTATTGCCTTAAAAAGGCTTTTGTTTGTTAACTCCAAAGATTTTTAATATTTGATGTAAAATTCAAATTACATGACATTGTATATAATAGACAAAAGTTCATGCAGGCAGGAATACACATGGATTGTATTGTTACCTTTGTTTTCAGTTTCTCCAACTTTTATGTACAACGTTCAAATTAGATCTTCCGTTCAGAAGAAAATCTGCTTTCTACGGTGTCATGAAAGGTTTGTTATAAGATTGCAAATTTCTTCTTACCAATAACATTTGGTTGTATTAGATATTATGAGGTTATATTACTATGTTGAGAACAAAACTAAATTTTATTGAACAAGTACACAGCTGTCAAACCTATATTGGACAAGGTTCTAGCCAAGTCCGATAGAGGTTCAAGTCCAGTAAAATCTGTATTGTTTTTAAACTATGTATAATAGCCTCTTTATTATATATTTTTAGCTCACCTGTCACAAAGTGACAGGGTGAGCTTTTGTGATCGCTTTTCGTCTGTCGTCCGTCCGTCCGTCGTCCGTCCGTCCGTGTTCTAATGGGTTTCTACCAAGTTTGTTCAAATAAAAGCCCTGGGGTCAATATTGGCCGTGCCCCGGGGGTCATTGATTTTCCTAATATGTGTATCGCAAAAACTTAAAAAATCTTCTTTGAAAAAAACAAAATAGCTAGAGTTTAGATATTAAGCATGAAACATCTTCTAGTGAGTGTCTACAAAGTTTGTTCAAATCAAAGCCCTAGGGTCAAAATTGGCCACGCCCCAGGGGTCATTGATTTTCCTTATATGTGTATAGCAAAAACTTAAAAATCTTCTTTAATAGAACCCAAATAGCTACTGTTTAGATATTAAGCATGAAACATCTTCTACTAAGCGTCTACAAAGTTTGTTCAAATAAAAGCCCTGGGGTCAAACTGGCCCCGCCCCAGGGGTGTCATTGTTTTTAACTATATGTGTATAGTAAAAACTTTAAAAAATCTTCTTTTAAAAAACCCAATGAGTCAGAGCTTAGATGTTTAGCATGAAACATCTTCTTATAGGTGTCTACCAAGTTTGTTCAAATAAAAGCCCTTGGGTTAAAATAAGCCCTGCCAGGGGGGGGGGGGTCATTGTTTTTCATTATATATGTATAGTAAAAACTTAGCATCATGAAACATCTTCTAATGGGTGTCTTCCAAGTTTGTTCAAATAAAAGCCCTTGGGTTTAAACTGGCCTCGCTCCGGGGGCCTATATACAGGTGAGCGACCTCAGGGCCATCATGGCCCTCTTGTTTGAAATTTCAAGAGAACTTTGTTACTTTCAGTACAATATGAATTTCTTTTATTTTTATTTTTTTTACCCTGAAAAAGAAAATAAGGCTAGATGGAGTACAATATTAATTTTGTATATATATTATGGACTCTGAAATTAAAAATGATAAGTTTGGATATGATAATGATTTATGTTGAAAAATCACATCGTTCAAACCAAAATTTTGTTGGTTATGTTTTATAATTTGTGCATAAAAATCTATTGTTGACCTAGATGACACTGCACGTACTAACATCTGCTCACACTGATCTAGTTTTACTTCTTTTCAATAGATTGAACATTTCTTTTGAAACATGAGTGCCAGTTCTGTTTTCATTGTGCACATATTAAACATCGTACATGGATACAAAACAATGAACCTTTAGTATAAATCTCTTCTTAATGATAGCATTGAAACAATTTCAGTACACTTTAACTCATTTAATATTATTATTGCCGTTTCCTGGTCTTATATCATCACCTTAATGCAGTTAAGGATTATATCCCATTTATTGATATAAGGAGTTAACCTGTTACTGCATTAAGGTGAAGATATATAATTGAGCCCTGTTACGACAAAACCAACATAATGGCTTTGTGACCAGCATGGATCCAGACCAGCCTGCGCATCGCACAGTCAGATCAGGATCCATTCTGTTCGCTATCAGTTTCTCTACTTGTTACAGAGTTTGTAAGCGAACAGCATGGATCCTGATCAGACAGCGCGGATTCGCAGGCTGGTCTGGATCCATGCTGGTTGCAAAGCCATTATGTTGGTTTTGTCGTGATACGGCTCATATTATGCTAAAGTAACACACAGTTTTGCTTATGACATGAGCATGTTATATCTTAATATGAAAAATTTGTATAAAAAAATTATGATTTTATTTTTATAGAGAGGACACCAATGAAACTAAAAGTAACTCCACCAAAGAAGAGTTCCTGTTTATATGTGTGCCAGCATTGTTTGGTACACCTTGGAGATATAGGTAAAATATTCATTACTTATTGATGTTTATATTAAAACAGCACTCCTACAGGTGAATAAAATAAAATATATATCTATATTTGAAGAAGTATTTACAATCCAGGTGTAACTATAAAATGAAATATACAATATACATGTAAACAGAATTTACATTTCTTATTATTAAAATTCTACCTTATTATGACTGTAGTAACCGAAATTTCAGTTTATTATGATAAATTTTAAGTAATTTCTATGGATGCTGCCGAAAGGTAAGGTAAAAATCATTTTATTTGTAAGTATGACAGCATTTTCTCTCATTGGGCCCACATGTAAGTTTTCATAAAATAAACATACGTTCTGAGATGTGCTGCCCTAATATTTTAATACACTGCCAGTCTGCCACCCTGTTATAATGTTGACATTTATTGAATGATAATTGTTATATGAATCGGAGGTGGTTGCAGTAATGTGTCAATTTCACGATGATCGTAACTTCATTATAATGCAGTGTTGAGACCTTGGACCCCAAAATGAGCATTACATCCGGGCTGTAGTGTAGTTACAATAAAATGTCCATGACCAATGTTATTTATTTGTTTGTTTACAGCAAGGTATAGACAGCAGATAGATCAGGCTCAAACCTACTACTGGCATGCTGCATACCTTGTACCATTTAATGGTAAGTTGCTCATATTGATACTGGTTAATAGTGAAGTCAATTTTGTGCCTTTTGAACTGGCATGGTTGGATTCTTCAACTTCAACTGGGTTACTCGACAATATCCACCAGGTAGACATCAACGTCAAGCTAGCTTATGGAATATTGGTTGTTCTATTCAGGTGCAGGTTTTAGAGTCGTCCTTCACCATCTAAGTGAGAAATTTGCCATACAACCTTTATAGTATTTGTGTGACTTAAAGCTGTACATATATAAGGAAAGACAAAAACAACACAACTGTTAATAAGAATAGCTTAATACAGGTATAAAATGAATAAGTAAGCATTTTAATAAGACCACATTTTTACACCACTAAATTACAACTGTGGTGAACGGCAGCAGAATTAAGTTTTTTTTCATTATGAGGCTACCAAAATAAAAAGTTTTGTCTGTCATTTTCTGGCCTCTAAAATATTGTTACTTCAGTAAAGCAATTGCTGATATTTTATTTAGAATGTGATCATTAATGTACCTAGGTGATGATATATTGTCCATTGAGAATTAGTTGGTTACCTTCCAAGGTAGTAATTTTTTTAAGAGTGAACACGAAACTGAAAATTGTTAGGGCCTCATTAGTCTACAAGTAATTGAAAGAGCATCAAAACATTAGGTTATCTGATTTGTACGAGTGTGTGTGTGGGGGGGGGGGGTGCATAAATCAGATTGCCAATTGTTTTGATGCTCCTTCTCTTTTGTATCATAAGCAAAAATAAAAACAGATTCCCTGAGATTACAAAAGAAAGATCCCCAAACAATTATTCTTGTTATACAGTATATATTAACCAATCTTATATATATTGTATATATTTATGCATGTTTTTCTCTTTTCTACAGGTCAACCTTACAATCAGTTAGCTATATTAGAGGCTGCTAAAGGGAACAAACTCTCTACAGTGTTCTATTATATACGCAGTCTAGCTGTTAAAGTGCCATTTCCTGTTGCGGCTACCAATCTTGAAAAACTCTATGCAAAACTTACAAAAGAAACGTAGGTGACTTTTAACACTACACCATTGTTGTTTCTTTTTCATTTATTGCAACATTTTTTACTCATTTCAAATACAAATTGTAACAGTATATTCCAAAATTTGGCCACTACCGATGTAAGTTATTGTTCTTTTGATCGTTAAATTCAAGAAAATTAACAACAAACAATTTTTAAATTGAAAGCAAGACATATCTGTAATATTTTGTAAGAAATTTATTGTATTACAGACATTTTCTTATAAAAAAAAGTAGAAAAATAATTCTGGAAAATTGAATTGATGGAATGATCAATTTTGGTCAAGACCTACATCTTTATGGTTCACAAAAGATGAAAAATTTATTCAAGTTAATTTCAGTCTTGTCATGTAAAAAAACTTCAGCAGAGTCATTTCAAATAAATACAATGTACATATATGATTGTTAAAACTATTATTTACATTACAGTCCAGATTTCAAAGGGAAGTTATCTGCTAGTGAAATGATCACAGGCTTCCTACAGTTCCATGCCCTAGTTCATCTTTGTACAGGTTAGTGGTAATGTAGCTTATAGATGTAGCATTTAATATAAATAGAGGATATTAAATGAGTGTAGATTTAATACTAAATTTATTGAATGAGTTGACATTCATAAGCTTTATAGCTTTCTGCCCAATCCCAAAATGTACTTTGTAAATATTGTTCACTTGTTAAATGTTTTGTTGAATAAATATGTTTAAACCAATGAGTTGATTATAATCATATTATGCGAGCCTTGGGCATGCTTTAAATTCATTTATTCAGCCAGTCTTTTGAAAGTATCGTGCACAAGTTTATTTAGGGACATAAAATTTTTAAATCTTAATGTGTTATTCTATAGTATTATTTTAATGTTTTCAGATCTGATAAAAGCAGAAGAACTTTCTGATAAATTGGCCGCAGGTCTTCCAGCCCATGTGACCTCACAAAGTTTCCCATGGCAAGTACTCGTGCATATCGTGGCAATCAACATCTTTGCAATGAATCACGTGCAACACATGCCAGAAAGTTCTCCAGAATCAGGGATGACTAATGGGGATACAGAACTAACAGACGATGAGGAAAGATGCTTTAATCTGGTTTTTAAATTGACAGGTAAAATATACATGTAAAATGATAATTAATTTCATTATTAAATAAAAATGATGATTTTGTATAAAAAAAAGGTGAAATATCTGATTCATATATTTTAATCCACTGACAGGTAAAAAATTCATATTTTTTTGCCATTACGCTTCTAACCGACAAAAATTAAGAATATTATATGGAGTGTTTATGAAACTCTTACTACAATGTAGCTTTAATTGTTTATATTCCTGGTGAATGTCACTTACTATAGGCTGTCAATCACAACACAGGGTATTGTTAGTCATATAATGAACATAGCAATTGTGCTGAAGGAAACCTGGGATCTTCCTCCACCAGTAAAGCTGGGAAGTCGCCATACGACCTATACTGTGTTGGTGTGACGTGAAACCCAACTCAACCCCTAAAAAAAGAAAATAAATAAGGAACAAAGTTATCATGCATATGTTATCATTTCAGTGAACATGATGGATATTCTTCTACAGTATACACCTAAACAAGAACATAAAGTGTGTGACTATTTTACTCTACCTGCTGTCAAACTTCTATTAGACTGGCTTAAACTGAATCCTCAAAACTTCGATCATCCTATACTGAGAAACTCTACGTATGTATTTATTTCCTGTCAAACTCTGATTTAATTTTTAACCCTTCAGACACTTAATATCATAAATGGACTTGTCCATCTTTAAATCTGGACTCAACCATTCATCATTGTTAGGGAAAATTTCATATTAAATATCATTGACTGAATAACAAATAGTGCAGACCATAATTAGATGGCGCAGATGTTTGGAGTGGTCACATGGCAACCAGGTGATAAAGGATTTATAGAAAATTCCTTTCCCTAAAAAAATACTTGTTTTATTTGTTTGTTTTATCTGATAAACATCACTTAGTACAATGGTTGATATTTTGTCTGAAATGGTCAGACATTTTATATTGAACTTGGTTCTTTCTACAATTTAGTTTATGTTCTCTTAATTACTAAGATGATTTTGAAATCATATTTTTGATGGTATAAGTCATATGCATATCATCTTTATTGCCAAATACAAGCAAAGTAAAAAGGAATATCTGTTTCAATGTTTTACAAGTGTTGCAAATATACAGAATAATTGGTAATGAGTAGTGGAAATTGTAATAGATAATTATACATTTAGTAGATAATAGTAACAGAACAAATATTATTTTTTATCACATAAATGTTCATACTGAATCACTTAGAGCTAGATTTCAAGACATACTTTGTATTAATAACAAAAAAATTATATTGTTTTAAACATTATTTGAAATACGTCTTAAAAATGTGCCCATGGTAGACCAATTCACTTTATAGCGCAATACATGTATATTAAAATCACAAGTGCTAAATATCTTTTATCCTTTACATTGTAAATTGAGATTTAAATGATTAACTTCACATTAATTTGAATTTATGAAATATTTTTAGGGTTATGGCCAATTTTCTATGTACATGTGTCAAAATATAAGGAAAAAAACAACATAAATATATGTAGAAATATTTCCATATTTTAGGTTATGGAGCAACTTGTGTAAAGTATTAAATAGTATTCAAGACTGGCAGATAAAAGATGGGGAGCAAGATTTGTCTAAATGTAAGTTTTATATTTATTTTGTTTCAGATAAAATGAAAATGTATTTAGTATTGTTGTTATTGACTTTTACCTGTCAGGGACTTCGAATTTTTTCATGTGAAAAAGTTATCCAGCTAGCTTACAGAAGGTCTGTGGCTCTACTCATGTGCTTGCTTTTGCCTAACATAATATATGGAGGGACACCTGAGGTCTTCCTCCACCATCAAATCTTGAAGGTTGCCATAATTATGCTTTTCACATTGTTGATGTGACTGAAAACTTATCAAGAGGAAATACTTATAAAAAAAATTACATTGACAATACCCTATGTTACAAAGTTTGAATATTTTAATATCTGGCACCTTCTAGCACTTGGAGAGCATCCTTTAGTTTTATTTAATCCTATTGGAAATACAATATATGTCTGTTTGTATATGTTCTATTTTCTTTTCTCTTAAGTGTAAACAGTTTGATTATGATGAAAACTTGAAGCTTTGAACCACTCTTAAGACCACTTCCTGAAACTTATCAGTACAGGAGAGGAAATATGGCCGTGTACACTGTGGGGCTCAAATTTACAATTCATGGGTTGGGAGGAACACACATAAATCACTAGGCCACAGCTCCCCGTCTTTTCTCTAGATTACGCATATGTATCTTGAAAAAGTTACATAAAACATGATTGAGTATGCTCCCTTGCTCCCTGGAACTTCCATTACATGTATTACTAATACATGAAAATCTGAAAAATCAGGAGTTCCTTGGAGAACAATAAGTTAACAATTGCAGCTTGGATTATTTTGAGTCTGTTCATGAGAGGTGGTTACTCAAACTCACAATATCTGGTCTGGAGGTTATAAATGTTTTTTTTTTCTTAGTTCTGTCTCAAATCTCCAGATTTTCGTTGGTTAGTGAACATTATGCTGCAGATTCTGACCAATCAAATGCTTAAGATCTGAATTTGAGCTCAGAAAATTTCTTTCTAATCTTGAACCCTGTTTTTAGAAGCAGCTAACCAAAAGGGCACAACTTACAATCTATCTTTTTTTTTTCAGATGAAGATTTGCCATTACCAGAAGATGCAGAGTTGAGATGTTTTCAACCAATAGAAAAAGCTCAAAGGTGAACAAATTTTCAATTACATGTACTATCCTTTTAAAAAATTTTGAATGATTGTAAAGGCACTGTTTTGCCAATACCACCAAATTAATGGTGTAACAATATTCTGATAATCTGATTGATGTATATTCCGATGCAGCACAGAGTGTTATGTCACACAGTACCAAAACTTTGTATAACAATATTTTCTGTAATATTGTATCAATGCAATATGCAATCGCATATTTTATCTTTTTGAAGCATAATATCGTATTGAATATTTGAGAGTTATACACCTTCACCACTAGGCCCCTGCTTTCCTTGTAAGATGGTCTTTGTTTTCAAGTGGTCTGTCAGTCCAGGTTAAAATTACTACAAATAAAATTCATCCAGGAAAATAAGATACTGGTCTTAAGGAATAGGTAGTGACTTGAAAGTTGCTTTAAAATCACAGGTTTGACTGAACTAAAAATTTGGTAGTAATTTGCTTTATATTGTTTTTAAACCTTTATGTAATTCAAGTATATAAGTACTTTACTTATGTCTATTTGGTTACAAGGTTTATATAACTTTGTTGAGAAAACATTAAGCCATAAGGCCATCGGCACTTTTAGACTTCCTGTGTGGTTACAATTACATTTTACATTGTTACTCAACAGCATGTGGCTACTTGATTTAAAAAGTCGATTTATGTGTACATAAGATATTGATATTATCACCTAAAGGTTACAAACTATTACTTTCAGTATCATACAGAAAGTTCATGTCTAACTTGATCACCAATTCAGTCTTTAAAGAACAAGAGCTGGTCCATACATATTTATTATTATTAATTTCTGTACTTGCCAATTCTGTTTTTGTGCTATAATTTCTACTTGTCTAAATATAATAATGATTTTTGAGTCTAGAAAAAGATAGTGTCCTGTTAGCTTGCCTCAGATTTAGATGAGATACTATCCTGTCTTTGAGCCTCAGATTTTATAAGTTTAGATGAGATACTGTCCTGTCTTTGAGCCTCAGATTTATAAGTTTAGATGAGATACTGTCCTGTCTTTGTGCCTCAGATTTATAAGTTTAGATGAGATACTGTCCTGTCTTTGTGCCTCAGATTTGTAAGTTTAGATGAGATACTGTCCTGTCTTTGTGCCTCAGATTTGTAAGTTTAGATGAGATACTGTCCTGTCTTTGTGCCTCAGATTTATAAGTTTAGATGAGATACTGTCCTGTCTTTGAGCCTCAGATTTGTAAGTTTAGATGAGATACTGTCCTGTCTTTGTGCCTCAGATTTGTAAGTTTAGATGAGATACTGTCCTGTCTTTGTGCCTCAGATTTGTAAGTTTAGATGAGATACTGTCCTGTCTTTGTGCCTCAGATTGATAAGTTTAGATGAGATACTGTCCTGTCTTTGTGCCTCAGATTGATAAGTTTTAGATGAGATACTGTCCTGTCTTTGTGCCTCAGATTTGTAAGTTTAGATGAGATACTGTCCTGTCTTTGAGCCTCAGATTTATAAGTTTAGATGAGATACTGTCCTGTCTTTGTGCCTCAGATTTGTAAGTTTAGATGAGATACTGTCCTGTCTTTGTGCCTCAGATTTGTAAGTTTAGATGAGATACTGTCCTGTCTTTGTGCCTCAGATTTGTAAGTTTAGATGAGATACTGTCCTGTCTTTGTGCCTCAGATTTGTAAGTTTAGATGAGATACTGTCCTGTCTTTGTGCCTCAGATTTGTAAGTTTAGATGAGATACTGTCCTGTCTTTGTGCCTCAGATTTGTAAGTTTAGATGAGATACTGTCCTGTCTTTGTGCCTCAGATTTTGTAAGTTTAGATGAGATACTGTCCTGTCTTTGTGCCTCAGATTTGTAAGTTTAGATGAGATACTGTCCTGTCTTTGTGCCTCAGATTTGTAAGTTTAGATGAGATACTGTCCTGTCTTTGTGCCTCAGATTTGTAAGTTTAGATGAGATACGATACTGTCCTGTCTTTGTGCCTCAGATTTGTAAGTTTAGATGAGATACTGTCCTGTCTTTGTGCCTCAGATTTGTAAGTTTAGATGAGATACTGTCCTGTCTTTGTGCCTCAGATTTGTAAGTTTTAGATGAGATACTGTCCTGTCTTTGTGCCTCAGATTTGTAAGTTTAGATGAGATACTGTCCTGTCTTTGTGCCTCAGATTTGTAAGTTTAGATGAGATACTGTCCTGTCTTTGTGCCTCAGATTTGTAAGTTTAGATGAGATACTGTCCTGTCTTTGTGCCTCAGATTTGTAAGTTTAGATGAGATACGATACTGTCCTGTCTTTGTGCCTCAGATTTGTAAGTTTAGATGAGATACTGTCCTGTCTTTGTGCCTCAGATTTGTAAGTTTAGATGAGATACTGTCCTGTCTTTGTGCCTCAGATTTGTAAGTTTAGATGAGATACGATACTGTCCTGTCTTTGTGCCTCAGATTTGTAAGTTTAGATGAGATACTGTCCTGTCTTTGTGCCTCAGATTTGTAAGTTTAGATGAGATACTGTCCTGTCTGTGTCCCTCAGATTTGTAAGTTTAAATGAGATACTGTCCTGTCTTTGTGCCTCAGATTTGTAAGTTTAGATGAGATACTGTCCTGTCTTTGTGCCTCAGATTTGTAAGTTTAGATGAGATACTGTCCTGTCTTTGTGCCTCAGATTTATAAGTTTAGATGAGATTCTCTCCTGTCTTTGTGCCTCAGATTTGTAAGTTTAGATGAGATACTGTCCTGTCTTTGTGCCTCAGATTTGTAAGTTTAGATGAGATACTGTCCTGTCTTTGTGCCTCAGATTTATAAGTTTAGATGAGATTCTATCTTGTCTTTGTGCCTCAGATTTGCAAGTTTAGATGAGTTAGTGTCCAGTCTTTTAATTTGTAAGTTAAGAAAACATCAACTTTGAATTTGAATCACCACATTGATAGTTATAAAGATGTTGCTGTAAAAAAAAAATGACATGATCTGGTTAGCCATTGGTACAGAGTAATGCCGGTGTTGGTTAGTTGTTTGTTACCCCATTTTAGCGATAAAAGGTATATGTGAGGTTACACATTGTTACATAATTGATTTCCTGAGTCTTGCCTTCATCCCGTCCTACCTGTTTCCTTTCACATTTAAATGAGAGATGTTGCTACTGTAGTATTACGAAATATGCCGGATATTGTGTTAATTTAATATACATCAGTGTTGGACATGAGTTATTCCTGTCTTATATAACATGGTTATTATACAATGACTGGGTTATTATATAACAATGATATGGTTAAAGTATGTTCAATCCCTTCCTTTATCTTTTTAATTCTAACTAAAATCCACTAATAACTTTGAACATATATGAAAAATCTTATTTTATGTGTGTTCAAATATTCCACTGTATGATGTGATTCTAAATCCCCCTCTCCCCAACTCCCACCCCTTTATCAAGTGACCATTTCACTATTCCTTTATTTATGGTAGCCATCTTGGATTTTGGTGGCCATACTGGATTTGCAAAATCTCAATCAAAGGCTTAAATGAAGAGAATTTTATCGCCAAGTTTCATACTTTTCACAACAGATGCACAATATGCCCTACCTATTTTTTTCATGGATTTCTTGCACTATTGGTTCCATCATGGTCAAGTTACTGATTCCCACAATCCCATTTTTGTTTCAGTACAATCGGCAAGATTTCATGCATGCATGTTATATAATGGTGAATAAAAACAGTAAACCTCTTTAAATTAAACAAAGCCTTCAGACATACTGATTTGTTTATCATTTGGATTATTTAGGCTGTATGCTGTGTAATATTATAGTAAATACACTTTCATTATCTTTAATTATAGTGGGTGGAGTTACAGTAAGCTGCCAGCAGAGGGTCTTGCGTCAGATATAGAGGTGCGCTTGAGATGCCATAGATTACTGGAGCACGGTCATTGGATAAAGGAAGAACAACCAAGGTTTCTTGATAATATTCTTACAATGTATTTTAACAGTATTTTGTAGATTTTCTTTAAAGTGAATCGGTCTTTAATGGAAAGTGTGCTATACCAAAAATATAATTGAGTATTTTATATCATATGACACAATAGACAAATGAAAGAATTAGATAAATGGATTTTGTTGGAAAGTGTGAGATACATGATCCAATATGACATATCTTTCACAGCTTTCCCGGTCAAGTATGTACCCCGGACATATCACCTATCATGCCCTTAAAGGGTAAAATTGGAAGCACAAAGTGGTTATAATTTACTTCTATGCAATTTCCACAGAATATTAGTTAAAGATATAAATTAGAGCCAAAGTAGGTCACTGTATGGTGGTCAACAAGAACCTAAATGTACAGTAACCTGAGACAATATGAAAAGGCATATAGCATGTATACATGACTTATACTTGAATTTGTTTATTTTTAGTGTTCAATTATCTGTTAAGAGGAGCACAGCAGGAAGTTTACAGTTTAGTTCCCCTACCCCACCCCCTACAAATAAGATAACAAAGACTGTGACCCTGTCTGTACCAAACACACACTCAAATCATACAACTTCCTTGATGAGCACTGCACCCAGTCCAGAGAGGAAATCTAACAGACAAAATGTTGCTATACAGGTATATTTCTAACTTACTTGTTTTTTTTGAAAGGAGCATATAGTTCAACTAAGGCGGAGAATTTAAATGTTTAATTTGTTCCAATTAACACATTGTCACTTTCACCTCAACATGGTCATGAAGTTTACAATTTGATGATACAGTTTGATAAACAAACTAATCGTGCATGACCTTTCACATTTGGGCCGCTTATGTAATATATGTGGCCGCTATGATATTTAAGTGTACCAGTTGCTGCAAATTTTTATCTTATGATGGCGCCAGTTAAATTCACCAATTGAAAATTTTATGATCCAGAATTTAATATTTTTGTCGCATTTTGGTTTTGCCCCAAATTGGCGAGCGACCTTGAGTTTGAAGGTTTACACTTCATTCGTGTTTATATTCATCTTTGTTTTAAACATTTCTGTTGTTCTTTTAGCTCCTTGATTTTGTGACTTAGAATTTTTAAATATTGACTGGTGTTGGTTCCCTTGGATTGGACCTCTTCCTTTGGGATTTCCAGTTAGACTGAATCAAGGTCAAGGTCACTATTTGCATGTAATAGATTTTCTACACTTTCCATCATAAAGGCCACAAATTCAGTTATGATCGTAGTACAGTATACTAAATTAAATTTTTTATGACAAAGAAGAGGGTAGGCATTTGTATGCCACTTAATAAAGTCACTACATGCATTCATTACTTGCATAAAACCTGTGACACTCATTAAATTTAGCTAGAATGCGAAAAACAGTTATGTGTTTTAATGAAGGTCTTTTTAGTCATAGAATAATATCATATGGCGCACTCAACTCAGCCATATTGGGTTTTTTTATTGATGGCTTTTGAAATGAATTTTTGTTATTTATGATATTTTTTTTTCATTTTTCAGGCCATAATGCCAGAAAGCAGGCAGAGCAGTACGGGCGTAAAAGTGTTAAAATTCAAAGACGAGCCAATTCACCAAAATACCTGCGGGTTCCAACTTCAGAACCATTGTTCTTTAAAACTGCGGGAAGTCAGCGTCAGCCGGGGCCAGCTTTACCGGACCAGGGCGTTCAGTCCTCTCCTTCACCATCTAAACAGCAGGTATGTGCCGTCTTTAAAGCTGCATGCTTTCCCCGGTTATTTAAGATTCTAGTAATTTGCAATTAGGGGACTAATTTGCAATATTTATCACCATTTACAGCAGAAAAATTTCTTGTTCAAATCAGTTTTCTTGGTTGATTTTCAGCAGCAGTAATATTAAAATTTCTAAAACTTACTCAAATTGATTTCTGTTATTTAAACACAAGGTTGGCCGGAAATGTGTGCATTATTGCTACAACCAATGCACTGGCCATTCTTATTACTTCCCTGTGTAATATTTTTAAACCGACACATTGACACTGCCACCATTTTGTTTGAAAAATCTGAAAAATAAAAAACAATTTTTTTTGATTTGAAATTTTGTTGTGAAAAACTATCTAGAATGAAAGAAAAATGGTCTTAAGGAAAATGAAATCCCAACACCAGTATCTTTAATTCAGTCGTTAACGCTGTACAGACGTTAAGTTGCTGCTGTTTTTGAAATAATTTAAATATATGCCAAACAACCACAATCGCAAAAAATGAATCATTCATCGAGAAGGGGCTATTTCAATTGCAAACAGTCTAAATTAAATTTCAGATTTTTTTGCTATTATTTACTTTTATTTCACTTTGAAAATATAAGCTGAAATATAATAAGCAAAAACAAAGTTTAATCAACGTTTTTAAAAAATTTGTTATTCTCATTAATGTTTGTTTACAACGGTAGATTTACGACAGTTTTTTCAACCACTGAAACCAGCTTTAAAGAACTTTTTTTATTGGAAACTCTGAGGCGAAAATAAATTAAACCACCAATATAAAAGTCCAACTATATGATAATTAATATATTTTTTTTTTTCTTGATGTGTTAGAATGGAAATAGATATAAAATTCTTCTTATATAATACTGGCTTTTTTATTTATTACAGATTGGAAATACATCATCATCAGTTAAAATTGCTGTTTTAGAATCGGTAGTATTTTCAGCCTGTAAATTTAAGTGCCCCTGAAAACCCTTAGAATAAAACTTGTTAATTGGAGAATGAACTTCATATTTTCATACAAATTCAGCAAGGTTATGTAAATAAAAAGAAATATTTTGAGATGTTTCTATGTGTAGTGCCAATTATTTACAAAGGCAAAGATTATTTATTTTATGTTATTGTTACTTTAAAACAAAAGTGAGATTCTTACAAAACATCTAATACAATGCATAACCTCATATTAATTGTACCAGTTGAATATAAGTTTGTATACCAGTCTAAAGTTCTTTCATCCTTACTGGTTGATTTTTATATCGAATTTAATTCTAAAAATGACCAATGAGGAGCAGCAGCATATAAAGAATGGGTTCCCATACTCTTGTTTTATTACAACAAAGTTAACTTTTAAGCTCCATCTGTTACAACTACATTATTTACAAGCCATTCAGCACGGTTTTATGGATTTACCTCCCCTTTTCCAGATTTTTTACAACCTTGAAAGATTCTGCTGTTTCAACTTTATTGATCAACTTTCTCTTTAATTGATGCTCACAGGGTCGCAACGGCACTCACAAAACACATGGCTTTTACATGTGACTGAAATAAAACTTAATAGAAGATAAATAATTATATATGATTCGTATGTCTAAAAATTAAAAACTTGCCTAGATTGGCCTTTGATATTTCAGCACGAGCCTTTTAGTAGCTTCAGGTGGTTAAAGTAATTGTTATAATTATTTTACTTCTTACTTTTACTTAAGAATAATTTGAAACTCTTAGTTGAGATGAAAATTATAACATGGAAAATGACATCCAGCAATTATCAGTGTATCTTATTATCTATAATTATGCTCTTTAATTGCTTAGAAGTTTTCTTAAGTGGCCCCCATATGTATCATTATTTAATAGGTTCAGGAATCACTCACATGCTTTCGGTTGCTATGGTATCAAAATAGATAATAAATGTCTTTCTTTAAAAAGTTTTATTACTGTTTGTGAAAACAACTTGAAATATTCTTCTCTGAAAATGTGTTGTCCAGATTTCGGTATACCGGTACATTCAAAGAAACAAGTTTATGTTGTTTAATATATTGTATCTGTCAGGTAGCAGCAGTTATATCTACAATACTT